AGAGTAGTTATAGGAAGTCTAGTTTTTCAAAAACTAACTATTAAGAGGGACCCCTATATTATCTAACCTAAGCTCGTAAAGGAACGAGTTATTATCTTGTCTAATAAGGAAGAAATTAATAGTAATTTTACTATAGTATAGCCCCGCCCGGTTATAAAGACAACCTTAGCTACCTTAAAAATATTATCTCGGTTATTTTAACGAAAGTCTAAGTAGCCTAATTTAGTCGACCGTCTAGGTCTCCTACCTAGCCTAAGTAAGTTAGCTTGTCCTCTAGCCGACTATAGAGAACTAGGATATTACTCGTACTAAATAGGTAAGCTAATTAAGCGACTAGAGCCTCTAGGGGAGGTAGTTAACCTCCTTAAGTCTATAAAGTTAATTTATAAGTGCGATAAATACGCTATAAGGTCGTTTAATAACGAAATTAGCGAGTATATATAGGAGTACCTAAACCGTACCTACGACGCTAAATATAAGTTTTATACTAAGGAGTTAAGACTAAAGTAAATGGTTAAATACTACTAGAATATCTACCGCTATTATAGCTTTAGACTCGAAGACGCTACTACGGCTATTTATAGTTACGAGTAGTACGAACCTTACCTTACTAAAATACTACCGAATAGACTATTATATTATAAGACGTACTAAAAGGTTATAAAGCTAGTTTTTCTAGATAATAACTCTAATAGCGTATAAGGTAAGCCTGTAATAGCTTTACACGAACTAACTAGCGTACTATCTACCGGTAAAGTATAGTAAGTTAACTAGGATGATAATAAAGACGTTAAGGTTACCGAGCCACTAGCTAAGCGATAAGGTCGCCCTAAGGGGACTATAAAGTATATCGTGCCCGCTAAGGAACTTCCTAGCGTCGGTTTAGCCGTAGGTCGACCGCGCCGTAGTGTCTATAAAGATATAAACCCGTGCCTAGCTAAGCGTCCCGCGTAAAGCCACTAAGGGTAGTAGCGGGTTTTCTTAAATTCGGGCACCTTATTATAGCTATAGTAGTAGTATATACTATATATAATTAATATAGGTAGTTACGAACCGGTCGTTTATATAAATATAACCGACCGGATACGTATATAGAAAATGGTATACTTTATAACTAATACAACTTGACTTGTTAATGATCTTAACATAGAGCTAACTATTATAGGGATATTTATAGTAAGTAGAGCTTTCTACTATAATTAATTAATCTTATAACTTCTTAGCTCCCTCTTAATAGCTATTTACTACTAATACTAATTAGAAGAATTTCTAGCCTCTTTTAGATTTAAAGGAATATCTATATTAGAGGTAGTATTAACTAATAGAGTATAGATTATTTCCTTCTCTTCCATATCTATAAAATTTATAGAGTTATTAAAATAAATTATATACTTATATTTCCTCCTAAAATAAGATATATTAGAAGGTAATCTTAATAGATATAGATTTTTATAAGGTAGGTTATAGCTAGAGGAAGATTTAAATTTTAGTTAATTTACCCTAGGCGTAGTAGAAGGCGTCCTACTATAAGAAAGGGTAGATAATCTTTATTAGGGTATCTTAGTAAGATTTATTATATTATCTATATAGGGCTAGAGATTCTATATATTTTAGATTATAACTAGTATATTATAAGATACTTCTCTATTATCTAACTCTTCTTTAGAGCTATCTCTTTCTATAATAATTAAGGAAAGAGATTACTATAGAAGTAGTCTTAGATTAAAGGGTATAAAAGTAATATCTTATAACTTAATAATAACCTTATAATTAGAAATATAGTACTTATAGATTTTATCTAATTTACTATAGCTAACTAGAATACCTTTCTCTAATCTATAAAGGAGCTTACTATCTAGCTTTTATACTTCTTTTAGAATATATATATAGTAGTATCAGGCACGTGAGGAGCACGTGGCCTGCCAGTTGATTCTACATGTGTGTAGCAGTCGTATATAAGCAGTGTGCTCCACCCTTGAAGCAGTAGCTTCAAGATTCGGTCCTTTTGGTGTAGTTGGTTGGTGCGTGGAGCCCGCCTCCTTACAAGTAGATAACTCTAAATAGATATAAGTTTTAGATAGAAGGCTTCTTACTAAAGAGAGTATAATATAGTATATTAACTATTAGAAGAGAGGTATATAGTATAATATTCTTAATAAATATTATTATATAAATTACTTTAGTCTAGAATTTTAACTTAGTATTAGAAGAGAGAATAGATCTTACTAATATTTAAACTATATAGTTAAACCTTTCGGCTATTCCGTTTAACTTATAAGAGTAGATAGAAGAGATAATATAAATAGTACCTGTTTTATAAAAGAAGTCTTAAAGACTTTTAGTAATATATTTACTACCTTAGTTAGATATAAATTCTTTAATATCTATATTAAACTACTTCTTAATATATATAAAGAACTATATAATAATATTAGAAGCTTCTAATTTATACTTTATAAAGCGGACTTATATAAAGTAAGTTAATTCTTTAATAAAGGAAATATAGTACTATAATCTATTTAGAGACTTATATAGTATTTTACTAGAGAGATCGCTATAAACTCTACTAAACTATATCTTATATTATCTATTTAAGCTTAAAGGCTTCTTATATATAGATTTAGATATACTATAACTCTTATAGTAGAAGTTACTTAGCCGCTTAGGAATTATATTAAAATCTTTATAAAGTCTTTTAGAATTTATAATATAATAATAACCTATAGTATAATAGAATTCTTTATATAATATAAAGTATACTATAGTATATAATAGAAGTAGAGGAGATATATAGCGTAGATGAATCTTTATAAGGCCCTTATAAAATTTTACCTATATTACTTTAGATCTATAGTAGTTATATAGAAAGAGATTATTCCCTTTTACTCTTAAGCTATACCTTTAATTCCTAATATATAACTAGAAGAAAAGATATATAGAATTTAGTTACTTACTAAAAAGGATATTAGTAAGTTTAACCTTTTTTATAGAACTATCTAAGAGGATATAATCTAAGAAAACTATTCTAATACTATTAATTAGAATCTTCTAATAATTTATAATTAATATATTATCTAAGTTACGCGGTTCTAGAGAGAAGAAGTTATCTATATAGCCTAATATATATCTTAAGGCTCTAGAATTAAAAATCTAATTATAGATATCTATAATAATATTAGAATTTATAAGAAGTCTAATAGCTTTAATATTAAGGTCTAAAAGAGTTACTAAATTAAGAAGAGGACTTACTATATAAGATCTCTTACTATTTATATTAGCTATAGTAGTAAAGAAACTAATAATATTATTATCGGAGTTAGAGTTAGATTTAGAATCTAAAATTTTAATAACTTTAGTCTTATTAGCCTTTTATTACTTACTTAAGGAGTCCTTTTTAGAGAAGGACTTAGAAGCCTTCTTACTTTTAGACTTATTATCTTCTTTAGAGGCTTTAAGTTTATAATAGTCTTAATACTTATAACCTTTAGAAGAGAAGCCGCGTTTCTTATACTAGGTATATTTAACGTTAGAGGTAGAGGCGGAGATAGAGAAGTTAGACTTCTTTAACTTAGAAGGCTAACTAGACTTACCCTTATAGCTTACTTTATAGCTAGTAGTATTAGATTTAATACTATATTTCTTAGCTAGGTTAAGTATCTTTAGCTCGATATCTTAAAAATATAATATATCTTAAGTTAATAAATTATTAATAATATAGTCTATAGTATTAGGTAATAAAATAAAAAAGAATAAGCCCTTAATCTCTTTAGACTTAAAGATTAGATATATTACTTTTATAACTATATAAGATAAAGTAGTATATCTTTTTACTATTTATATCTAGATATAATAGAAATTATTAATATATTTATAGATATCTTCTCTATCTTTATAGTAGAGGTTAGTAAGTAATCTAAATAGATATATTAAAGAATTATCTATATTATAGTTAAAACGTAATAATAGATAACTCTATATAGCTACTACTATATTATAGGAAGTAAGATCTATAATAAGATCTTAATATATTAATAAGAGTAATATAATTATTATCTTATTATCCTTTATATTCTAATCTATTATATCTATATATAAATCCGTAACTCTAGTACTAAAGGGTCTAATAACTCTACTAGAGACTATTATCTATAATTATATATATTTAAATATAATTATCTAAGCTAATCTCTACTTAGGGAAATTTTCTTCTCTTAAAGATAGCTTAGATAGAGAGAATAGGTTAAGTTTAAAGTTAATAGATATATTTATTATTAATAAGTTCTTTAAGTTCCTTCTCTTTTCTTTATATAGAACTTATTCTAACTCTTTCTATTTATTATATATTTATAAGGAAGATAGTAAAGATAAAAGAGGTAGAAGAATAGTATAGAGAATAATATAGAGGCCAGGAGTTAATAAGATAGTAGAATTAAAGTAAAACTTTAATAAGATTAATAAGATAACTAAGTTTTAGAGAAGGGACTTACTTTTATTAAAATATAATAGTTTTTATTAATAAAGAGGTGTTTTAAGGCTTTTATAGTAAAGCGCTAGGCTTATAATCTATTATAAGAGAAACGGAGACGTAATTAAGGTTATTAAATATATTCTATAATTATATAAAGAACTAAGTTCTAGGAGACAGAGTCAAAGCTATTTAACCGTTTAGACACTAGTCCTATTTAGGAAACAGTGTCCCTCACTCAAAGTGCCTTCCGACAACAGACTGCGGGGTTGACTGTATGGTGGTTAAATGGCAAGATTCTAGGAAAAATCGGTGTTTATACAGTCTTTTGTGGCCTTAGGCCGAACCAGAGTATATACAGGAGTTGAACCAAGCTCTGATATACACCATTTCAGAACGCCATTCATGCTTCACGCCTCTCCACCGCCCAAATACGCCTCGTAGTGTGTCAATATATGGCCTGATGTATTCAGATGTCTTAAGATTTGTAACGCCAGTATAGTATTAAAACATGTACAATGTTGCGGTCGGTCGCTTATTGCCTCTTGCTGATAGATTGGGGTGCACCATTGCTGTGTGGATGATTGTGGTCGTGGTCGTGATCGTGGTCGTGATCCGCTTGTAGCTCACGCGATCGCGGATCGAAGTTGATGAACTCGTCGAATACGTTTGGATCGGTATTATCTGCAACGAATCGGACACGTAGTCTCTTAACACCCTTGATCTTCTCGCCAATCCTTTCCCGCACTATTGTCTCGACTTCACGAGTCTTGGTGATGGTCCAGCTCTCTGGCACAGCTAATTCAATGTCCATCAGGTAGTTCTGGCCCGACTTGACACCCTCGACGTTCCGTACACCAACCGATGATTCTCCGATGCTCTCGAGTGCCTGAGTTGCCCGCCCCCGTACGTTGTTTACCATCTCCTCCTCTACGCCGACATCTGCAAGTTCAAGAAGTGCGGCTTTGGTATTTCCGTAACCTGCCTGTACAACCATGAGAGAGATTACAAGGCCGCCGACAGGGTCTAGCCAGGAGGCGTTTGTGAGAAAATTCGAACCCCCAATCATGAGAAGGGCCACGAATGCTGTGAGTGAGTCTACACGATGGTGGTATGCGTTGGAGGCAAGGACAGAGGATTTGCGCTCGTTGGCGACTTTGAGAGCTAGAAAAAAAAGTCAGCAGGGTCTCCTCGACTGGATGGTGATGATTTTGTTCCTCACTTGCTCGATACAGCCATTCTTTGATCACGATGGAGCCTGCCGCTAGCCATATTGCGTTTATATTGGGCCCCAATTCTTCCACTCCGTGATGGTGAGAGTGTCCGTGTCCCATGATTCCCAGATTCGATGCCAAGTCGGCAAAGTCTGGGAAGAATTGTTGGCAGATTGCAGCCAGTGCGGCCCATCCCATCATCAATCCTCCTCCTACGAGTAGTCCACTGACACCAAGAGAACCTAAGCTCTCGAACTTGCCATATCCGCCCGGAAAGCGAGTCGATGGTGGTTTCAGCGACCAGGAGATGGTTGCCAGCGTCATGAAGTCGCTGATAAGATCCGTCAGGCTATGAATTGCATCTGCTAGTAGTGCTAGAAATATTATCAGCTCAAGAGGTCGTGGGAAAGCCTTGTGATGCCATAGTCACGTACCTTGGCTGTTGAAGAAATAACCCCCTACCCCCTTCCCGATGGCCATGCCAAAGTTGACATACAGGCCAATTCTTGTGATTTTTACGCCAGCATCGTTCTTATTCTGTGACAGGAGATATGTATTATCGTGATGATGGTGATGGTGCGAGTGGCCAACATGGTGCCTGATCTGCGTTATGGTACTGGTAGCCATGGCGGAAGTTGGACGAGGTCGGAGGGATGTCGAGTGAGGATTATGCAGGACAAGTGATTTATGTAAAGAAGGACGTAAGCAGAGTGCGTCAGGACCGGTGCGGAGTACACGAAACTGGTGGAACCGATATAGTGAAGGGGTAGATGAGGTGTGGTAGATTGTATGCAGTATTGTACTTGTCCTCCGAATTACGGGTGAGCCGCCATGGATGGGCGGCAACATCAAGGCTGGCGCGACAAGGCTAATGCGACGGTCAGAGCCAATTTACGCGTCTTGATGTCGCAAGAGAGAGTACGTCGAGAAGAAGTCCAGGGCAATACAGCAATGACAACAACGTTCGTCTCGAGTTGATAGAGTCGTCGCGGGAACTGTAGGTTCTCTCCATCGCCATGCGCGGGCAAAGCACCGAAGCGTGGATGTGGGGATGGAAGGATGGATCGTTTAGTGGACCGACCGGCACACCGAACGCTGAATCTACTTCACCAGGTTCATGCCTATCTATTTTGACGATACATCCGTCTCGTCAAGCTTTACGCTTCTTTTCTTGGCTACGTGACCACCTGCTATCTCGGTGTTGTTCCAACTCTAGCTGTGATACTTGCTTCCGGTCGCTACGATATCCTTGCCACGGTGCCTGGCTGAACGGGGTAGCAAGTGTCGAAATAACATCCTGCATCGTTTCATCGAAGCCCAAAGGAGAAACGAGCTTCCATGACTCGACCTGCCTATTCTCTCCGGGATCCATGATTAAAACATCAACGGCTATTGGTTTCGGGGTTTGCAGCAGATCAGTGCGGGAACATCCGAGCATGGACTGCACTCTACTCGGTGCGCGACGCGTATGCGCTGATCTGAAACTATTCTAGCGATGAAGACAAAGTGAAGCCTTCCCCAGATCTCACGCCAGAAACTGGAAAGTCTAGATCGCCCCTTGGAATCGAATGATGCCTTCAGATTTCAGACATCACGCAGTACGCGTACTTGCAAGACCGGCGTAAGAGAAAGCTTAGCTACACGACGACGGCCTGCACTTATGCGATAGCACGATAGTTTGGACGTATATTTGAAGCTCTAAGATGCCGAGCGCACTGTCATTTCAAACCTCACTAACATTGCGAAGCATGAAACTAGGTATGGGTACTCTCATTGGAATTTCAGCGATGACTACCATCAGATGAAATTTGAAACAAATGAAAATCCCAAAAGATCGTCGCCCTCACGTTCACATCCGCATGTTCAGAAAGAGACTAAGTTTCAGGGCAAGATGAAGCGACCTCATATCTAGCCCGGCACATCTGTAGTATGTTTTACCGACACATAGTGAGCGCTAAGGCACGTCATTCCGCTTGCTGTAGTACGAAGAGCAGATGCCGACTTTCATGTTTCCAAGTCAGTGACACATTTGGTAGATCCAGACAATTTTCTCATACTCATCCAGGTTCATCCTTCCAAGTCAATCAGCATGTCAGCAGGCTTCTTCCCGAAAAGCGAGTCACTCGAAGTCAACGAACTGTGGAAAGGCCTCATCACAGCTTCTCATATATTGCACTATCACCGTGTCCTTGATGCTTACGGTCACATCTCAGTCCGCAATCCAGATAATGCAAACACATTTTACATGACCCGCAAAGTTGCTCCAGCACTCGCAAGTCGAGGCGAAGACATTGTAGAATACAAGGTAGAAGATGCAACACCTGTACAATCCAATGCGCCAGACGGTTTCATCGAGCGATACATCCACAGCGAAATATACAAGCGCTTCCCGTCGATGAACTGTGTTATCCACAGTCACTGTCGCGAAATCTTGCCGTACTGCATCAACGACATCCCCTTACAGGCAGTCATTCATCAAGCCGGATTTATAGGCAGCCGAGCCCCAGTATGGGATATCTCAAGCACATACTCGACGTTCTCATCCTCCGATCCGTATGACCTACTTGTCCGAAACACCTCTATAGGCAGTTCTCTCGCCGCTGAGTTCAAGCCTTCCACGTCTGCTGGATTTATCTTCTCACAGATGAAATCCGCGCTGCCGAACATCGCCGGGAAGTCGTCGAACAACACTAGCGTTCCATCCTATGCAGTCGTTCTCATGCGTGGCCATGGTTTCACAACATGTGCTGAAGGCATTGAAGCTGCTGTGTATCAAGCGATCTATACTAAGGAGAACGCCATCGTGCAGACTACGGCACTGAATATGAAGAACGCAGTCAGCGGAAGCACTATTGAAGGCAAAGTGGATGTTGAGGGCAGCGGAAAGATCAAGGATGGAAAGTTGAAGTCTGACAAGGGATTACGTGGACTGAGTGATAAAGAAATTGCAGATACAGTTAAGATGAATCAGGAGTCAATGATGAGGCCATGGGAGTTGTGGTGTCGAGAGGTCGAGGTGCAGCCTCTGTATATCAACGAATGTTAGACAGATTGAACACGCAGGTCTGGGCTATACAATCTGGGATCTCTCGCGACAAGATGGTTAACACGATATCTGCACGGACAAAGTAGTTTTCCATCTGATCTATAACCTAGGTTCATTCTCGATTAAGTGTTCATATTATATTAATACTTTATTAAACATGAAAGCTTTAGCGCGCCGTCTCCTTGCGTTCTCCATTTATACCATCGGGCTTAAAAATTTCTTCTCATCGTTATACGAAATGGTTGATAAGTATCATTATCTTTCCATGCGCCACAGCTAACTGTGAATGCTGATATGTTGCGTTAGCCGTCAAAAGCTACCATACTTGGTAGTCAAGGTCGGAGCAGGCATAAGTGATACCTCTTATCGCACAGTAAAAGGTGTTGGGTATGTAGCAATGAGAGCGCTGGAATGTGAGTGCCAGGTATGTAACCTTCACAATGCTAATCTTACAGTGACGGTTATGCCATCCCTAACTACATATACCTCTGCTTCCTCTGCCCAAACCTCTCCCCTTACTTCTTCTGACGGCTTAAAATTGAATCGACGCCGCTGCTAATATCTGTCTCATCAGAATCCATGATATGCCCCTGCTTGAATTTGACCGAGCAGTTGCGGCTGTGCGGTCTTTTCTGCAAACGCGGCCCTTGATGTGTCTTCGCGCAGTATTACTCGTGGGGATGCTCATCGTCCAGAAGACAAGGAGATGGTGTGCATAGGAGCAGAGCCACAGCGCATGCATTGAGCTTCGCAAGCACTGACATGGAAGAAATTGCGCAGAGATATGTATATTCTATTTCATTCTTTGCCCATAATGCAGTATATTTATATAGAAACGGAGCATGTTGATACCTGAGGACGAGCATCGAGAGTCATGTGTTTTGGTCGATCTTACCTGCATACTTATTATTCCTACGAAGAAACATGATCAGTATTCTCAATTGGCAATCTGGCTTCCAGTGTTTGAAAAGGGTCGATCTGTTAGTGCTATTGACCATTGTTCGCATCACACGATGATGGACGTTGTTTCAGGAGACGATGACGCGAATCTGCGCCCATGAGGGAATTCTGGCGCTGATCGGGTCCAACAGTTATCATTCATAGCTTTGGGCGCTTGTGCTCAGCGGTCAGCTCGGTTGCATGATGTTCTGCATGGAATGGCTGAGTGTCATGTTTGGACAACAGCTCTTGCCGCTCAACAGTACATGTACGCCGGCGATTGAATGTCAGATGGCACTTAGGGGAAACGACTACGGTAGGAGTATATCCTGTGTGGAATAAAACACATGGGACTGCCGGGTCGGATTGAACGAATGTATAAATTTCACTGTGGAGGTTCAGTGGCGGAGCTTTCACTGGCCAAGCTTCAACATCATTATCAGTATAGGGAAGCACTGCTACTCCTGATCATCGTCTAAACTTTGATCAACGAGAAAATCGACATTATCTGATGCACACGTCATTTCCCCTAACACAATGGCTAATTCATAAAGGCTAGTTCACAAAGCTCAGTTATACATATACATAGCTTCAAGTAAGAATACTCCTCTCTGCTCCACAGGCGCACCCAAGATATTCCTTCCTCCACATCTAACAACTGGAGGTGCCTCTTTTCGTGGTTCGTGCGGTGCAACTCATCATATCTAGCTCCAGTGTACGAGACAAGCCCTGATGACTCGTTTACGTCACATTATTCACTAAATCCTACCTTACGCACTGTGATCTCGGTATGATGATGAATTCTAGCACGTTGGAAGGCCAGTGACGTCTATCGCCATGTATACAGTCGCATGCAATGAAGTATTCAAGTTCTTTGACGTGATTCTGAACCGGGAATACATAGCTACGCTAGATTAAGGGACACGGATTAGACCTATCATGCTTATGGTCTGGAGTTGTGACGAAGCGAACATGATGCTGGAACAACCCTACGGGCTCGAATTTGCTGGTAAGTTGGTGTCTGAGGTCCAGGAGGTGAACAAGGGCTTAGTTACGGCAACGTCGTCTCTACTTATAGGAGTAGAGCGTCGATGAACACAATTCAGATGTGCCGAGTAGAAGAGGTGTGAAACAGGGGAATAGAACCTTCACAGATGGACTCACAGAAGCTATCTGACATTGGCTTCAATTGCTGGGCTGTGAGCGTGTGACCTTTTTAACTTCGTCATGTAACGTAAGTAGTGTCAAGGTCTGGGCGATCGTGATGTTTTTTCTAGCTTGATAAGCTACTCTTGTATTGCATCTTCGGGATTACCAGGCACGATAGTGGATCTGGCTGAGTCGCTTGAGATAGACTTCTCGTTGATCATGTACCTGTGTCATCTTTATGACTAAGATACACCATATCTTTGGCCTATGGCATCTTTCCCAGTTCTGCCTGTGAGTATGACGTCATGCAATGTGTGTCTGTTTAGAACATCTCATTAACATCGAACGATCCTGTTAGACTCTCCAGATGCTCGAAACCTGGCATCCAAGCATCCACACCATCGTCATGATCAATCCAATTTGCCAATTCCATGACCATCCTCAATGCCTCATCACTCCCTGTCCCGTGTTGTACAAACGCTTCACTAGCAGCCACGATACTGACATGAGCTGCTGCTGTTCCCATTGACCTCTGCGATCCCGTAGCCATAGTGCTGGAAAAATTTGCGTCTGGACTCTGCTCGGTCTCCGCATCTCCACCAACCTTTTGCATCGTTGCATTGACTAGGATCTCGAAGGCATCGCGGTACTTGCGCACCCAATCCGCGCGCTCGCCCATGACGAAAAGGACCGAACTGCACGCGCGGATATCATTGCTGAGTGTAACAGACCAGACTTTGTGCGAGCTCGTCCATAGACAGTACAACATCGTGATTCCTGCCACAAATACCGTCTGCACGGCGATAAAGCTATGGCCATATTCGAAACTCTGGTGCAGTCGTTTGTGCGCTTGACAGATTTGGCCGGCTGCGCGAAGACAGGTCTGATAATATGGATCACCGACGGGAAGTAGCAGCAGGAAGGGCTGTAAGAGCAAACGTAGAGCTTTGTGGTAGTGTAGCATGGGGTATTCAAGATCATCGTTGCAGAGTCGTGTGTGGGCACTGAGACGCCATTCCTCAAGATCAGCATACAGACGGTCGATCTTGGGGCGAAGGGAGCAGAGAGACCGATCGTTGCGGTAGATAGAGTTATAGATGCGTGATTCCACACGGCGGAGTTCGTAGAGGGTAATGGGGTAGGAGAGAGATGATAGGAGGGCCGGGGAGGTGGCGGTTTGGGAATGAGCAGACGGGAGTGGAAGGTCAATGTGACGGTCAGAGATGCTGCAAGGGCGACCGAGGGATATTGATATTATACGTTCTAGTGAGTAAGTAGACCAGAAGAGGAGTCGGCGTCGTTGGATGCCTTCAGGAGAGTGGCTGATCTCTGACGTTGCTCGGTGCATGCCTAGATCAACGCAGGTGCGCATGGCAAGACCTGACATATACCAAAGACCTTGAGTAGAAGCAGATCGCAGATGATATATGATCAAGAGTAACATAGCCTCTACATTTTGAAGGCACCGGGGCTCTCGTGCTGCGGATATGTGTTGGAGGGCAGTCATGTAGAAACTCTGACAGAGCCACGTTAGAAATTTGGCTTCGTCATAATTTGGATAAGATCTCACCTCTGGAGGAGAGCTATCAGAGAGCCTCTCGGTCAGCTGCAAGAGCATGGCACCAATCGCATAGACCATGTACATCTTGAATATCCCAAACCGTTCTGAGCTGCTTAGCATCTTGACATCAGTGGAAGATAGACGCGACCGATTTGCATGTAGCGTCCATATTGATCCTGGATCTAAGAAAGGATATCGTATGTGTAATCTTTGGAAGTATGCATGTATCAATTTAGTACCCAGTTGATCGTCTGGAGGAGCTGAGCTGTTGGCTTGTATATCTTGCACCATGATCCTAGTTCGTTCTTGCGAATGGCTGGATAAGTATATCTTATCTACTATTGGCGTGCCTTGTTGAATATCATCGTCCCGAGGTGGTGGCATCGCTTTATTCCACACAGTCGCCTGAACCATTTGCCCAAGATTCAGAGCCAATGGAAGACCAGATGACGAGCCTACATAAGCAGGAGCTTCAAAGTTACCCATGTGCAGAGCATCGACAACATCTCTCAGGGCGTCTTCAATATGCGATGCATCATGTTGATCACTCCGTGGGCCTGCTATACTGTTCACCGCGATTGGGTGTTCAATACCAACATTTTGGTGCGTTCTTGAGAGTTCGATCTCGAGAGCTGCAACACGTTCCTCTAAAGCATGTGTATATCTGCATGCTACGTGAGTCGTTTTGGTGATAGTAAGGAAGATTGCGGCTGACGCTGTCGGTAAAGGCTCACCAACGAGGCTCTTGTCACAGGCATTGCCGCTTTTCTCGCAATTTGAACACGTCGGCCATTGGCTATCACATTTTTGCTTCCGGTTCTTGCATCGTGTACATGCCGTTCTTGGTCGCTTCATTGGCTTATGTCCAAGTGGTGATGTTCGCAAGGGTGAGTTCTCATTCAATTGACTCATGATAGATGTTATGCAATCTGCAGATATGTATATTTGCTGTGGACGGCAATCAAGCGTTGATAGTGATTTTGAACAGGGCATGTCACATTGTTCAGTCGTCCGGCTGCTCAGTGTATCGCTCATACAGGGATTAGGATAACAAGGACATGTGGCGTAAGCTGCGGGGGACCTAGCACAATCTTCGTGACTCGTGTCATCACTTGTGAGTAATATGACAGAGTTTGCGTGAATCTTCCCATCATCTATAGATGCCAGGTCAGAAGAGTTGGATGAAGCTCAGATGTTTGACAAGATGACAAGAGCTATCGGTCTTAAGCAGATCCGTGAACACTTTAGCTGGTCTAATATGCATATTCTCTGCATGTAATGAGTATGCTTCCTGCTCCGACTGCGAAGATAATGAATGCATTGCAGCTACCTAGCCACGCACATAAGACGTACGGCGTCAGCGTTCTTCATCCTCAATAGCATCTCCATGTCCACATCGTTGATGGTTCTTCTGAGTCTCTTCAGGGTGTCCAATGCAATCTCGCCATCAGCGGCTCTGGGCTCGAGTCTGTGGTCTCGGAAGAGATGTGCCATCACTGCAACAAATTCGACTTCGGCAAACTTCTTACCAGGGCAGTCCTGTGGTCCATCAGACCAGGGGAAAAATGTGTTCCTTGCTGGTGTGTGAAACTTTTGACCTTCCGTAGAAGCCTCTATCCAACGCGAGGGTTTCCATAGTAATGGATCAGACCAGCTGCTGGAATTAGTGTGGCAAGCTAAAAGACTCATGGTAGTTGTTGTATGTGGAGGTATAATTATGTGTTTCCCGCGGACATTGAGGGACTGTGATCTATCATCAGTACCCTTAGGTAGTGCCATAATAGGCGGATATAACCGTAGCGTCTCGTACTATTGAGATATTTAGTTTTAGATATTCAAGAGATTCACAAGTCAAGACATACGAGTATTGCTTTGCATCGTAGAAGCTGTGGGAAAAACTTCTTATAGCTCCCGAGTTCAATTGTCGAAGTAGTGAAGACTTCTCTGATCTCTTCCCATATCCAGTCTTGTACTTCGGGCTGGGTAGCTAGTAGTAACATTGCGAAGGCGAGTGTGTTTGCCGTTGTATCGTGCCCAGCGAAATTAATGACAAAGATATTACCAAATATTTCATCAACTGAGAGTCCTCTCGGGAGTCTCCCAGCTGGGTCTTCAGCTCGATCATTGTTACTTTGATTTGCATGATGCGCATGTATAAGCGATGTCATGAGCCCACCCGAACCGGACTTATTAAGCTCGTGTGCTCTCAATTCTTCGTGAAGCATCTCATTCATGTACTTCTTGAATAGACTGCCTGCCTGGCCAATGCGAGCCAATCTCCTAGGCATCAAAGGAAACATTAACACCTGGTAAGGTAGAAGCATAAGTAATATGACGTTGTCCAAAATAGTCTGTAAAGCGTCTCTATATGTTCCTGTTCCGACAACGGAATCGTCCGCTGAGCCGATGAACCTATAAGTCTTACGAAAGCCAGTCGCGGCAAGTATATTCAGCGATAGCGATCGAGTGTCCCGTTGAATGCTGGGAATACCTGTCCGCTCAGTGCTTGGTCTTGTCCAGGACTTCAACATGCCCTGAGATTGACGCAGAGATTCGTCCCATACGAAGCTCATAATACTCTCATTAAAGGGTGCGGCAAGGGCTTTCCTGTGGCGAGGCCAGTTTTCTACATCTGCTGTCGATATGCAAGGGCCGAAGACTTCTAATATCTCTGTTGAACGTCAGCAAAAGTTATGAAACGTTACTACAGTGCCAAAACACAATTCTGACCCGAACCAAGTACAGGAGACTCCTCGAGGTACCACTAGACTCATGTCTTGTTACAGTATGTGGAGATAATTCTATGCTTACTGTAGCCTTCAATCGGTCTTACGAAGTCGCGCCGGTGAGCAAAAATGTGACCAATAGCCTCTGGATCTGATATATGAACATCGATTCTGACTGGAGACACCAGTGCCCAGATCGGACCCAATCTATCGTGATCTGAAGATTTCTCGTGAAAGTGCCATCCTCGACGAAGGTGTCGAATCGATGCTGGGTACGATGTCCAGTCGAACGGCAAGCTGTCCAAAACTGACCAGATGAGGTGTCCGAAAACCTGCCAGAGTATATTGTGGGAATCTATAGGTAGTCGAACGCAGGGAATGCCCATCCTGGACGCCACGCGCATGTTTATCTCGAGACATGCCAGCGTCCATGAGCCGTACGCGATCAGCAAACCAAGGACGACTTGGAAGAACATGTCCGTGTGCTACCAACGTCGAGCGACCTCTATAAGTTTACTTAGAGGTGTAACACCGAAGATAGATGTCTTGTAGGGCCCTGGGATACTCCTTATGTAAAAGCTCGCATTAGAACTTAGGTCTGTTGGTTGCGAGATCAGACGCGCTGAAACATTTGAGTATTAATTAAGTTTGGCCCCGAACCAACACAGACCTAGGGGATGTGTCGTCTCACCACTAGTCTTAACCCGCTCTAGCGTAAATCCCACTCTGCTTAAGAGCGTTAAATTACCTCTTACTTAGACTACAACTACTGTCTGTTATCTACATCGATGTGGCTTGTTTTATGCGTGACCCCCTGATCATTCTTTGCTCATCCAGGCCCCATGCGGCTTGTATGGGAACTCTTCATGCATGTGTCTCGCAATCTGCTCTCGTGTTGTCACCCAGACATCTTCTTTCTCCGAAATATACATCATGAAGTTTCGCAAAGCCTCGCAGCGCCCGGGCTTGCCAGTAATCCTGGTATGTAGGGGAATGGTCATCATCTTTCCAGAGCTCGCACCCTCACGGTAGAGCATGTCAAACGTATTCTTCAGATATTTCTCGTAAGTCTCGGCAACAGAGCTACCGAATCCAGGTGCCATGTGGAACTTCCCATCGTTGCAATCATAGTTGTATGGTACGAGGAGCATTCCCTGTCTTTGATCCTCTGGCAATTCAGCTTCCCAAGGGAGGTCAATCCAGTATGGTACGTCATCCTGTCATGTTGGTCACATGGCATTCAGCTACGGACATCGCGTCTAATGACTTACGTTGTATACTTCTGAAGAGTAAAGAAACTCAGCATCTAGTTCTTTCCAGACTTCTGGAAACAACGACGGGGTGTTGGGTGTACCACGTCCAAAGTACGCACCCGTGGGCATCCTACCTGTACCCAGTCAGCAGATGGCGGTAGGATCTCACGGAAGTAGTAGTTTACCGGTCACCTCTTTCAGTGTCGTGAGCGTCTTCTTGATGTACTCTTTATCTTCCTCGAGACCATAATCCCATATATCGAGCCATCGATAACCGTGGGCGCAGATCTCGTGACCATCTCGAACAAGTGCCTGCGCAAACTTTGGGTTCTTTTGCAAGGCTAAAGCTACCGCAAAAGTGGTGAAATTCCAACCAAACTCCTTGAACAGACGGATAAAACGCCATGAAGCTGTGCGCGATCCATATTCAAAGTCCTGCTCCGCATTTAGATATCTGGCATTCTTGCGGAAGCCTCCCGATGAGCCTTTCTCCCAAAGATATGGCTCTGATATTTCATCACCATCTAGCACGGATCTTTCACCTCCCTCTTCATAGTTCAGGACGAATGATACCGCGATCCTAGCACCGTTCGGCCATTTTGGATCAAAACTGTCCTCTCCGAAACCTAGGTCAAGTTAGCAATAGTAGTCAAAGCAAGCGGAATTGATAGGAACGGACCTTCAAAGTTTCTCGGTATCTGCAGCTTCTTCTCTATGTGAACCATATTAATACTTCCAAGAATGGAGAATTCCAGTAAGCTTCGATCGCTACTTTGATTGCTAAGCTTTATAGAGAGGCAGTCAATAGCGACCCCTCCTAGTGGATATGGTGATACACATCCATGTGAGATCTTTATTCGTCGCGATCTAACCCCGTTACGAGACAAAACATGACTCGCAAACCCGCTCGGACGTCCGATCTATAAAGTGGAGAACTATCTCAATAAGCAAGGAACCCGACAAGGGCATCCGATAAGAACCAATCTTATCAGACCCTTACCACAGACTGTAAATGCGGCAGGCCTTGACACATGATAATATACCGCATTAGTCTTCTGAGTCGTTAAGTTGTCGCTGCTACGCGATGCACTATATGACACCATGTTATGAGTAGGAGTAATAAAGATTTCTTGATAAGACGTGTTCGTCCATTTGAAATCAGACGGTACTAACGATAGTTCAGCCATGTCGGTCTTTTCGCTAGAGGTGAAAGAATCTAATCCCGTCACGTCGCAGACTGTGGATGAGCTCTGCTCCCTATGGGGCGTCGCAATCAACGATGAAGAGAAAAAAGACTATGAGACACTCTTGGCCGTATTCCATGACTCTGCGGATGCTATGATGAAATTACCAGGTAATTGGATGTACATGACTCCTTTGCGTACCTCTTTCTTACAGAGTGCAGAGTATAGCCCTACTGTTGATCTAGATCGCTTCCCACGCCAACATGTTCGGTTGCCGAATCCTGAGAAGAATACATTAGGAGCGTGGGCCTGGAAATGTGAGATCATAGACCAGAGAGGGCCAAATGGAGATCTTTCTGGTAAATCTGTCGCCCTGAAAGACAACATTGCTGTCAAAAATGTTCCGATGTTGATGGGGACAGATATGGTCAAGGGTTACGTGCCAGTAAGATAATCTCAGACCAGGTATTATCATATATTAACAAGTCCATAGGCCATAGATGCGACAGTTGTCACAAGAATCCTCGAGGCTGGTGGTAGGATAACTGGCAAGGCTGTCTGCGAGAATTTATGTCACTCTGCAACTAGTTCATCAGCGGCCACTGGGCCCGTTCATAATCCATATGCGAAAGGATATAGCAGTGGAGGGAGCTCAAGTGGAAGTGGTGCCCTTGTTGCTAACCATGATGTTGACCTAGCTCTTGGAGCTGATCAAGGTGGCTCTGTCCGCGTGGTGAGTCCTGTTTCTCCCCTGAGCGCTTGTTTGAAGGCTAACAATGCAGCCTGCCGGGTGGTGTGGCATATATGGTCTCAAGCCAACCTTTGGTCTAATTCCATACACTGGTTGCGGCAGTAACGAGCCTACAAACGACCATCTGGGGCCCATGTCACGCACAGTGCTCGACAATGCCTTACTCCTCCAAGCTATTGCCGGAAATGACAACATAGATGACCGCTCCTTTGCAACACCCTCACCCTCCCGGATCCCGAGATACCACACCAGATTACTCGAAATTCCTAATCCCACTGATCTAGCTGGTGTTCGCATCGGTGTGCTCAGCGAAGCATTCACCCAGCCCGCTCTCGACTCACGTGTGGTCGAGTGCGTCCGTTCCGCCATCGCCGAGTTCATACGTCTCGGTGCCATAGTCGAGGACGTGAGCATTCCAATGCATACTCACGGTGCATCAATCTGGACCGCTGTCAGCAAAGTAGGCGGGTACCTCGCCAAACAAAATCTTGCATTCGGCCGCCGTGGTCATGCCATGAACGATCTTGCAAATCTATTTACACCGCTTACACAATCCTCGTGGGACGCTGCATATGTCAGTACAAAGAATATCTATCTTAACGGCGCGTATGCTGTCAAACACTTTCCTAGTCTCCTGGGCCATGCGACAAATCTTTCACGCCAACTGCGAGATGCATATGACGTAGCGTTGGAAAATTATGATGTTCTAGTCCTGCCAAATCTACCGTATATAGCGACGAGTAATTTTGATAAAGAGGATAAGCCGTTGGAGAAAATTAGGAAGCAGGTGGGCTTGACCGGTAACACGGCATCGTTCAATCAAAGTGGACACCCGGTGCTGGCAATGCCGATTGGGATGCTGGAGATTCAGGAGGGCCCGTTGAAAGGGAGTGGAGTGAAGTTACCTGTGAGTATGCAAGTTGTAGGGAAGTGGTGGGGTGAGGAGCGTGTATACAAGGTAGCATATGCGTGGGAGAAGGCATGCAACTGGAAGAGTAGGTAAGGGTATTTTTGTAGACAGATAGAGTATGTATTTATACAGTGCTACATAGGCCATGACCCTCGTTTTAAAGCTCTTCTATCTGCTGTAATATACAGAGAATAGAATTTATGCTCTATAGCTAGCAAATCGTGTTTCAGCGTTCGTGTAACCTAGTGTGATAATCTCTGCTGCCACCCTTTCTAACAGTAGAGAGAGTGTAGTGAGAAAGTGAAATGTCTGGTGCTGAAATAACCTTCACCTGATATGTTGGTTTTGACACACTGTGCACCTCACTTGCGCTTCTCTTCTCCTGTGCTTTGTCTTCAGTAGTATAATCATAGGCTTTCAAAAACAAAGTGTAAGCTTCTCTAAATGATTTGAACAATTGAAACGGTCATTTACTCAGTCGTTCGGTAGCGGTACTTATAGATACAGATATTAAATCTCAAACTATACCCTTCTTCTGTTCTCCTCTCACAATCTCACTCATGGTATCGTCATCCGTAGTACTAGCGATACCCACTACTCCCATACTATTTTTGATGCTGTCGACACTCTCACCACTAAAGAATCCCTCTGTGGCTGCCATATACTCGAAGGTCTTCTCAGCATTTCCAGCTTGTGATGCCGGGTACACAGGCGTAGGCCAGATTAGCGAGAGGCAGTAGAATATTACTGCACCCATTGCAAAGCTAAGGAAGAAGCCCAGTTTATACATATTTTTACTCGACTGGTTCACGGAGTCTGGATCAAGGCTCCCAGCAATGCCATGCACAGTGAACGCGACGCCGGCAATCCAAGCGGCAATTGCGCGTAGGTTCCATCCATGGGTATATTCGTATGGTGTTCCCGACTTCTTCTCGTATAGAGATGGAACGTGGAAATTGCCGTTTCGAAGCACCCAGTAGTCAACGATCATAATCCCCACAATAGGCATCAGGAAGACGGTATACGAACCAAGGAAGACTAGGAACGAGGACGCACTCGAAATGATTTTCCAGGGGACACACAATGGAGCAAGAAGTGCACATACGACCTGACCGCGGACGATGTTGACGTAACGTGGAAAGAGGCCAGAGGTGTCTGCTCCAACAGGGAGTGAGTTTGATCCGGCATTTGTTGCTAGTATCGCGAGGACCATGCTCTATGCAAGTTGTTAATATAAACAGTGGAGGATGTAATTGTTGGGAAACGCACTAAAGCTACGAAGAAGATGCCAGCACGAGCTGTGGAGTTCCAGTATTGGTCTAGGATTGCGCCATACGCATCCCACACGTTCCAGTAGCTCTTTCCAAGCACCCCTGTGGTAGCAGAGGTCGTGGCACACGAAATGAACATGACGAGCACTTTGCTGATGAGAATTCCGAACGCCTGGCTCCATGTTGCTTGGCTTGGGCGGGCTGCGTACCTAGCTACATCGGGCTGGTTAACTAGGATTGGACAAAGTGCTCCACATACAGAGTTGATAGCTTGAATCATAGGCCAGACCAGTGCAGATCCTGTGAGAACTTTTTGGTCTGTAAACGCGAAGCCACCGATAGTTCCCCCGTTCTTGGAAACTGCCCAGCCTAGCATGCCGAGAAGGGCTGTGGTGGTGTATACGGCTTTGACGACGAAGAGATGGCGAAGCACCGTGGGATGCAAGAACATGACGGGCAGTTGAATCAACCAGAAGATGAAGAATGCTAAGAGATTGCCAGACGTAATTCCTGCAGACACCGGAAGGTGGTTCGGAATTCCGGTCCAGTGATGGCCAAAGATTGCCCGTAGGCAGACAGACATTAACATGCCACCATAAAAACTTTGCGTCGCAAAGTAGATGACAGCAACGCTGGCACGGACTCCAATGAACAGCCTCGCGCCGCCAAGGCCACTAGATGCTCTGACGTAGACAGGGAAGCCAATATGATATCTACTAGCTCCACGGGAGTTTAATATCACGATGATGGAAAGGAATACTGAGCCGATGACAGCTGCAATGATCCCATGCCACCATTGCTAGAAATAAATCAGCTGACTAGGAAAATGTATTAATTAGACTGCATGTGAACCTACCAAGCCCGTGGCGATCAAAGTGGCTCCAAGGTTGTATGACCCTGGTGAGAATGTCTGGGTTAAGTAGTACGTGAAGAAATGTACCATATTCCATTTTCTGTGCTCTAGCAACTGAAGATTAGTTAAGTATGTCAAGAAGACTACGGTAATCGTACCTAATCGCGTCGGAAGTAGGTCTTCATTGAAGTATGCCTTTCCTTTAGCAGGAGCTTCTTTGGTTCTCACTAATCGTTTGAAATCGTCAATGGACGAGAAAAGATTCTTGACAGACGTCAAGCCAAGCATCATGCTAACTCGAAGTATCAAATCGGGCTGTGATGGTGCCTGATGATCTGCAAGGATTCAGACTATCCTAAATGTAGGTTTCGACTCTGCCAAGGTACGACGCAGCTACCTGTGTGTGATCTGCGTGGGGTCGCCGATGGGTCAAACAACGTGTGTTTAAGTCACCGCTACCACGTCAAAGCGAATGTACATACGCATGATATACGCAGTCTTCCCATGATTGAAATATTCAGACAGACACTAGAGTCATTCGGCAGGTGGCGGACCACCGACAATGTTTCGGAGTATCGATGGGCGAAATGACATGGGTTATCTTGGGATATCATGGTTCCTGTCATGATGGGAGAAACCCGCGTCGAAGGTGGGATATTAAAGTGGAGATGTGCTATCATGTACGCATGTATGAATAGTGCAAGGGGTTGTTTTCTTATCTATGGATGATCACAAAATCTCTCATTTTCCTGGCGTCTTGGAAGTCCCCACCTGTCTCGGTTGCTCCGTGCAGTGCGATCTGTGCACTCTTCCGAAAAACCTCCGCGCCGGGCCGGCTGCCGGGATGCGAAGATATGCACGAACTCGTTCCCTTCATCCACAATACACTTGATTTGCCCATCATCAAACCACCCCTTCGCCGTAGACGGACCGCCAAAACGTCTCGGAAGCTTGTTCATCCATCGTGAACTCAACATGGTGCCTCTTGCTAACGTTGCCAAGATGTCCGCCTTGCGCAAGTCCACATTAGCTAGTGGGCGTGTTTGGTTGTTGTCGGCCTCAGCATCTCAGCACGTGTTTTTCATCATCCTTAATTACGACACGCTGTGGATGCTAAGGCCTTCCGCAGTCTTGGGACGGTGATTGCAAACCATAATATTCACCGAAGCTAAACTCTGGGCAAATGACGCTGTTTCATGCCCTTGTTCTGTACATTCCATATCATCTATATATGTGCTTTCCCGTTCGTTATGGACATGCCGAAGCTCTCAAAGCCCACAGTGGTGGTACCATACTCAATATCAAGACGATCACTACAGCATAGATCTCTCACTGTGCACTGCATAGACTTTTCCAGTTTCTAGTCCTAGTAAGACAGCAGCTTTATCATTAGCCTGCATGCAGTGCTAATATATTCAAAGTAACACCTTGGTGGCAACTCAGAAAGCCACTCCTCGATATTCAGCCTATTTCGGTTCTCTCCCTTCACCATGGGTGGAATGATGAGAGAGAATGCCGCACAGATGCGTGCAGAGCGCGCCCTGACCGACCAAATGAAGATCCTCCCCAAGAGTCAACTATACGCCGTGACATCCATACTTTCCATTGCAATGTTGGCCACATACATGGATCAAAACGGTGTCAGTGTTACTGTCCCAATCATTGGCACCTCCCTGGGGGCCGAAGATACCATATCCTGGGCAGGTACGAGCAGTCTAGTAGCCAACACCGTATTCAGTGCGCTCTACGGACGGATGAGTGACATATGGGGCCGCAAAAGAGTTTTCATATCCGCGCTCGTGGTGCTATCATTTGCGGATGTTATGTGCGGCTTGTCACAGAATGGACCAATGCTCTACTTCTTCCGTGGCGTCGCCGGTGCAGCTGGTGGCGGCGTGACGAACCTGACAATGATGATCCTCTCTGACGTTTGCACCCTTGAGCAACGTGGGACATTCCAAGGCATTATAGGCAGCATGGTAGGCATTGGGAACGTCATCGGTCCATTCATCGCCGCTGCGTTCCTCAGCACAAATGTGAATAAAGAAGAAAGCCGTCTAGGCGTCGGCTGGAGAGCATACTTCTACTTCCTAGCACCATTGGTGGCTGCAGCTGCAGTTGTGTCTGGGATATTACTTCCGAATCTACAGAAGGAGAATAAGAAACTGGATCACAAGTCCTGTGAGAAGAAAGTCTTGACTGCGTGGGAGAATGTCCAGATGTTCGACTGGGGCGGTCTTGTTCTTAGCGCTGCGTCGATAATACTTATCCTGATCCCCATATCCGGTGGTGGCGCATATTTTCCGTGGAATGGCCCGGTCGTCATATCCTTCCTCGTCATCGGAAGTGTCCTTCTCGTCGCACTCATCCTATATGAATGGAAGGTCGCAAGATTGCCTATGATACCTGGTACATCCCCTTTATGCTCCAACACTCTCACACATGACAAAAACTGACCAATCTTGTAGTAACCCTCTTCAGCAATACCGCCATAGCAGTAGTGCTCGCCCAATGCTTCCTCATTGGCTTCGTCTACCAGACATATATATATTACCTACCTTTATACTTCCAAAACGTGCGCCAATTCTCGCCTATCGTCTCTGCGGCCTTGATCTGCCCGATCGTCGTCATGCAAGCCACGTTTTCTGTGGCCACGGGCCGATACATCTCTTATCGCAAGCGCTATGGTGAAGTTATCATTGTTGGCTTCATTCTCTTCACTCTTGGTGCAGGACTGACAGTTCTGTTTGATGTGGATACATCACCTGTGGCGATAGTCTTCACCCTGGGCTGCGTCGGCATCGGCGTGGGATGTGTGTTCCAGCCGACGCTGATTGCGCTGCAAGCTCATAGCCCAAAACCAAATCGAGCAGTTGCAGTATCAATGAGGAATTTCTTCCGATGCCTGGGCGGAGCGATCGGGCTGGCTGCTTCTGCGGCTGTGCTGCAGGCGACGCTACGCAAGAATCTCCCAGAGGAGTTCAGCAGTTATGCAGACCATACATACAGTCTCAGCGGCGCCGGGAAAGAGGTTAGTCCGGAGAATTTTGCGAGGATCAGACATGGCTATATGCTCTCGAGCCGCGCAGTGTTCATTGTACAGGTCCCGCTTATGTTCCTTTGTTTGCTGGGCTGCTGGTTTGTCAAAGATAGAGGATTGGAGAGGCCAGATGAGCGCGAAGAGAGGGAGAGAAGGGAGAGATCACAGCAGACAATGGTTATGGAAGACACGGATATTGAGAAGGCTGTTCGGCAGCTTGATAGTGAGATGACAAGTGATGATGAAATGGTTGACAGTGGTAAGAGCAGCGAGGAACAAGTCCGATCATAGGCGCTGCATGGGGTTGGAAGACTTTGATGATCATGACTAAAAGTATATAGAGCCCAAAACCATAGACGAGATAACGATGCATAGAATCATGATTTACTTGCACCTTCAATCTTTCATACTGACTACTGAACTGATAATTTGCAGCGCATCGAGCAGAAGAGAACCAAACCGACGAGAATCATAAGCTCGCACAAGACAAACCTTTCTTGTAAAAATCCCCGCGCCTTGTCGGCTCCTAGCATCTCCAAGACGATTCCACGCTTAGCATGGCCCTCACCGAGACCTTAACAATCTTGTCCGGTTCTTGGATGACCATTTTACGTCTGCAGGATCACTGACCACTTCGTTTCAACATCTATAGGCTAAAGTTATCCCCTTGTCAAGGATGTCACTAGAGTTGTTTGATGCTTGGTTCGACACGTGCGATCGACAATGGAGATCATCGGACAAGTTTATCCGAATCTTAGGTGACCGTACCAACCATTTGTCTAAGCAAAACTTTGATCTCGTGAATAGAATCGCCTGTCAATCAGGTCAAGTGAGGATAGTTACAAATTAATTAGACTACCCTACAAGACTAAACGCGCCAAACATTCCTCGATCTAATGGACTATCTGAACCACGTTTCGCACTTCGACGGACAATTTCAAAATTCCTCGGAAAGTTCCATAGTCAAACCCATTCGTATTCGGAACGATTGGGTTCCATGGCGAGGTAGGAGAGGCTGACCTAAAGTTGATGCATACACAAGGCATTGTGATATGTCAGCCCTTGGTTGAGCTGGCGTGTGGAATAGTGAACGTAATAAAAATTATTCTATAAGGCGAGATAGTGGAGAAGCCGATGATAGGTCTTCAAGCGAAATACGGAGACAATGAATGCATTCGACTAAAGTTCCAGAATTTGGCTTCATTGCTGGTTCTCGTGTTCGCAATCACCGCTGTCGTGCATATAAAGCATTCCGCCCACAAAAATTACTTGATAAGCACCCAGACACTTTTATCTCTCTACTATTTTTGCAATAGTGACAGTAGACTAAGCTTATACAATACACCTTTAGCATTCTCTGACGCCTCACACGCAGATTCATGTACGCTCATAGGCCTAATACGAACCCATGTGGAGGCGACCAAAGTATGTGTGATGTTTTCAGTAGCAATGATTACGATCCATCAGTCCTAATGTCACAATACAGTTGCGGCGTGTCGAACATCTGGCTTTGGTGGCCTCAAGAGTCGAGGGATTTTTTCAAAGATCAAGACTGGCAGCTGGAGAAACCTGACTGATTGCCTTCGCAGTTGAGAGTGTTAATGTTACAGTAGGACTCACGTATAACGGCATGATCAGGAAGAAGACATACTTAGTCTACTCTATGACGTGTTCTATTTCACTGGCATTTGATTGTCAATGGTTTTACTCAAGCCTGAATCCCAATCATTCCATCCCGTCTCTTCATATTCGTATTCTCAAAGGTTAACCTACGAACTACACTTTGCGATATATGTGTAAAAGCTGATATTCGTCGCGTGCTACATCACAAGACTTGATGAGGAAGGGCCCCGTTGAGGGTATCTTGCAACTAATAAACTTACTTACCTACAATGTAGCTCTCACTAATGAAATATATGGATATTTCTTAAAGGATGCCTACAAGCACCATTATGATACAGTTTTCCGTGAAATATGAATGTATATTTCGATACTGAGAATTGCGATCTATGCCATATGACTGGTCAGAATGATTGCGCTTGATCGAAGGGCTCTAGGTTTCACAAGTCTAGCATTGGGAGAGGTATGGACTTTGGAACGCATAATATCTCACTCAGATTAGGACCTCATATAGCGTCATCCTGTATTTCATGCAACAATAAGTTATAGAATGGAAGGTTTATAGTTGCCGGACGTGAATGTGACAAGAGGTGTTATGGTATCCCGATCGATGGCAGCATCATACATTTTGACGATCCATGTTGCTGGCCTCCTGGTGCCGATCGAAGATTTCTATCACACTCATGAGGTTTTTTTTTCATTCAACTCCTCCTTAAAAGAATGCCACAGCAATATTTACCGGCTCTACGAAATAATGGAGGTAGCTCTGATATAAGTTCCACGTCGTGTCCAGTGTTGGCTGATAGGTATCGCAAGGATCCTAAGGTGTGGCAAAGCCCAACCCAGTTGTCTAGTCGATGAAAGATCAAACCACTGTGCCAATTGAGTACACTCGTCTCCAAAGATTATGACCAGTGTTTTGACTCTGTTGATTTCAGGTAATCTTTCTGCGTACGGTAGCTTAAGGGAGTCGAACATACTTAGCTTGTAAAGCCCCTTGGGACGAGGTAGGAAGCAGTTCCACGACTCTTGAGGAGAAAATACGGCCATCTTCAGTTCAATATCATCAGAGCCTGGTCGGTCCCAGGTCTTGATCAGGTCGAATAGTTTTGTGACTTGTTCGTGGATGTGGTCGTTGTCAGCGTCACGCATCCACTGTATATACTTGATCTGACTTTCCTTTCCGTGGCTTTCAAGGTATACTTCGAAAGAGAGCCTTGATAGAGCTTGCTGACGGTGCTCGTACCGAAAGTACTCACAGAATTTATCCCATGATAAAGCAGAACTCTGTAGAATGAATTCTCTGTCAGGGAAAATCTTGCGGAACACCATGGTTTCGATGATGCTGAGCCAGGACTGGGACACGAGACTATACTTGCTGAACTCGATCGCTGCTGAAAGATTCTGTACACCAGCCTCGCCTGTTTTGTCATTCGTCAGCCTTTGTTCCATAGAGTGAAAAGATGGATCATTCTTGAGACATACAAGCAGCTTGAGAAAGAGGTATATCTCCAAATACATTTTCGAACAGTTCTTCAAACACCATGAGTTTCAACTCTATCGGGATGTCTTCAAATGATGCCATCATTTGAGTGCCCGTCAAGCACTGGAATTTGAAGGTCAAGGTTCAATTAACTTCGAAGCTCGATCAGAACACGATCTTTTTCCAGTTCAGAGATCTATCCGAATTTTATTCCAGTCGCTAGAAGCTCGCTAACCTTGCAAGTGTGACGAAGTAGATTCTGAGGTGGAGAGAGTGAGTCAAGATTCCTGGCAGATTTCAACCATGTGATGAGTTCTGGTGTGCGCTTTCGCGTTGTACCTGCTACTGTTTTGCGTCGTTTTGATTCAACGCTAGTCCTGAACTTGAAAATAAAATCGGATTTCTACCATAACACAGAAGGCAGCAGCTAGAGGAACGTGACATCGATGTATAGCCTTAATCTTTATATATGATCGAGGTCGTACCTACTTCGAAGTTATGTGTAGCAGTCTGCAACTTGCTCATAGCTAGATTCTCGCTCTAGACTTGGGAATTTGTATAATATACAGGTCACCACCTCTAAACATAGCATACAGGCCGACATGAAAGCGAACCATACTAGCTACATCCAGCATCCAGCTTTGCAGACCATGAGTACTAAAGCTTGTACAGTGCCATGCGTAGTGAGTTATCGCTGTCAGCCGTTCTGATCCTTTAATGAGTATAACCCAAAATGAGCTTGATCCTCTTGTGTCAGCGATCGCCGAAGTCATCGTGCAAGTTTTGCCGGTCACTGAGATTAAGAAGTTGTTTACGTATGACAAATGACACATGGATACGTGGGAAGCACTCAAACAACATCTAAAGATGACAATGTGTAAATCAACACTGGATTTTGTTGGGTGCGATGATTCGTAGAGAACCGAAAGCTTTCTTACGATATGTAAGTAGCCTCGGAACTGTCATGCGCGTTATCATGAGAGCTCTATTGAAATTGGCAGTGCATGCATTGGTTATATTTTGAGATATGATCGGACATCCGGGGTCTCTATCTGAGTCCCAGTGTCTTGGTGTGGGATACCGTCGACAAACAAGATGCTGGACGCCGCTCACGTCAACTCGAGTTTTGGCACTTACTTCGTTCTCTCTACACTGAAGACATTTATTATGACCGGCTGTTGAGAGTCGAAGCGACCGCGGAGTGCGACTCGAAAGACCGCGCAAAAGTGCATCACTTGAACCGAGATAGGTGTCAGAATACATCCTCTTACAGCCCGTCCAGCAGCTGACTTTGCTTATAGGCTACCACGCGTATGTATGTCGTTGGTGTCATGCATGTCTGGCACTAGACCAACTAGGCTGCTTAGGTAATTTGCCGACAGCATGCGATTTACGTTGCTATATATATGCGAAAACTTCATTCAATGAAGCTGGCGCCATATTGCAGATGAACTGTTCGACGAAATGATCCTGCAAGCAAGTGATTTCATGGAACTGCATTTCAACGATTCTGATGTCCAATCTGCAACTTAGACGCTACAAAGCTTGGCTGGACAATATGATGTTTCAGTTCAGATCATCGGAGTTATCCTAAGCTTTTTTTATAGCTTTTGTTGTGGGAATGTTTCTCGGGCTTTGTCCAAAGCATCGATGTGAGTGGCATCTTGATATAACTGGTTTCGACCGAACATTGACACCCGTTTGGTTATTACAGTATCGATCAGGTAGGATTGGTGTGGTATAGTATATATCACCAAATGATGTGAAGGAACAGAATCTAAAGGTACCGATGACTTCAACCATCATCCAGTAAGGAGTCTATCAATTCCCGATTGGCTCCACTTGAAGCGGCAATGGATTGAAGGGCGGCGTGTACAGCGCGGCTTTCTGACCTGACACTTCGTAGAGCTTGCTCGAGAGCTGAAACACGGCTGTTTAGTCGAGTATTTTCTTGAGAAAGGTGTCGATACCGTCCAAACTTGTGTTCGGAATCACTGTGTCCTTTGCGCTGTTCTAATGGCTCATTGTGAGCGTCTGGATCTTGACTCATATTGTAAGGTTGTAGCACGGGTGACACGAGAGTATTAGGGGCGTCTGGACTTTGACCCTCAAGACGTCGTTCCATCGTCTGTTTCTCCACAAGCCATCTGGCTTTCTCTTCTGCATTTCTCGCCTGTATCTGATTCGATAGTGCCACCATTTTCATGTACTGCGATCCACTTGCGGCACTCTTCCTCCTCTCTTCATCACGGCTCTCCTGCAGCTTCTCGATCTCAACTTCGAGTAATGCAACCTGGGCCTGTACTTGATCCCTTTCGGTAACCGCGGAATTCATTTCGATTTCACCGACTGCTGCTTTGTTCTCAAACGTTGCGCACCTAATCCTTTCCCGTTCCAACTTCTGTAAAAGCCTATCGTACTCTTGTCGCAAGGATTGATATTCCAACGTTTTGACACTGAGTTCGCGCTGTAAATCCTGAATATGTACAGCCTGAGCTGCGGTCGGCGCTCCGCCAGCTGACGAGGCGAACGACGGAGCTTGGAGTGCTGGGAAATTGAGTGAAGTTGGCGACGGTAGCATCCTTTGTGCTTGTGAGACCAGAGGCGGTGAGTGAGAGGTGGCATGAGTAGGGGTGTTTGCCACGGTACCAGAGCGGGAAACGATTTGAGGCTCCGCGGAGGAAGGGAGCGGTCGAGACGACGGAGGAAGTGGGCTACGTTCATACTTACTAGGATTTCGCTCTGGTGACGAGAAATCCGATCGTGCCGGATGTCGTTTGACCTCGTCGAGCACATCTACACTTGTTCGAACAGAAACTTGATCAGGGCTTCGTTTCATCGACGCTGAAGTCTTCTCCTGTATATTGTTGTTGTTGCATCTGACTACATCGAGTGCCCAAGAAGCAATACGGTCAAAGTCTGTGCTATCAATTTCAGGTTTCTAAGCTGACGTTAGTAAGGTGCACCAACACTGAACTACCGAATGTAGCGATTTATCTAGCCGTAACTTGCCTGCGTAGCAGCACTGGATGCTGGGCCAAGCGCAGTGGTCAGATGCGAGTCTAGCAACAGTAGTTCTGTCGCCAGCCCCTGAAGTATCGACCGAGTCTTAAGACAGATATCTCCTTTACATCTAGGCCCACAGCATGCCATCTTCTCATTTGGTCTCATGAAGCCTGCTGTTTGAGCATGCTCGTGTTGTGGACGAGCAGGTAATAATGTGCCTGGGACAAGTCAGCCCTAAAATTCCCTGCCAAGCAATCTCTGATTTGAACACCACTGAAAACAAAGATAATGTATCGCTATCATGAAGCAATAACTGAGTACGAAAACCTACTCTCATGAGCAATATGAAGCTTTGGTTTCTTCGGATGGAGGCTATTATCGTAAGGAAGATGCCTCCCAGAGGAGTGTCGCAAAAATGCCTCCGGTCTGGGAGAGCTTGATGGGGACAGGGGCGAATTTTGCTGACGCAGTACACGGAACGGCTCAGGTTCGTTGGAAGTCAGCAGCGGAGGGAGTGCCCGAGTATCGTGATCCTTTCTATGACCTGACAATAATGCATGTTGCCGTATTGGAGGCAGTGAAACAGTGCTGGCCGGAGTGATGCCATGCGTAGCAGCTAGATCTTCGTTCCATTGTCGCTTTCTGCCAGGCCCACCCTCCATTTAGGCTATTAGAACTCCTCAGTGATGCACTACGACTTCGCTGCGCCATCGACCGGCTAATAGCCGTGCCTATCTGTTCAAAGGAGGCGCAGAGTCGACGTTAATCGTCGAGAACCGCAAGCAGAAATGTCGGAGCCACCCTCAGTATCGCAAGCCGCTGTATATCAAGAAGAGAAACGCGTTCCGGTCCAGTGAAGTGGTGGCCGCAGGTTGATTCGTAGTAACTTGACAATAAGACCGAAGGCAGCTAGTAAACGTAGATGTACACAGAAAACGACGACAAATATATCATTGAGCGCGCCCGATGAGATGTCCAGCGAGATATTCCTAGATCTTACATAACCACCAATAGGGTGATGGTATGACGGTGGGTTCTGTGCTGATCTTCAAGCGCATTGACACAGAAATGAGGTTTAGCTCTGGCGCACGACGGGATGAGAAGCTAAAGACGCCCCTCGGCGATGGAATTACAAGAGATGAGGAAGAGAGAACGGGGCACGCGAAGCGAACATAGCTTTGATGAGAAGAGCTACGTCTTTTCGATGGACAGCCACGGCAGCGGTGGGTTGGATGATCTCTGTTAAAAGGGAGTACAATGACCGCTGAGCCGAGAAACAATCGATTACTAAGGCGCACGTAACAGCGACGGGTCTTGGTAAGACATGCAGATTGCAAAGTAATAGCGACGGTTGCCTTTTGCAAGATTCGCTCGCAAAAACTGTTTGTAGTGCGTCCTTCTGCCTCTGGGAGTCAAGGAGAGTATATCATTGTCGCTACATGTCTTGATCATAGCGAAAGAGGGCTCAATACTGTTGGCGGCTTCACTGGACCAGCGCTGAAGGACTGTGTACGCGGACTCTCGCCAAGCCCCATTACGGTATAATGTCATCCCAGGGTTATGGCTTATCTTGCAGACTCATGCACGCGTGTTACATCCCGAGCATGGCCGATGCGAGTCAGCGTTGGATATGGCCTCTGATAATACCATGTAGAGGTCATAAGCCTAGTGTCTCTCGTTCAATATCCTCGTCACCTCATGTTGGTCATAGAGCGAGTCGGGATATACGTCTGAGATGTTCCGGGATGGTAAGCCCAAGAATACGCAGCAACATGTGGAGCTCGGCGGGCACGGTCCGCGATTGTCGGATGACTGTCTGACAGACCTGTGGCAAGGCTGAGAACCTCAAGCGAACCGTTTTCGGTGGTAGAAGCATTCCAAGGACGCTCTCTGACTAATGTTATTGCCTCATACATCATGCTTACAAGTTAAGGCGAGCTTGCACTAAACGAGTTTCTTCCGCTTCGTATTTGACGTCTAAAGAAATCTGTTTCCTAGATCATGAAGTGAAACAAATTCGTCCCATGGAGACGATTGAGAATATGAATTCCTCGGGGGCCAAGGATCGGCCAAATGATCCGGTGCGGTGCTTAGTGTTAAGCCACAAATGGGGGCATTTTTCGTGGGACTCTGCTTTCAAAATTTATCATCTGAGCAGCGTCAAAACATTCAGCATGCCCTCAAGCGTAGGCTTTCTTGGGTATCCTGAGAGAGATCAGTGATGGTTGAATCAAGGGACTTCAGGGATAAGGACTCGATACGTATGCGAGACAGGGCAATCTGCGAAGTGTGGAAGAATGCTAAAGTCTTAACTAATTAGTGCTGTGAGGATGACTTCTAATGTGGAGTTGGAGGCGCTTAGCCACACGTATATCTGCTTTAGGATTAGTGTCCTTGCCCTTCCTGCGTTGGACCTTTGACCCGCGGCAATCAGTTCTTGGGCCCACTCAAGTCTTCTACATCAACAATGCCCGCGTCCTCAGTCAGCAATCCACAAAGCTCTAGGAGTGGCCAGTCGAGGATCCAGAGGCCCGTTTCTTATCATGAGGTACACTCTATACTACGATTGAGGCATATAGGGTCTAACCAGACCTCAGAAACATGCTCGACCTGATCCCCCAAACCTCAAGCCACATCCCGATGCTCCACGTGGGGACAGATCCCCAACGCGTCTTCCAATATCATCGAAGAGCTCTTTCGGACCAAAAAATGATGCTCCTACCCAGCGACGAGTGCTGAGGCCGCCGAAGGGCTATAATGAACCTGCAAAGGCACGGACAGTCCCTTTGGCCGCAGCTGAGAACCCACCAAAGCCGACTGGAGCAGATGAGACAAAGAAGAGCACTAGCGATGCATGTGGTTCGTCAGACATAGTTAAAACCGAGAGCGCATTAGAAGCGGAGAGTTGCACTTCTAAGGAGGGTCCCTGGGTACAAGATGACAGTGCTAGTGTGAGTCCACCTCAAGAAGCACAGGAGCCGAAGACTTCGACAAGAACTCCTGCAGTGACGCGACAGATGTCGGTTGGACTTCAGCGATCACAGTCACTACGTAAACCAACACCCTCAGCCTCAAGTCGACCACCAGATGTTCGTACACACTCGCGCCATGCCTCAACGACAAGCACAGTAGCATCTGGAAGGTCTTCGAGAGTAACATCGTCAGAGGTGAGAGGTGGGCGACAAGATCACAACAACGATGCGTCCTCGAAAGATCGAGTGCTGAGATCTGCCTCCACCACCCAAGGAGTCAAAAGATCTGTCAGTACACGCATGAAGACGGAGCAGCCAAATTCCTCAGTGACAAGCTCTGCTCATGTCAAAGACAATAAAACGTCATCAAGCACAACAACTGCCAAGCGCGACATATCTGGAGGCACAGCGCCCCAATTAAATCGTCCAGCATTTTCCACCATGCAGCAGCACTTCTCACCGCGAAAGACTACCAAAGCAGCAACCTCAACATTCATCCACCCAAATGCATCTGATACCCCTGCTCCCCAGTCCACAGAAACGACGCGTCTTCAAACAGAACTGCTCCACCTCTCCATCCTACACGAAGCCTCTCTCCTCACCAGCACCCGGTATAACGCTAGCGCACATGCTGCCCTGGAAAACAAATTCAATGCCGTGGCTCGTCAACACCAAGCCATGCGCGTCAATGAGCGCAAAATGCAAGAGCGCCTAAACCTCCTTGCTCTTAGTGAGTGGACAAGCGGCAGCACGTCTTTTGGGCTGAGCGAGAACATCCATCTGCTCAGCTCAATCCTGAAGGAATTACCGCCGCTTACCGACGCAGGCGGACGATTCCCACGACTCGTAGAGACTTTCGAGACATGGATAGCGCAGGTTGGGGATGTATGGGCGGCGCGCGATAAAGAGGGTGGCGAAGACAATCATTCAAGCAAATTTATAGATGGACTGAGCGAAGACTGGTCTACAGAGAATGCGTCTTTGACCCGGAGACTGACAGCTTTGGCGCGGGAATCAGAGATGCTGATGCCTGCGAAGGAAGGCTCCAGCGTTGCGACGCTCGTGGTGGGCTGTAAGCGATTATTACGAGGAACTTTAGATGAACTGGTGGCCATGACGAAGATTGAGAAGGATGTCATGGCAAGGGAGAAGGCCTGGGTGCAAGAGAAGATCGAGAGCATCAATTTCGAGGAATTGGTCTGATAGTGTGCCCTAGACGCGACGCGCAACCAACTAAACCTATGTCAGGACAGACTCCGGAGCGGAATTGATGGTACACCAAATGTAGATGGGTTCATGAAAGATCATGACTATGGCTCACGATGTACGATGATATCAGCTACGTCGAAGCATTTTGCAACGCATGGGCATGTAGAAGCATACAAGGACCGCGTATAGCGCAACATTTGCGCAATACATAATTGTTCCATGACGCTAATGAGACTTGTGCGCCCGACAAAAACTCGTCGTATTGCATTATCAAAGCTTTTGTTTATCCGCATTATCGCTTCTGCCCTAGTCAGCCCCTGTCTAGGCGCACATGTACACTACATGTCTTCACTTACTAAACACCCAGCCGCTTCGCATGCCACTCCACATGTTCGTCAGCAAAGCTCGCCACGAAAAAATGATCGTGCCCATACTCGGGCTGAAACCTCAACTGCACCCCCTTGTCATTCCCGCTCTCCTTGGCCGCAGCCAAAAAGTTTTCCGGCAGCAACTGTCCCTCTTTATAGAACCCGTCGCCAGTACCGACATCTATGAGTAGCTCCAAGGGGCCTCTGTGTTTTTTGACGAGTTCGGTGGCATCGTGCTCTGCCCATTTGGACTTGTTGGCTTCGCCGAAGTAGCCAGAGAAGGCTTTCTGGCCCCATTGGCAGGCGCTGGGGTTAGAGATCGGTGCGAAGGCGGAGCAGGATACGTAGGCGGTCGGGTTGCGAAGGAACTGTTCACACAAGTCAATGAGCGCCGGCCAGATTTCGCACAATTGGAGTACGTGAATGCAAGGTAAGCGAAAGGGTACAAACCAATGTCAGCGCACCATGTCCACCCATGCTGAAGCCCGTCAGACTGACTTTGCTAGAGTCTAGCTCCTTGAAGCTCGACCATAGTGCCTCCGGTAGCTCTTTTGTGACGTATGTGTACATGTTATAGCCCTTGTTCCACGGCTCTTGGGTTGCATCGATGAAGAAGCCGGCCGCAGAGCCGAAGTCATATGCATCATCTTCGCCGGGAATGTTGAGGCCGCCTGTGTGCGTCAGCCTTGATCTCTGAATCTAGAGTTGCAATGAGCTCACGAGGGCTAGTGTCGGGATACACTATGGCGATGCCCTTCTTTGCTGCCGCATGTTGTAGGAAGCCTTTCTCTGTACAGTTGTCGGGTGTGCATGTAAGACCGGAGAGCCAGAAGAGGACAGGAACTTTTTTGGAGGATGCTTGAGGCGGCAGGTACAGATTTACATTCATGTCGCAGCTTGTAGATTTGGCGGTATGGGTGAGCTTCAAAAGCTTGCCGCCGAACATGGCGATAGTCTTGTTGGTTGTGAACGACATTGCGATAGTTGTAGAACGGCACAAAGGTGTGTGGAACTCAATTGGTGTGGATTATGGGCAGTCGACAGTGCCGGACATGTGGAATGTTTATAGCTACGCTGCAGCTGTGACGTTTTGCGGGTATGCGGGGCTTGAGGTGCATCAGACGAGCGTTCAACCCCACATGGTCGAATAGAGTAAAAAGTCCCGAGGCTAGTGAACTGTTTATAGGATGCTCCATTAGGGATTTATCTATCTTCACTATTGTGAAAGCCTTTTGGTGGAATAGCTCCTATGCTACTCGAAGGCTCATCCATCTATATGAAGCAAGATGTCGCTGACCTTGTGCCCGAGTAGAAATCCAGCTTTGAGTGATTGTTTGTAACGCCGAAAAATGCTCAAACTGAAAAGGAAGGTGACCCGACCGCTTGCCAATCTACAATAATTCTTCGCATGTCCAGTCCTCATACCTGGTAGACTTGTCAGCTCTGATGGCGACTTTATCCATACAGGAATACGTACCAGCCATCTGGAAGGTATCGCCGTACGACAAGCGGAATCTTCTTCGCGTTAAGTTCCTTGATCGCTATCTGGAGGGGATCCGTCTCGCCCTCGAGATCTACCATAGGAGGTGCGTTCAAACTGCAATTCGTTTAGCCCATTACAATGTTCTGCTCGCAAAGATATTCGTACCTAATCTGAAGTGCACGCGTTCCGAGCACTCGAGCTTTCTCGTACTTGGTCATATAAGGGGTCGTTGTCCGTTTATCATTTGGTATCTTTTTGCTCCTTAAATCTAAGACGGTGTTCTTCGTTCTGGCTGTAGCGGCTGCACTTTGATCCCCGCCTACGACAATATTCTGGTCGCCATTCTGCTGGCGCAGTCTCTCAAGCTCGTGCTCTCCCTCGCCGTCTTCTTCGTAGTAGTCCTGGGGCTCTTCGGGTTCCTCGTCAAGATAGTCCTCGGCAGGCTCGCTATATACAGATAGTAGTTAGAGATGCGTCAATGCGATGTGCTCCTGGCGCGACTCACTTGACCTCTGGTTCGTCTCCACCGAAGTCAGACATGTTGCAAAAAGTGTTTGATCGCGTGTGTGGTTACAAGGACTGTAAGACTCGCAGATCTTAAGTCGGACACGGAAGCGGAAAGTCGAATCTGGTCACTATTCGCAATGCGCGTATTCTTTTGCTAATCACAAGCTGTAACTGAGCTAGGCTCTTTTTCCACCCGCGCTAGTTTCTCCGCGCCGACGAAATCTTGGCGCACCCGCCCAAAATCTTAAATCGATATGATATTATTGTAACTTGGCTGATATCGATACCAACCCTGCACTCGTGCATAGGACTCCTGCTCGTGCGGACCATTGCGTGGCACTGGTCGCAGCATGTTGTAATGGCTACTAGTACGGCGTTGAAACGACCCGCTGAGGTCGACATTGGCATTTTGTCCAAGAAGCCTCGATTCTGTGGATGTAGGTTCGCCGCATATGACACGTCCCTCTGGGAGCCGCTTGACTGACATCTACCGAAACCACAGTTCAGCCTGATTCAGAGAACAACTCTGTATACTCACCCGGAAAGTCAACCCCTGGGTCACCAGATGATACCCATTCCGACGGCACCGACATTACCCATCCTTCACCCAAAGGAGAGGCTCGGCGACTCAATGCATACGTCTGCCCATTCGACGGCTGTGGAAAGACCTACAATAGGCCTTGCCGGCTAGAAGATCACATTCGATCACATACGCAAGAGAGACCGTACGTGTGTACGTACGAGGGCTGTGACAAGTCGTTCCTCCGCGACACTCACCTCAACCGACATATCAAGTCCGCACACACCAACGAGCGCAAATACGCCTGCGAGCATGAAGGTTGCGGTAAAAGCTTCCTCACTAATCAGCGTCTCAAAGCCCACCAGCAAGTGCACTCCAACGCCGAGCGATTTCGCTGCACCGACTTCCCACCCTGCAACCAGACCTTCCGCAAACACAAGACCCTTCAAGCGCATATCGTCTCGGCGCACTTTCACAAGAAGCCTTTCCAATGTGCTTATGTTGACGAGACTACCGGCCGTGCTTGCACTCATGCCTACGAAACGCGCCAGAAACTTGAGAACCATACGAACCGCGTGCACGGCGGGGAGCGCTTTTTTTGCACAATCTGTGGGAACGATGAGCCCGAAGAAATTATGTACATGGACGACGGCTTGTCGATCTGTACGTCTGCCATGACATCTGGCGCAGGTTTCAAGACCTACAACGCTCTTCAGACACACATCAAGGAAGTCCATCCGCCAACCTGCGACCCATGCGGGCTGGCCTTCGGCACACACCGCGAGCTGCGGCGACATATCGAGCTATCACACCCTTCCACTCTCCCTCTATCGCAGCAGAATCGCTCAAATGTCTGCGCCGAGTGTGGGAAGTCATTCACAAAGCCCGGGAACCTCAAAGTGCATATCCAGGTCGTACATCGCAAAGACCGCCGCTTCGCCTGCCTCACTTTTGACTTCGTTGACTCAAAACACGCGGAACTCGTAGCCTGGACTAAAGAGAATGCGTGTGATGCTGCGTTCACGACCAAACAACAACTCGAAACACACGTGCGCACCGAACACCTGGGGATGGAGAGCGCATGGCACGCAAAGCGGCGCGCGAAGTTGAAAAGCTCGAACGTTGAAGTACGCAAAGCCGCGGGCACATATCACGGCTCAAGCACGAAAAGATTACCGCTCATGACGGAGCTGACGGGCGTGGGCTACGAAGACTATCGGCCGATCGCATGTCTGCGGAGTGGTTGCGATACACGCTTCTACCGGGACTACGACCTACAAGTCCATTGCTCAACGGCACATGGCATGGCCGATATCGAGATTGCGGAAGCTGTGCGTGAGAGGGAGGCACTCAGCGGCGGCCAGTTCTGGCTCGGAGGCGTGGATCCGAATGAGGCGGACGAAGACGACAGATTATGGAATGCTGGTGGAGGCTTTGCCGACTTCGATGCTGATGGCACGATACCCCAGGGACCACCACTCGCAAATAGCGACGGCGAGGACTACAATATGGCGGACGCAGTGATGCAGTTCCTGCACAGCAGCGACCCTTGATCTCCACCACCCACGTATCTCTCCACAAGAGAACCGGTGACGGACTACATGAACATTCTCGATTCCAGCAGCCACGACGAATACTGTATACAATCTATTAGACCATGATACCCATACCCTCCACCACCCCCAAAAGCGCTGCATCTCCATTTTAGTAAGCATATAACCATACCACATCTCCAAATACCATACTCATCATGCTCTGTTCTGCTCTGCTCCCGCCGCGCTGGCCTCTCCGTCCCACACCTCCACTCCCCCCTGCAACCCACGCCACACATCTCCGGCATTCTCCGCCCCTATCTTCCCTGTACCGCTCCGCGCGCGCGCCCCCCAATACCGCCGATCCTTACAGTCACGCGATGCCATGATATCTAATAGACTGTGTGAATTGGGTATGTAGGCATGTATTTGTGTGCCTTGACGCCGCACTACGCTGCTGCTGTTGTGCGGCGTAGGAGGAATGGGTGGGTAGGTGGGGTGGTGTCATGCTGGGATGGAATGTGATGGGAGGACTGGAAACGAGTGTGTAGTGTGTAGTGCTGGATGAATGGATGGGTGTGGTTAATACGTGTTTATGTGCTTGTGTTGGGAATTCATGTGGGAGGGAAGGTATAGCCGCCATAAAGAACGAGGAGAATAGAATGCAGAATCATATTAAAGCGGAGTTTGTTCGGATATAATATGATATAATAGGTGAGGTGTTGTGGAGGCAATAGACTCTTTACGTGGTTCGTGGTATCCCGAGTTACAGGCATGGGCGGAGTAGTAGGTCATCATAGGTCTAATTATGCAAGTACGTCTGGTCTGGATAGAAGCAAGCGACTTCGGCCGTTCGTTCGCTGGAATATCCAACCAGGTGCGATCAGATGAAAATGAAAGTGGAATAAGAATTCGAAATTGTGTGATATTAGTACTAATAATGCACTTCAAAAATGGTCCAGTGAGATCAATTCTTAGTAATTAGCCTGATTTTCGGACATGTGCTAGCGATAGGGTGCGAGTTGTGTCAAAATCGCCGTCTTTGAGATAGCCTATGATTATTTAGGTGATCTCGAGCGTTGTGGAAAAGTCTCTTTTTTTTCTTGGTTAAAATGAATGATGTTGTAGGGCTGCTTGGGTTTGCTGGGATTGATTGTTAGCGCCGGAAATTATTGTTTCGCTAAAAGGGGAAGGGTTGCTGGTTTATTTATATACGTCTTGATGGGGAAAGTGCTGTGTTGCTTTTGTGGTTGATAAGGTGGATGAGATGAGATGAGATTTTATCGTTGTTACAGCTAAAATGGAGTGGTGTTTGTGTGTCGGCGTCGAATGCTTTCATAAGATTTACCACTGCTGATCATTCGACTGATCAAACTCGTGTGAGTTTGTGAACAACTTACTACACAACCTAGGTCATTAGAATGAAGTCGACAAGTTTGTAATGCGTCTACGGCTGAAGTCCCTATGTCCAAAAATATGGATGCTTGCTCGCATGGAAATGACCGACATATCTAGCTGTGTGTCAAAAGGATGATGACGTGCAGCGTCGACATGCTATCTAAGTCTCGCTACCAGAATTTGTTCAGAAGGACAATGTGAAATGGCGTTTGTGAGGCTGGACGATGTGATGGTCTGAGGGATCGCTGGGTCAAAGACATGATCCGATGGTGTTATATTTGACAAGAGCTCTTCGGAGAAGATTGTCGGTCTTGGTACTAATACATGGATGCAGCTCCAGCTGGATTGATGCGACGGATGGTCGTCGAGAGGTTTTGTCCGTCTTGAATGGCCAGCATTTCTCTGCAGGCTCCGCGGATCCATCGTTCGCAATGCCGAAGTAGCTACGCTAAACTTGCAAACAAACGTTAAACGAGAACGACGACGACAGCAGGGGATCCAAGCTTCGGCGTCGAAAGTTGATACAAGCAGATGCTTGTTGATGACGGACTACCTAACGGCTCAAACCAGCTCTTCACGAGACAACGGGCGCTAGTGTATCGTCTGGAATGCTAATTAATATAAGCACAGATGATTATTGCTCTGTGGTGCTATTTCGAGGATGACGGCGATAGAATGACCAAGAGTTGACGTGTCCGGACGGAGATTGACGTGTAGCCCACCGCCCAGGACGGAGGATGAAAAGGCATAGATCAGCCCGTGGCTACGAGTCAAACTCAATTGTTCTAGAAGGACACTGCCGCCCAGGAAGGCAAGTCGTGGTTCCAAGGCAGTGGTAGCAGCATGCGCACGACACGTAACTTCAATGCGCTGCTGTCAAATCAGTAGAGACAAGATTGCATTATAATCAAGTTGTTTCCGGACGATGCGTTTGTAGACGCGCGTCGACGAACAACAGCAACCATGCGCTGCAACAAGAATTATTATAGAGATGCTTGCTAAAAGCGCAGAGACGAGTGCTGTGCATAGTACATCACAAATGAGGCACGCAATAGATTAAAGACCAATGGCATGATGATCACAAGATCAGCTGGAGCACAATGAAGGTCAGGGATGCTGAGCATGACAGCCGTCCCGCTCACTGTATTCTAATAGATACTGATTAGTAATTAGCCAGACCTGCCAAGTACTTTAGGTATGAATAGAACCTGAGAACCTAGCTAAGGTAGATTTGTTCCGGTCAGGAGGTATTTATGCCTCTAAGGTTATAGTTATACTTAACAGTCTTGGAAGAATGAAAGTTATCTATTGTTTCGGCCACGAGTATAACAGACAAGCAGACAGCCCCTAGTAGGCCTAAACCTTGTTGGACCCTGTTCTAATAGTTGATGTGCTTCGCGTTGCGCAAATACCCAGACCAGATATTAGAATTTATTTAGCAGCTAATTAGGAGTATTTGTTTTCTTAATGAAACATAGCACCTAGCTACGATATCTTTCTTGCCCTTCAGATGACCGAAACAAGCCCTATCGCGCAGAGAGTTGCAGTCCTTTTCCTTGATAGTGGGTTTCAGTTGGCCTCGATTAGGTGCACCAAGCCAGGGTCCAAAGGGGTCAATCAACGGCCATGATATGAGGCAAGCCGGCACTGACTCCCATTGGTGAGCATGGAGAGGCCATCCACACCCAACCTTCGCCCACCGATCACAAGAATGGAAATATGATTAATTAGCGGCATGGATGAGGGGTGGAGGGCGTGGAGGACGACAAGACTTGAAGGGGACTGGAGTCTGGCGCACACCAACAAAGCGGACTGCAGGGAGGCAGCACGCGCAGGCCAAGCCGGGTTTAGAAGCGCAGTCGAAGGGCCGTAGAAGTTCAGGAGCCGTTTGGACGGTCCACTGTCTCCAACGGGCCATGCTTAGAACGACCACAGAATTGCTTTGAGGCGGCGAACGCCATCCATCACAATCGACTGGACAGCGTCAGCGGCGGTGCAGATAAACAAAGAGCGCTATGTTTGTGGAGAGGAGGCTGATGCAGTGCAAGTCGGACTTGACCAACGAATGTGAGCCGTCGGGCTGAGCTGGACAAGGCAAGTCGTCAAGAAGATCTGGCGCCATGTCCATATAACAGCCTTAGCAGTATCAGCATGCAGGCCGTGACTATACTAGAACTGGGTCGTGAAGCAACAAAAACAACCTCCTTTCTCGTTGATATCGCCGGCGGGACAACGGAGGTGAGAAAGCGGGCGGCTGGCTGGCTGGCTGGGCGGGCTGCTGCTGCTATATTGTTTGCTGGGCTGCTGGGCTACCCTCCTACTGCTGGCCTTCCCTACTACTGGGCTGCCCTAATTATTACTTGATAATACTGGGCTCCTCCTTAGGGTAAAACTGCTGCTACACTGCTACAGTACTGCTGCTGTTGCCAACGGGTGTGGGTGGGGAGCCTCGAAACGCGCAGCCACTCACGCCTCCCGAGCTTTGCAATTCTCCACCGTGCTGTAACTTAACTCAACTTCTTCCACGCTTCATATCCTCGCTCTCTGCTCGCGACCGTGACTGTGCGCAATTCACACTCAGATGCCGTCTTCGCTCACCCTGGTCTGCTCTTGCGACCCCTTCGCATGAGCCCTCGTGAGCCATCCTTGACCGGCACTACCATCTGCCATCTACCATCTCCTACGCTCCTCCTAATACCACCCACTCACGCACACACACACACACATACACACGTACACAACCTCCCATGCACAGTCTCGGGGCAAAAGAGTTTCTCCAGATTCACACATCGCGTCTGGATTGTCATCGTCGTCGGGTATACTGGACACTCATTGCTGCTACTGCTTACTGGGACCATTGTCGCCTATGACAACAGCGAAATTTCAGTTACAGACTCTCGATCCGACCACGATACCCGTTGTCGAATCGCACCTACTCACTCATACACACCTCTAAAGCGACTTCTTCCGACCGACGTCTTGTCCTTCCACGTTAATACCTATCGAGCCAGATATCCTCTTTGTTGTCGCCGCCCAGTCTCACTTCCTATCCTTCTCACCACGATTCAACACAAGCAAGCAAATCCTATCACCAAACTGACTCCCGTGCGCAACATTGCGTTCACGCAAGCCTTATTCTTCTATACACAGTCCTGCTATTTTGACTAGCTACTGGCTCGCCTCCCGTACCCTTGGGGGGGCATTTCTTCCCGGCCGGTTTCAGCAGAGCCTGGCTCAAACTGACGGCACAACAATATGGACCATGGCGCGTGTAATGTCATATACCTGGATAAGAGAGCAGTTGATGAGCACGTTCGTCGCAATACGCTGTCAGAGTCGTGGGCTGTACGAAACAATTCCACGCCTGGTCCTGGCAATGATTCACCGGGATACTTCCATTCTGTTCGGCCCAAGAATCCTACAGAAGTTCTCTCCAATATTGAGCACATCCTCTCTGTCTTCAATGAAGGTTAGCTAATAAAGATATGCACTGCTTCACTTGCTAATTAGTGGCACCAGTTCATGTATGCAATACAGGCGCCTCATGTCTGACAAGACTATCAGACTTGAATGAGAATCTCGCGGACTTGGTACCTACAATACTACTGATTGACATTCCTCTCAACGAAGAGCGCCGACTCAAACGCCTGTCGCGGGAACCTAGAACACCATCTCCGAACTCAATGCGACGTCCTCTTCCTGACAATTGCGAACCAGACGATCTATACGGCATGCACCTTCTCCAACACGTCGCCTCCGAGATTCAACAGAGATCATTGTCCAGGATGGTTCTCCCCATCGCGATGCTCAGTGGTGTGGAGGAGACCGAGCGACCTGGTGCTCCTGCTAGAACCTCCTCTGCCTCACAGCTCCTGAATGAGGGCACCCGTTCTCTACGTTACGTAGACGCAGGTGCTGTAGACGTCTACACAAGCCCACTCACCAAAGGACAAGTTCACAGCCTAGCTGTTCATGCTTACAGGACCCGCAAAGAAGCATCCAAAGAAGACACGAATTTTCTCGCCGCTCGTCGGAATAGGAAGGTGTCATGGGTCGGCGTGGACGACACAAAACCCTACGCGTATCTCAGGGAGGTCATGGTGTCTGGCTTGATGGGTGGTATCTGCAATCCTGATACCATTGGCGATAATATTGACCCCAAGTAAGTTTACCCAACATATCTCGTGATCTGCCGCTAATGTTGAATTAAGTGATATCGAAGTCCAGCCTGAGAGAATAGGCGTAATAGCAAAGATGATCGGAACTTGGGAATTCTCGGCACATGATTTCACGGATGATGAATTGCTCTATGGTGCTCTGCTGATATTGAAACATGCTCTTGGCATGCCGGAGCTGGAGCAATGGCGAATGGACACGGGTTTGTAACTCGAACCAGATCAACATGATTCACCTACTGACAGTCCACAGACGAATTGACAATTCTTCTCCTCGCCAGTCGTACGGCGTACAATGAGTTTGTACTTTACCACAATTTTCGACATGTGGTCGATGTCTTGCAGGCTCTTTTCTTCTTCCTAGTGCAGATAGGAACCCTGCCACCCTATCCGGCTGGCTCGTCATCACAACGAAAATCTCCGCCGTCGGCGCTTGCAGCACTGCTTAAACCGTTTGATGCTTTGACTCTCTTAGTGTCTGCAGTAGGACATGATGTCGGACACCCTGGTGTAAACAACGCCTTCCTTGTCGCGCTCAATTCGCCCCTGGCTCAGCTGTACAATGATCGATCAGTCCTTGAATCCTTTCACTGTGCTGCATACTCCCAAATACTCAGACGCTACTGGCCTGGCGCGTTCTCGGATACGGGTATGCGAAAGCTGATGATCAATAGTATTCTCGCTACAGATATGGGACTGCATTTCAAGTACATGGGCGATTTGGGAAATTTGCAAAGCCAACTTGCTCACAATAACAATACATTGGATGGGTGGAGTCCGAAAGTTCTCGAAGAATACAAGGAGCTGCTCTGCGGTCTCCTCATAAAATGCGCAGATATTAGCAACGTGGTTTGTCACCTATGTTCCTGAATTAGTCTTGCGAGTCGCTGATCCTTGGTACAGGCACGCAAATTTGACACTGCAGCGAACTGGGCTCGCATTCTTACAGACGAATTCAGCAACCAGGGAGACATGGAACAAGAATTGGAAATGCCAACTTGTCTCTTTGGCGGACCCCCAGTCCTAGATTCTGTGATCAAGATGGGCGAGTCCCAAATTGGCTTCATGAACATTTTTGCGCGACCCCTGTTCGAAGCAGTCTCAGATGTTGTACCGGCCATGCGGTTCAGCCTTGATGAAATCTTAACCAACAAGTCAATCTGGGAGCGCAAGATTGAGCTGGAAAGAGAGAATCAAACCAAGCTCGCTGCCACTGGCATGCTTATCCCTAGGCCCAGTTACGACACCGCGCCAAGTCCATTCTCAGGTAGCTGAATGCAATTGAAAGTGTAACATAGAACTCCTGCTTACGTTGATTCCAGAGATCCCAAACGTGGGAGACAGTAAAAAGCATCATCATCCTGAGCCTAGTACCCCAACACGATCATCGGTAGTGAATCCTACCTTTCAGCTGAATGCAGCTGCCGCGTCTTCAAGACGCTCGTCCCTCGGTGTTATCTCTCTTTCTGAGAAGGGGTCTCGTCGCTCGTCGAAGCAATTTCAGTCTTCAGATAACGCATCAAGGCGAGGTAGTGCTGATGCAAGTATCACCGCTATCCTTATTACACAGCCATCGCCAGAAAAACCCAAAAATTCTGGACATCAGGACGTGCATGCAAGTTCTCCTGCTAAGAAAAGAGGATCTTCAAAGCCAGCTCCGAGAAAAGCCAAACCAGGCGAAGATGGTGAGATTTTTAGACCTGTGTCGGCGCCCGCTCCCACGAACACTAAAGCAGCACCATCGACCAATGACTTGGCAAGCATGCCTTCCACAGGTGGCACTAGAGCTCAACACGGAAGTCACACGAATCAAATCCCAACGCTTAGCGTGTCGGACACAGACCTGTCGCAAAGTGCGAATGGAAGCTTGCACCCCAGTTCTCCTCAGCATTGGGATGGCGTAAGTAGTCCAAGCCGAGGGAGTGGCTCGTGGTCAGGCGAACGCGTAGAGAGAGCTTGGAGTGGAACGCATAATATGCGATCTACCACTGGCGGCCACACATGGAAGTCGGGCGGTTGGCGGAGTGGTCAAACAAAACCTGGGAGCGTGAAAACGCGTCAAGAGGTTGGCGGCTATCTTTCCGCAACTAAATCGCCCAGCTCAGGGACGTCACCCCAAGGGAAGAAGAAAGAGAAGTTCGGCTTGGGTAAAATCTGGAAGAAGCTCAAGAGCAATGGAGATCGTGGGGAAGTAGAAGCACGCTCTTACGGCCAAGCATCAGCATCATCGCAAGAAATGGCAAAAGATGGCCATGACGGTCAATGACTAGCCGATCGACTTGACAGGACCATGCATGATGAGCGGCATCATCACGACTTCACCATCTCGTCAAACCCCCATCTCCCTCGGCAGCTCGACGCCCGATTGAGTCAACAGCAGGTGCATAAAGGCGACTGAAATACTATCTCTTGGCATCAGTGCCCGGTTCATAGATGTTGCCTATCCTTGCTCATGTAATCTGGACGACCTAATGATATATTTTGGGACACGGGCGCATATGGACGAAGGCCGGTTGGTCTACTTGTTTTTCATGCACAGTTTCGGGTAGCGCGCGAGTAAGGTTCATCACGGCGTCGGCGGATCACGTCTTTCGAGTTTCTGTCACGACAATGCATCGCATATATGATTTTACAGCTGGCCAGCACATACTTTGACCTTGAGACGGACGGCTGTGCAGTCAGTACGTAGACGACCAAGGCGGGACAAAAGTTGTGCTTCCAGCACGAAGGCGCGTTTGTGGTATGGATTACTGCCACTGCATTCTAGAGCATGGTTTCGGAGTAGCTGGGGTCGTCACTCGGGAGTGCAAAAAGGGTTCGGCATGGATACGTGCAGGTTGATTGAGCAAAGGCGTAAATGACAAGAAGGCTGGCTCAATCAATATGTGATGTGCTTTCTTCTGCGCATGCATTTGATTGATCATGCCCGCCGCCGTTGCAGCAGATGATATCGACAGAATTACAATGACTTATCTCCCCCCTCTTATTGTGCCTGAGGTCTGCAAGTGAAGAAGTGATATGAAATCCGTCCGATGTTGGCATTCCTTTCCGGTCCACCACTGACTGACTGACTGACTGACTGACTGACTGACTGGCTGGCTGACTGGCTGGCTGGCTGGCTGGCTGACTGACTAGCTCCTGGTCGATCTACGGAGTTTGTTGGGGGGTTTTGATTCTTTTGTGGCTTGGTACGGATGATGGATGGTGGTTCCTGGCTATGCGTCGATATATATATATGTGTGTATGTATGTGTACATATCTATGATTAATTGTCCCAGCGACAGACACTACTCACTCCTTTGACTACCAAAAGAATTAATAATTTCTATTTAAACCATCCCCCCCAAAAAAAAAAACTTTTGGTTAAATCTCCCAAGGCAAAAGAAAAAGAATATATTTTGTTTTCGACTCTTTTTGGAAGTTTTGAAAGGTTTCGAAACTCTGTTTCTTTATCTGTTTCGGGGGGGGGATTCTTTTGGTTGGTTGGTTGGTTGGTTGGGAGAGAGAAAGAGTGTATATCGCGCTTATATTATAGTCTTGAAACTCAGGTATGTGTGTCTGTATATATATGTATCCAGCGATAGAGTTGTTGATCCTGGTTTTGGTATGAGTTTGTGTTTAGATAGGTTTGGGATAGCGAAGGGGTGGGTTTGGTATGACGGGTGAAGAGAGCGGGGAGCCCGGGGGTGACAGCGCTGGCGCGTTGAGCGGTGTATATATGTAATATGTAGGAGGGAATTATTATAGATGGGGGTGTTCAACGTGCTAAGTTATGGCTTCGTGATGGGTCTTTTTTGGGAGGGGGGCTATGGGAGAGTCTACTTTGGGAGAATTTACGCACACACACACGCATGCACACACACACACGCACTCGCGACCCCTCGAAACATCCTACGCCGAGCTATAGGAAGCTCTCCAATGCCCCCAGGCACTGGTCTATGTTCGTCAGTGCTGAGTTCGGATGGGTATTTTATCGCATACACAATGCTCCCTCTGTTTCTTGGGGTTCTTCACTGCTCAGCTGTGTATTCTGTAGATACTCACTGAGACCGTAGGTCATATGGGCCATGATTAATATAGTAGTAGTGTATTAGCAGCGATATCTCATTCCTGGTCTGGCGATGGAAATGTCTAGGGAGGAGGAAGATGGGGAGGAGGAAGATGGGGAGGAGGAAGATGGGGAGGAGGAAGATGGGGAGGAGGAAGATGGGGAGGAGGAAGATGGGGAGGAGGAAGATGGGGAGGAGGAGAAGATGGGAGTGGGGGCTTGAGATGGCAAAATGTCAGGTAATGGATGATAAAGTGCTCAGTACGATATATCCTTGGAATCATGTATGTATAACAACAAATTCCTATGTAGGCGTCCGTATCGTATGCCGGGAGTACAGGTCTTAGCTAATGATGCTATTCTGAGCGCGGGCCCGGGTCTCCACTGCCGGTCATCTATCCAGAGCAACGAATACCGACGAACAAGCCTATAGATGGACATCACGTCGAGCCAGACTATGCCACAGGTATCATTCTCCAAGGCACGTCAGCCCGGCACCTTACTCGGCGTCAACACTCATCGCATACCTCCTCTCGCTCGCCAGCTTCGCGAATGCCGTATCCACAAGCCCATCATCAACCATATCCTTAAGCACAGTCTGCACGACATCAATATCCAAAGACCGCAGCTCCTCCCACGCCGTCCCTTCCACCTCTCCAACTGCCATAATCGCTGCCGCTACACTCTTCACTCGCAACTCCATCGCCTCATCTGCGTATTCCTTCCCACAACGCTCTGCCACGCGTCCTGCGTCACGATAGTACACTCCAGCACATCGAGTCTGTAGCGTTGCTTGCGCTGTCTGCACATCTACAATCCCAGCCTGGGCGTCGCTGCCTGCTGCTTCGGTGTCTGCGGTCAGAAGGCTACGTTCCGGGCTCTGGGGCTCTATGTCGCGCAACATGGCACCGCGCAGCATGCACACATCGGCCAGACCGGTAAGGACGGCAATGCGGGATTCTTCGGACGAAGACGTCGAGTTGGACAGAGCGACTCTGGCGCCGAGGAGGGCGCTGCGTGCGTCTTTGAGGGCGGTCCAGCGTGTGGATACTAGTGCTGCGGAAGGGTAGGAAGGGGCTGTACTCAGTGTCTGGGCGATGGTGGTGAGGGCATCTGCGTAGGCGAGGATGCTGGTCGGGAGCACGGATTGGGCACCGTAAACGGGGGTAAAGGAGGTGGCGATGGTGTCGGCGTAGGTTGAGGGGCTGAGGATGCCGGTTGTGAATTGTGCTGTGGAGAGGGAGGTTATGAACTGCGCGATTGCAAGGTCGGATTCGCTAGTGGCATCCTGCCGCGGATTTAGAGCTGTGGTGGATGTGGGCTTGAAGGAAGCACCGGTGGCTGTTAGAGAGAGCGATGGACCGGTAGTTTCAGGGGGTCCCGGAAGGCTGGTCGGGATGAGAGTGAGGGCCTTTGGGATGGTGTCGTGAATTAGGGGTGTGGAGATGTTGACGATGGCTTCGAGGGCAGATGCCGCTCCGTGGTGCAGTGCTGCGAGGGCAGACAGGGCAGTGAGGATGGCCAGAGAAGTATCAATTATATCGGACGCCTTGGTGGGTTCCACGATGTTTACCCAGTCACCAGATGTGCTATCGCTTGGATCGTCGGTCTGGTCTGACATTGAGACATCGGGGTTGTCATTACCGGTGTCATTCGCTTGGGTCTGGTCGTCACTTTCTTGCATGTAGCTCTGGGTTTGCTCGTAATCCTGTTCCTGCCGTCGGAGACAGTCAGAGAACAGTTGGACGGCTTCGTCGAGGAGCTTGATCTGCTCGCTCTTGTTTTCCCTGTTCTCATCGTCGTCATCATAAAGCGCTTCTGAGAGGGTGGTCAGGACTTGGCCGGTATTGAACAGCACATCAGTGTTCTCGTTGTCAAGTGACAAGGCATATCGGTGAGACACCAAAGCTCCTCGTAGCAAGGCAATGTTGGAGCTTTCATCAAAGTGGTGAGACATCCGTGCGTCGTCCGCCAGGTCGTACAGCAGACGACTTTTGTTGTATGCAAGGTCAAAACTCTTTGGAAACCTTGCCAGTCCCTCATTATAGACCTCTATGGCACGCTTGTAGTTGCGTGCAGATTTGGCTGTATCGCCGGCTCGCCATTTCCCGCCAGTCTTCTCAAAATCATCAGCTGTTTCCAAGAAGTCATTCTCATCTTCAGGTTCCTGATTAACTCAACACGTGTTACAAGCAGATGTTGACGTGATCACCAACCTTTGCCCGTTTCGAAAAAGACTTGGGCACATTCTTTGGTAGGCTCTTCAAGTTTTTACGTTTCACCATCTTTTATCCAACTCTGCAATACAGGTTGGCTAATCCTATCCCTTGGAAAGTGGAACGGCCACCCAGCTCCTTCTAGGGGAGTGGTGGCTGATGACCGGTGTCCGAGACTGGTTCGACGCGGAAATACTGGATCAAACGTAGTCCCCTGACACCTGTAAGCGAAGCACTTTGCAAAGTTTGTCCAGTGATGTTTGTTGGAAGAAATCACGGGCTTAGAATTTTGACATGTTGGAGATCGTTCTGACTAATCATTGACGATGATGAGATGAACCCCGTACGTGCTCAGAAGTTCCGGAGCCCATTCCCGAGCTCAACCCCACACCAAGCAGACCCACACTGACGAAACTCGTGGGGCTTGGGCGTATGTTCCCTTTCACTTTGACACAGCCACAGCCACATTTCCCTCTCCTATATCACCATGCGCTTACCGCCGCCTTACCTATGCGGACGTCCCAAGTCATACGCCTCCATAAACAACTATGGCTATCACAAAAGTCGTACGTGATCGGCTCAAGCGCAACTCCAAATTTGTAGCAGAAGACGCTCTCCCACCCCTCAGGAACGTCGAGCTTCCCAAGGTCAAGCCGGCCCATCAGCCGGCTCTTGCAGGACAAGGATGGACGACCATCACATTCGATGGTCCGGAGGATACGCTTAAACATAGCCTCGACCAGTTGTTCGATGCCAGCAAGGCGTTCTTTGCGCTCCCGCAAGAGTACAAAGCCAGTTTCTTGACAACAGCTGGTAGTGAAGAGGGATGGAATCGTATCGAAGGAGAGAAAGAATTCATCACGCTTCGCACTATAGATAATACTCCGAAAGAGCTAAAGTCGCCGGCCATAAGGGCATGGGCGGAGGCTGGGCAGGCCTTGAACGCCATCTTGGAGCAGGTTGCGAAGACACTTGACTTGCCGCCTGAAGCTTTGACACAGTACTCAGAGCCATGCATAGAGCTGAACGGAAGAAGAACTGCGACCATGCTCAGGCTTTTTAGATATGAGGGGCACGAACAGAAGGTCGTCGCTGAGCCTCATGCTGATCTTGGTTTGCTCAGCTTTGTCATGGGAGATACCCCTGGCTTGGAAGTCTGGAACAAGTACCACAATGACTTTTGGCCGATCGAGAAGACGTACAAAGTTCCACAGGGGACTATACTTGGCGGGCGACAGCTCCAGCGTCTGTCGAACGAGCGATATGAGGCCGGTGGCCACCTCGTACGATCATATGGTCTTCCACACGAGTCTCCAATCACTGCCGCTCACGAGAAACCATATCGATATTCTATTGTATTCGTGTTGCGCGCCCACTCTCCTATTCTAGTGGACACGGACAAGTTGACTACGTCTATCACAGGCCCTTTCAAGCACCCGCTACGAGATATGACGGCAGGGCAGTTGTTCCAAGACACAAAGCGCAAGCATTTCAACATCAACACTGGCACGGAGGAGCGAGAGAAGCAGAAACTTGAAATCATTGCGAAACGACAGGCTCAGTTTCTAGAGCTGACGGCTAGAAGCTGAACTATGGTCATTCACGTCTATCGTGAAGCATTATGCGAGCGCCATTCGCAAATTCCATTGCAGCAGCTCATAGACACTCAAAAGCTTTCTTATCCGGCTTGCCTATATGTTCCCTCCTTCTGGCATCGGGAATTAGTCAACTCCGTTAGACCTTTTATACTAAGATATAACACAGATCATTTCGACGTCTGACCAGAGAAATAATTCTAGAGTTGTTGTGTTGAGATAGAGCATCAAGGGGGCTTACAAGATCTCTTCCGTGGCATAGTTGTTTGCTGCGGTCACAACAGAGACTCAATGCTATCATAAACGCTGTAGAACAACTCTTTGGCGATGATATTGCTGAGAACCTAAGTACGATTATACTAAAGATGTAGTTCGACAGCCACTTTGAACCTACAGTACTACCAGGACAAGCAGACCCACTATTACAATTGAAATTCCTGCCATTCTCATACTACCACCCCAGAGTCCCTCCACTCTACTCCCTCCGGACTCATCATCGTCACCACCGGTAGCCTCATTTCCATCGCCACTATCTGCCTGACCACCTGCTGCACCTGTTGCGTCTGGTACCGGAGGCGTATAATCATTTCCACCTGTCTTAATTGCCTCATTGATACTTTGAACATAGCTCTTCACCCCGGAAGGCAGTTCATTGTACCAATCAGGCGTATTGCCAGCCGCAAATTCTGAAGCAATCGAGGCACGTGCAGACGGGTCGACCAGTTGCGCAAGGACGGTCTGTGGGACGCCAGTGAAAATTGCGAGCATAAGGGACGTTGGGGGTGGGTCAGAGTGTTTGTTAGCTTGTACTGCAGAACGGGCTAGATAGGATATGCGACGACGAACCGACATTCATGAGACGTGTTGGTATTTCAGTGACAAATGTGACTGGTGCTGTGATCGTTGGGGCGATCTTGGACCATGCGGCACTGACGAGGTGAATTGTGAGCACTCGAGTGTGTGTTGGGCTGGTGGCAATAGAGGGTCATTGCTTACAGAAGTGACTTTAGCTCTTCTTCTGAGCTCTGTGCTAGGATTGGTGATGCACAGAGGAGGATTGCCAGTTTGGGTAACTTCATGGTGGAAACTACTCTACAGATTGCTGAAGCTGTAAAGTTGAACGGCGGAAATCTGGTGTAGGGACACGATCAGTAGTAAGGCGTAGTCGACTTGTTCACTTATGGAGCAAGACTGGGTGCAGAGAATAACACCTGTGGTACGATATCAGCTGAAAGTTGCATATCAAAACATGCTTTCGCCTCCTCGGCGAATACCTATCAAAGAGGGATTAATATAAATCTGCCGGCCCAGTACTATCAAGAATGATGATCTATCCCGACAAAGTCTGAGACAATTTCAATGATGAGTCCTCGGCACCTCGGTATGAACCCATTCATGAGGGGATCATATAACATCGTTGCACCGATCCTTGACAATGAATATCAAGTGATGCTTGTTAAAATATTGATTCCGATTCGTCTAGAATCTACCGACCTAGGATAGCATCAAAGAAGCCTGTATCATGGAGATTCTCTGGCAACTACTATCCCTACGTGAGATATTCGTGTTACGAAAATTCAAAAGCCTTTATAGGACAAGAGTAATGTTACTGTTCTGTATTAGTTTAATAGATAATTATGGATGCTCGTATAGTTATAGTCTGGTGGTGATGGATGAGTAGTCATATAGACCCTGACAAAAAATTCAAGTTTAGAGGGAAGGGCGAATAAGCACTAGTCTCTTAGTTTGTCTATAAAAATAGAACTACTTGTTGCTCAAAGCTTTCTTACCTAGCTGCGTGGTTTTGAAGTCATACCTCGAATGATTCAATTACTAGTTTATAAATTTTTTTTAAGTGACATTCTATCTGATAATCTTAAAATCATATAAGTTCTAATGTTACAAGTCGTTTGCACATTTTCTTCCAAGCACTTATGAAGCAGTTACCATGTTCTTGCCTGCTACCCTCTCTTTTACGCTTCTCATAACATTATTTACTCCCTCCCTAGCACAGGGGACTTATGCGATTGATCCAACATCATGTAGGGGATATCGCTTGGAAGATTATATAACAGAAGCCCAGTTCATGGCTCAATTAGCTGCTAATGATGCCCGAAATTGGGATCACCTGCACCTTGACGTCCGAAATGCCTTCCATCAACTCTTCGAATCATATAGTTTCGAGGATGAAGATTGGTTGGAGGACGAGCCCGCAACCGGCATAGCCAAGACGAGAGTTATAGAGGTAATGACGGGCATCGCACAACTTAGCCTCGTGGCCTGGAACGACGCCGAGATTCGGATCTTCTGCAACGATGATCGCTGGCGCCTCGTCAGTAGCCCACAGGAACTCGCCAGGCTTGCACCAAATGGCCGAGCCCCGAGAGCGCTGCTCAGCGCATTGGACAGCGGGCCCATATGGATCGACGTCGAGACCGGGATGCACAGGCCGATGCCATGGACGCCGAAGTGCCATGACCCGGAACCAAACAGCAGGATAGGCCCTTCTCCCTATGGGATATACGAATATGTAGGGCAGCGCCGAACGCACTCTATAAACCTATCGTTTTGCAGCCATCGTTGGCGACGATGGCGTTTTCTTAGCGGGCCGCTTGCATTCAGGGATTATGCGATGGGAGAGCCCCAAGAGCGCCTGCCTCGCAGTGCTCTGGCGGAGTCCCTCATGGACGAGGTACGGCGCATGTTTTTGAGTCCGATGCTGCTAGAAATGCTGCTCCAGACGCCGCGTTTTGCTCGTATGTCACTGATCCCATCCACCCTTGTTCGTGACGCTGTGTGATGCCGATGCTAATTGAAAATCATAGTCCAAAAGAGAGCTTCTGGATGGGCCGCGTGTCTAGCGCTTGACGGAGAACACTCACTCGGAAATTCAGATAACTATGGTAAGTTTTCCGATGTTCATAAGACTTTGAAGTCCTTATTAATAAGATGATAGTATTTTTTGCCCTTGCAAGCCTCTTATATACGCAGGGTATTGTGCTTTATGAACAGGAGGCAGACCTTGGGGCACTAACGACTATTGGAGACCAAGATTAATTTCTCTGGTGAGATCTACGGGAGCGTCATATCGAACCAAGGATGTCAGGATTGCAATGCCTGAAGCCAAGAGATACACCTACTTTGGTTCACATGCTCCAGTGAACTCTCCTCGGTCAAACACTCTATCCCAGAGTGTAGTATTGACTGTTGGACGTGTTATGTGCTTGAAGCTGACTATAAAGTCATGATGGATCACAACACGCTTGAAGGGACCCGGCTTGTTTTCAAAGTATCCAGTCCCGCTGCATTCTCAACAAAATCACTCACCATGAGGTTCTCCCTACTTTTGTCAGCGGTCCTCCTACCTTTCGGTGCTCTCGCAGCTCCATCATCTGCCTTTGGCTCGGAAGTCGAGCATCGAACTTCCACTGAGCCAGCTCCTGCAATGGATGCACAGGCTCTATCCCTTTTGCTCCCTCGACAGACTAGTCTCACCGACCTATTGAGCGGCATTTTGCCCGCTCTTCAAGCTCTGGGTGGCTTGCTAAACGAGGACACTATCAACAACATCAAGACTGTTGTCGATGGTCTCGCTGTTGTCCTTGGCGATAACAGGTCTCAGAACACTGCTAATCTCCTTGACTCAGTGTCAGGGCTTCTGAGTGGTGATCTGATTGACCAGATCAAGGGCCTGCTGCCCTCCGTTGCCGGGCTTCTTACGGAAGACAATGTCAACAAGATCCAGTCTCTAGTGAACAATGCGAACGGTCTCTTGACTGAGAGCTTCGTGGACCAGACGACTGGACTGATCAATGATGTTGCACCGGTACGTTGAACCTTGTCATCTTTCATATGTAGCGCTTACCTCTTGTAGCTCGTTTCGGCCATTGCTCAGATCATTACTACGTTGCTACAGGCTCTGCTCGGTGGATAGAGTGGCTTGCAGACTTGGGGAAGACCCTTGCAGATAGCAGTTCATCGGGAATAACTTTATGTTCGGTTGAAGTTTGGTTATTTGTTATCAGCTCGTGTGCTTCGTTCCTATGTAATGTCTAGTATCAAGGGTTGATAGTACCCTTGCCTCGCTTATTCCCCATCAGCCTGAGTCTCTACATAGCAGTATCTCTCTGAATGTCATTGTTGCAACATATAATACTATACTGTTTTAAATCTATCTACTTGAATTCTCGGTAGACTCTGTTGAAGACTTGAGGTTAGATTCACACTCCCTGTCAAGCAACAGCAACAACATATGTGCCTTGCAGTCCGACAAGGATAAACAGACAGGGGTAGACTGTCATGACCCCTCATTATCCATGTCTCCCCACTTGCATCTGACACGTGCATGTCGTAAAGGGCCGAAGATCCTGAAGTTCATTCCGACGTCAAACACTTTGCATCAAGGTACACTGTGGTCTGCGTAACACACTGCGCATACAATCTCGAAATCACTTCAGTGTCCATGACACAGCCAGTGGAGGAAGATGATTGCACATTGAGTTGTCAAGAGAGAAAATGGTCACGGAAATACTCTGGCAATTATTCAGTGATCACGGCTTCCCCGTAATTCGCTAACGGAGATATAGTAATCCCAATATCGTCTCCAAAGGCCTGCTGAGCTGAGTTCTAACTCAGGTACTTCATGAAAATTATTGAAGAATGGCTACCTAACATTGGAAAGTACTCGGCTCAACATCTGTATCCATGAAGAGAACTCTTAGTATACAAAGGCGAACAAAAAGGCTTTCATGTATACTGACACTGATGCCACGGTTTTAGACGGCTACAGTTACCTACTGCATCTTGTGGCCTGTTCCTATCACATGCCCTCCCTTAGCAAGACGACGACGCATATCCTTCATATAATATTTCATGGGGAAAAACCTGACTGCCTCTGGCAGAAATGGATACGTTGACCTTATGACCGCAACGCCCGCATCATACAGCAATCTTCTCCCTCTTGACTCCCTCTTGAAGCCATATGGCTCGCGCAGACTAGGAGGAAGCCATTCCGCCGTTATTACTCGCAACAATGGCATGTTCACACGCACCCAGAGCGGATAATGTTTGTTGTACAGTAGATCATTCTTGACATTGACAGCGTCTTCTGTAACCCTGAGCTTGCCAATCATGTCGTTCCAGTAGCTCCAGAATTCCGCTCGAGTCTTCGGCCACATCGTAGGGGGCACACGCAGCGAGCAGGCTAAGACAGAATAGTCTGTGTATGTTTGTTCCAGGAAGGCTTCATCCAACTTGCCAAAGATCTTCTCGTGGAGGTCGGTGCCGGTCGCGTACAGTGTTGCGGCTACCCACATTTGCAGCTCCTGGTCGTCGGCGGAATAGCCGTCCCCGCGAACTTCGGCGTGCACACTGTGCACCATGTTGATGATTGCTTTCTTTTCCTCGGGAGTGCCGTACGCCATACAGTAAACGAACGTCATGGTTGTGCGTAGGCGGTCTTCGACGCGATAGGCAAAATTGGAATTCCGATTGACTCCAGCGCCAACCCCTGGACTGGCGACTTGGAGGAGAATGGCAACTGCACCACCAGCAAGGAGGATACCTTCTTGGACGATCTTCTGCATACCCTCTGGATTGAATTCTGGAGTGAGGAAGGTAGGGTGAAAGTTTGGTGTGTCGATGCCATATTCGTGTTTGCTTGAAGCACTTTTCTCACTGTCTCCGATCGATTCAGTGCGTTTCCCGAGCTGAGCACCATTGAAATGACATGCCATTGTGTCGGATAGTTTATGTCAAAAATGCTGCAATGAAACGTAAACAAAGTGGTCAGATGAGGAGATTAGGTATAAGAGCACTCTCTACCACACAATATCTTTCTTTATAGTTGAGGAAAGGTGAAAATATCTCATCTGTCTCCCTAGAGCGGGAACACTAACATCCGAATTCTTGTACACGGCTGCCTCGGCATACGAATCGTACACTCAACTGTAATAGGATTGTTCTTGATAACCCCTCTTCGTGCCATCCTGGCAAGTCTGACCAATTTTGGGTGATTTTGTGAGGGTGTAGTTATCCCTGTGGGATGAGCTGATCCCTTAACCAGATACCTTGCCCACCGAGGTACCCCACAATACCCCATTCATATGCAAAGTCAATAGAGTCCTCTCCATGGGTAATGGAGTCAGGGTAATCTAGGATGCACATCTAGCTCTTAGTAAAGTTAGGGATGTATTTATCGCCAAAATTCGGCTGGAACAACAAGATTGATAATCGGGACATTCTAGAAATGAGGCTTCGACTCCTGTGCAGTTACATTTCCGCCTGGCTGCAGGGCCTCTACGACAACTTTCTGTACGTCTACTGCTAGAGAGTCAAGAAAGCCAGCAGAGTTCTTGGCGATGGGTAGAAACGACTATATCGGCGCAGGCCAGTTTGCGACGCCAGGTAAAGGGAAGGCATCACAGCATGACGGGATCGAAAAGGACTCATCAAGCAGCGCACAAATTATTGGAGATGCCGGTAACGTATCTCAAGTGAAAGCAATATCAAGACCTACCAAGACTCAAGTGATCAAGAAGCATATTGGTAGATTCTGGGTATGTTACGGCATCGGTGGCATAGTTCTGCTCGCAATTGGTCTGCCAATCCTGTAGGTAGTCATACAGTACCAAAGGATCCCCAATAGATCATCTGGCTAATGTTGCAAACAGCTTCCTGGTCATCGTCCCCAAGATTGCGCAAAGGTTAGTCGACGATGCAGATCTCCCCATATACAGCGTCACCATCCGCAACCCAAAGGCCAACTCCGTGGTGATAACTCTTGCTACATCGCTCAAGATTCCAAAAGGCCTCACTGTCCACCTAGATCCACTCACTCTGCAACTGTATCGACCGGAAGAGCCAACGTTCATTCCATTCGTCGAGGTATCACTGCCAGGCTACAAACTCAGAGGCACGACAAACATCACTCTTGAGAACCAACTTGTGACCATTGGTGACATCGACCAGTTCACAAAGTTCCTCGGCAATGCAGTTGCAAACCAGAAATTTGTCATTGCAGCTCGAGGGAAGGCAAGAGCGCACTTAGGTGCGCTACATGCAGATGTGACGTTGGATAAGAAGGTCACACTCGACGGTAGCTTCTCATCTCTTCAGGACTATTGCTTCAACGGGAATCTAATCCTTTGTTAGGGCTAGACAATCTGAAAGGCTTCTCGATTGACTCTGCAACAGCCGTATTTCCCCCTGAAGCAGACGGTACGAACTTGCGTGCGAGACTCACCATACCGAACAGATCAACGGTTTCATTCGATCTGGTGCCAATCCCCTCTAGTTTTGGTCGTGATGATGATTCAACTGACAAATATGACCAGGGCAACGAAACACTCAATATCAACGGCCCAAACGGCCTCATACTGGGCAACGCAACCGTCCTAGATGTATACGTCCAGCCTGGAAACAACACGTTCGAAGCAACAGGCGTGCTCGACCTAGCCACACTTGTTGGTAATCTCCAGACCTTGATCACATACTGGGCCCCCAGCCTTGCGAATGGCAATATCAAGCTTGCCGCAAGTGGCAATGCGACTATCTTCAACGGTGAACACATCAAGTACTATGAAGATATATTGAACGGACTTGAGCTTGAAGGTGAGGTGCCAGTGATCAGCTTACTAGCGAACAGTCTTGGGAATCTACTTGGAGGTGGAATGGATGGAATTAAGAATCTCACTGACTATCTGGGTCTCAATGTGACCGAAATATTGGGCGAGTTTGACTCAAATTTGAATACATCAACGACGAGTGTACGGAGTAGGGCTGACCCAGTGATGAGAACCGTTGATATGGGCTGAATGTTAAGCATAGTTTAGGAAGCGCATTGACAGTCCTGGTACAAGACTTGAAGAGTCCTTGTCACTTAGTCTCCTCATATAATGACCCAATGAAAAGATTTGTATTTGCTTAATTATGCTAGAACGCTAAGTGAAAGCTCAGGCATAGGACACAGTAGTTCACAAAGTCAATTGGAGAATACTGAGGTCAGAGCCCCCTCTGTACCATCTTTTTCCTGACTCGTATATCCTCGCGATCGCTCATATCTGACGAAATACAAGCATAATCTCCTCACACAGCGCTATCCTCGGTCATGTGGAGGACCGAGGCGCGGGAGTTCCTGCGAACCCCTGAGCTTCCGAGGTGCACAGGAACCACTACCACTACACCTAAAGAAAACTATACTCGAATGACCTCCAAAAGATGAGTGAAATCGTCAAAAAGCCGCTCAAATTGTCCAACATCTCTTTCCCTCTCTCTCAACCATTAAAACCATGCCGCACCCGCCCGCAGCCACCACCATCACCACCACGGTGCAAGACGCATTTCAAAAGCCAAAGAAATCAGTCACATTTAGCAGCAACCAGGGTGCCAGCGAAAGTATTTCACTCGAAACCTTTACGATAGAAGACGTACTCGCGCACGACAAGGCGGATGATATATGGGTCGTCATCGACGGTGAGGTGTTCGACTTGACGTCGTTTGTGGACGAGCATCCAGGTGGACGAAAAGGTTGGTAATATAAAGGAGAGGGGGTGCTAGGGGGCTTCTTGTAGTGATGTGCTGATGCACAGTGTGCAGTTCTTCTCCCAGTTGCGGGCAAGGACGCAACGAAGCAGTTTCGGAAACATCATCGAGATGCAATCCTAATTCGGTATCGGCCAAGATTCAAGATCGGTGTAGTGGAACCTGAGGAGAAAAAGCTGAGATCGAGGTTTTCATTCTGGAGAAGAAGTCATTAGTAATCTAGATCTAGATGAGTACACTGCATGTATATTGCTGAGCGACAGAGATCAAAGCATACTGAGTCACATATATGAAAGTGCAAGGTTCAGAATCATAGAATTTATTGTTTTTGCAAACGTCCTTGATGCCGGGGTATTCCATACTCCACGCTGCCATAACGCCTTCCATAAAACACAACCACGTTGCTCTTCGGCGCCAAACTCAGTGAGAATTCAATTTAAACAGATGGTACAGCGTGGCTGAGAAGGGAAAATCGCTCAGAGCTCTCCCAGGTACACCATATCATCGCAACCAGTCTCGAAAAAACCCAATCCCACAATGATCGATACCCAAAAAACCAAACCATCCATATTCTAAATCCCCCAATCTCCATAACAAAATACCGTTTCTTCTGTCAAGTCCTCCAAGACAAATCCTCCAATAAACCTCCTCCGTAGTCGTTTCACAACGTAGGCGCAATGCCAGAATGCGCAGCAGCAGGCGGCGCGTCGCTCAGCTCTGCATCGATGCCGCGCTTGATATGTGCGCAATGCACACGGTACGCAGCACGTTCGGCGTGCGTCATGGCGAGGAAAAGCCGGACGCTGGCGACTTTCCAGGCGATGCTGCGACGCATGCGGTGGGAGAATGGCATTGTTGGTGGGTGAGGGGTGGTGAATGAGGAGTCGTGGTTTTAAGTGGTGTTGAGGGTTTGAAATTGGGTTGTGTTGTTTTGGTTGTGCGTGGAGATGGAGTGCAAGGTGAGTAGAAGAAGTGCAAGATGAGTGGATGAAGAGCAAGATGAAGATTGTGAATTGAGTGGGAGGTTTAAGCAGTATTTATATGAGGATATGTGTTGTGGTGGTGGTAGACTAGTTTTTTTTTTCTTTGCAAAGTGGTTTCCGCGTGCTGCCGCTGTTTGGAACTTGCGGCCGTGATGCTTTGAGGATCGTGATGGACATTGGGAGATCCATAGCTCTATCCCTTTTAGTTGTCCAGTTCCATGGAACGCGTCCGTATAGCCCGTCTTAGTCATATGCTCACTTACACGGATGGCAGGCATAAAAATCCCTAGACATTAAACATACGAAATTTAATGATTTACTCTGCTAAAATGCGAATCTCAAGATCATTACCTCAGTACCAAGGTTTGTAGCCACCGAAAAGATTATCCAGCCTAGCCTCTCTGTCCCAGATCTTCACGCCATCGCTCTTTCTCCGGAAATACATGATACGATGCTGTGGAATGAACTCCTCGTCGGTCTGTTCGTCTTTCCAGCGATCAAGTGCAATCTCCTTGGCCCCGGTGAAGCGGTCAAGATATCCCACAATGAAGTCAGTGCTGTCAAGACTAGGATCCCAGCGGATGCGACTTATGACATCCGCTGCGGGACGAAGCCTCTTTCCCTTTACGAGAGGGCTTGATGTTGTCGGCCTACTTGTTGATCGGCTAGTGGGCTTGACTTTGGACATTGTCGTGAGCTCTAGTCTCTCGAACTCATCAATGGGCAGGTCTTCTTCTTCTTCCTCGTCGAATTCTGAGAGATCAGCTTCGAAGATGTCGCTTCCCCAGGCCCTGTTGTCGACACGCAAGGCGCCTAGATCGGTATGTTTAACGTGCGAGACATCGACCCAGGCGATGTTGACATTGAAATATTGGTTGTTCTCCCGGATGTTGACTGCAAATTTGTCCAACATGTCTGTCAGTTTGTTCGCTACTACACGCTTGTCTTCGGTCGACTGGTTTGTTGCCCTATGCTCTTGGGTTTTAGTAAGCCCAACAAGATAGCAGCCTTGGAACTCTTTCGCGGCGGTAGATTCGATAGTACTCGAATCACAACTAGACTGGTCGCGTGTAAACCGAGCGGGCCATATTCTGCCGTGAATCTCGGGAAAGCGTCTGTTGAGGTCTACAAGGAGGGCTGGGAAGCGGCTTTCAATCCAGCCAAGGAGCTCACGGCCCTTGCTCAAGCCCCAGAACTGCACATCAATCCGGATATAACTGTTATACGAAGTCAAGAACTCTGTGACTGCATCTCTCCCATCGTCATGAAGGATTCTTTCCCAATCGATACCTGACTGCGCTTTGAGTTGAGTAATAATGATGTGATCTGCCCTCTGCAACTCTTGTTCTAATGTACGGACAGCGGGGATCGTTGCTTGACGTGCGATATTCGTGTTGGGGGCGTTGAATCCGGTGATGACCATGGCCTCGCCAAAGTGTCGTGTATGCGGACGCCGGCCTTGAGTCTGCTGTATATCTGGATCTTCTACTGCATGCTTCTTCCAATCGAATGTAGCATAGTACCTGAAGAAGGCGCATACGATGTCTGCGGCAGTAAAAGTATCAACCTTATCATGACTCTGTCTGTAAAGGAGCTTGATGATACGATTCAGCAACATGGAGATGTGTAGACCTCCCAGAAAACCAAACCGCGCTGCATAGAGTCCCCGACCTACTGCCCAGATCACGATGTAGCGGTAGGCAAGCTGGAACGCGGGAAAATTTGGAATCGTTTCTTGGAGGGCAGCCATGTCACGGACGGCTTTGAGCTTCGATAGTGCTTGATGTGACAAAGAGAAGATTGGGTCGGAACTTGAAAGTGATAGCGGAGTTGGCCAGGTCTCCGCAATCCGTGTGGCGCAACAGTATTGAACATCAGCTCTCACGTCCTGAACCTCGATCTCTAGCATAGTCCCAGTATGAGCTCCCACTTTTCGAAGGATCCGAATGCCTTGTTCGGATGACGCCCGGAGGCGTTGTATGGCAAGTGTGAAGAACGTCTTCGAGCTGATGGAGCCGATGCATAGACAGTCAATATCAGAGGCCGTGTTCCAGACATTCAAACCATAGGATCCAACTGGAACTACGACCATTGAAACTCTATTCTCAGCATTTGAGATCTGCGAGAGACAAGTCCTAAGAATCTCAAAAATCTGCTTCCGCCGTGTGACTTCGTCGCTGGTGGGATTCAAGACGTTATTAGCGATAAATTTTAGCAGACTTTGCGCATTGATACCAGATGCGTAGTTGACTAAACTTAGAGACGCTGCCGTGTCTAGTTCGAGGTGCCTGCTAGATACCACGCTGAATGTTGCTCGGACTCCCCAATGATCTGATCCACAGGTAGACTCTCTGCTTTCAACCTGTTCAGGAATGCCAAACATATTGAATCGGACAGGCTGGAGGACATCCTTGCCTCTGACCAGAATCCTGTCATAACGTTGAGGTCGATGATGAGATCCATGTCCCACTATCTGCGCCGCCAATGGGTTTCTCAATGGATCAAAAGTAGCACCCTGTTCTCCGTCAGGACATCCCTCTTCGGCCATCGTGTTCTCTTCCGATCCCGTAACCTCCCATGAGTCGATGAAGCCAGCATCGGAAATTGTAGATTCTATCGAGTTCAATGTCCTCACAGTCTCCATTGTGATAGAGTGCGAATTCACAGCGTCGACGACCATCTGTTTCGAAGTGTTGATATTGAAGTCTCCAGCGATGATCCATGGTGAGCTGGGATACTTGGCAGACAAGTGGCGTGTCAGCGTACGAATCTGGCTTTGCTTGGCTGCCACAGATCCATCAGTCAGACCGCAAGTCAAATGGACCCCTGCAATGACAAGAGGGTAAGACTTTCCATCGTCGCCCTCGACACCAATATGAGGGAGACGTATCAGTACAGCACCCTTGTGTCTGCGCTCAAAGGGAACAAATTCCCAAATGAAACTCCGGCGTGACAGAATGACGACATTCCTTAAACTGAGGAGAGGACCGACGTCAACCTGATCTGACGGGGCGTGCGTAGTGTAGGGATACTGTTGACGGATATCATCGTTGGAAAGGAGGTACGTCAGAAAATCGTCTGAGACCTCTTGAAGCAAGAGTACATCGGCAGCGGCACGACTTGAGCGTATCGTATCCAGCAGGATGGCAAATCGTTCTCGAGGAGGTGGGAACAATGAGTCGATCAGGACATTATAGCTCGACACTGTGATACTGGTCGTGGTGTTCTGGCGCGTCCTGATTTGAGGCACAACGTCGAGAGCCTTCCATAGACATGCAGAAGGATCAAATCGGTAAGTTGCTTCTTGAGATACTCGACTGACCGACACGATATCAGATGATGATTGTACAGTCGAACACCCCTGGTTGAGCTCTGGAACAGATTGTATTCCAGTATGGGACTTGATCAAATCATCGCAAGACCTGCCTCTGGCCGAGAGTCGGACTGTTCTCCAGACTTTCATCTTTCTGTCTTCGTCCCTAATCATGATCGCGATTTCATGAACGGGCCACTCGATCTTCGGTAGTAGTCCGACCTTCAGAAGTAGCGAGTCACGTAATTCGGTATTTGTCGGCCCCGCTTGACCGACTGTAACATGTGGGATGAATGAATCATGGTTAGATTGAGAGAGTATGGAGTTGATCCTCTGTCGCAGTTGTTGTAGCCCCTCATTGTCCTCCGGCCGTAAATGAACTGTAGAGCGGTATTTGTTTGCAAAATAGCCCGCTTCTCCTAGAATTAGATGCAATGGTTCCCATGGAGCTTCGGAAAATGCAGACTCCAGGAGGGATAAAGCTGTATCGAGAAGATCTGGATGAACGAAGGGACATGCAAGAGTTATGTGAGCAGGCCAAGTAGTCCAGTTTTTGTCGTAGGCAGCTCTGAGGCGATCGATTTCAGTTGTCAGGTGCGACGGTAAGATAATTGCTAATGCCGTCTGGTGCGAATGGAAACTCAAGGACTGTGCTTTTTGTGAGACCGCCATAACAACAGTTCCTCCGGATCTATCGTGGTAAGTAACGTGATAAGAAGTAGTGTAAAGAAAAGCAAATTGAACCAGAAGGTCTTATGCTAGAAAATGAAATTGAGCCACTAATGAGATGAATGGTATCGCATACGGATGCAGACCATGGTGGACAAGCCTACTTAATGTCGCCAACTGATATTCACAACAATGACGAATGCGCCTCTCGAGAAGCCTGTTTCTGGTGACTCCCATGCCGTCGTTCCAGAGCGTTTGAAGCGCTGCTTTTTGACTCATTTAGGTGCACTTTATTTGCATGATTACACGGACTTGAAAGATAATTTCGTTGCCGGAAACCATATACAGTGTGACTCAAGCACGGGAACCAGCCAAAGGATGGCTGTGGCTGTGCATCTCGCGACTACCACGACCGGATGACTCATCGTGGCTCATTATGAATCATACAAATAGCAAGCCTCAATAATGCCACTAGACAGGAGCGTAGTGTTTGAGATGGAATTGCGATGGGAGATGACTGATCCGTCGAATGTGAAGAGTTTGCCTACAGCGGATGATATGATGATACTTGCTGCCTGAGGCAAACACGCTAGCCCTTCTCGTCTTAACTCTTACCACTTTCTAGTACTCATACACACACATTCTCTCTTCTCTATCACTACTTAAGGCCTATATCTCGGGTTGAGAGTCTATGCTATATAGTATATAGATATATAAAAGTAAGTTATACATTAACTCTCTAAGATTCTCTAGCTTTGAAGTTATCGAAAGTGGAGACGAGTTCAAATCCAAGTTTAAACAGACGATAAGTTTGTGAACATATTCTCTAGGTACTAATTACTTGACTTGCTATAGTTCATCTCTTTAAGAAAGTCTTACTTCTGTTATTAAGATACTCTCTATAAGCGTCAACAGGAAATATAAGTTTTTATACGTATACTCTTACGTATACTTATCCCACGATAAGAAGCTCTTATATATACATCTATATAGCGTAGCCGAAAAACGAGAATTGCACACTTATACGCAAGTTATAGGAATAACATGTTCTATCTAAGTAATGGGTTGTCAGGCCTAACGATGCTACTTTCGTCTTCTCGTCTTCTCGTCTTCTCGTCTTCTCGTCTTCTCGTCTTCTCGTCTTCTCGTCTTCTCGTCTTCTCTTCTTACTAGATTCCTAGATTTGTAGTACAGCGTTGATTAACTCAGATTAGACGAGTAGAGTACGGGACATCAAGTCAAGAGATCCTGACGGTGTTATATAGGCCAAAAGTGCCGATACATGCATAAGTACTTATATTGAGAGCAGTCCTCCAAAGCGAAGAGACGAGAAAGGAAACAGACACAAGACAACCATTCAACACAACCCCCCCCCCCCCCCCTTCAAAGCCACCTCTCAAAGAACCTCACCGCCTGCACAAAAACCTCCTCCTTCGCCACCCTCTGCACCCGATCACTCACATTCGCACGCACCCCAAACCCATGACTCGTCCCGCCAAACAACCCCACCACATACGGCACCCCCGTCCCGCCCAACAACCCCTCCACCACCCCCCTCCTCTCCGGCCCAACCATCCCATCCACCTCCGCAAACGCCACACCCACAGGACCCCCAACAGCCTGGATCTCGCCGTCCTCAAGCAGGCTTGGGTGCGCGGCATAGGCGACCTGTGCGCTGGGCGTGTGTGTGGGCGAAAGGAAGCGCAGGGCGTAGCGGCCGCCGAAGCAGTAGCCTGTGATTGCGATGCGGGAGGTGTGGAAGTGGGTGTGCAGGGTGTTCAGGGCGGTGGTGACGAGGGGGTCGGTGGTGTTGGGGGCGTGCTGCGCGAGGAAGGCGCTGGTGTTGAAGGCTGGTGTGCCGGGGGATGTGAGGTCGACTGGGGCCGGAGTGCCGTTGAAGAGGTCGGGGGCGAGGGTGAGGTAGCCGGCGCGGGCGAAGGAGTCGGCGAGGCTGTTTGCGGTGTGTGTTAGGGTGGAGTCGTGGTATGCTGCTTTGAAAGCAAGAGGAGATATCTAGATCTGAAGGTGGGGGATGGAGATGGAGATGGAATAAGATGAGCTCGGGAGACAGGATAAGAATGAGAGGAAGAGCGACAGAAAAAGGGACAACCCACAGTCTATTCTGCAACAGCTGAATCCCAAACACATCCGTCAGATACAACACCGCAACCCCATCCCTCGCCGTCCCCTTCTCCGGCTCCGAAACATACATATTCACTATCACACTCGTCAGCATCATCTCTCTCTCTCTCCACACAACATTATCCCCTCCACAAACGCACCTCCATCAAACACCCTCTCATACCCCACCGACGACCCATTATGCGCCACAAGCGAACCATCAACACAAGTCCGACGCGCCACCACCACGCCCGCAAACGCAACCGCCACAAGCGCAAACAAACGTGTGCAAAAAAGCATCATAGCAGCAGCCCGACAATCTCACACACATATACTTTAAAAAAAAAAGGCCAAAAGCGCGCGGGTGATAATGCGACGTTGAAATAGACACGCAATGACCCCGAGGCGGGTATTAGGCCAAACTTTATATACGCTTTCTGCCAACTCTGGTGGCGTTGCGGGCGCTGTAGTGTGTGGTGATTGAAGGGTGCCTAATCAGGCTAAATCCGTGGTATAAACCCCCCGCGGGCTGGGCCAGGACGGGCCGGTGGTGTAACCTACCTTACGTGCGGGTGGACCGGGGGGGACGCCACGCGCCTTCCTGATGCGGGAGCAGCCGTTGACGTGCAGTGTGAGGGGTTGGTGGAATGGTGCATGGGTATGAGATGGTTTTACTGGCGGGTTGGGCTGTGGTGCCGTTATCTCGTTCCTGGGTGTGTAATATAATTATGTTGTGTTACACAGGGTAATCGTGCCCTTGTCCTGCGCTGGAATGATGCCCCGAGGTGGGAGGCCCCACTTATGTACCTCCTCTACGCAGATTCAAACTCAACTCACTCCACAGCCTTCGACTCCACCAGCTTCTTGCCAAACAATTCAAGTCTCAAATCTTCACGATTTCTTTTCGTCAAGATGGACTTCAGTTACCTCAATCCGTTCTTATCCTTTGTGTTTGATTTCCGTCTTGGAGCCTCTTTCACGTTCTTCGGGCAAAATTGGTTTCGATCTCTTTTTTAAGAGGATCTACCATCGATTTCGTTAACAAAGGAATCGAAAGTAGTCTTGACCGAAGATAGAACATGCTGCAAGAATTAAACCAAGAGAAAAAAAATGGAATAGAGGTAAATGAATAAAAAGTTGTGAAGGTTTGATGTTTGAAGTGTCTTTGAAGTGATGTCATGTAGATTGTCATTATGCATTATCTAGCTGCGGCCGTCTAAGTAAGCTACCTCATGTCCTGAAGACATCCCCATTATCATTAATAAATTTGATGGCATTCGCCCTGTAATCGTCTGTAATTATATCCGTCTGACTCTCTCTCAGATGCATCGTCTTGCGCCCGCTCTCGTCGAAGAGCGGCCATTTGGGCAGATCACTTAGCCCGTGCTGGTTCGGATCGAGGTGATTTACGAAACTCACCAGCACACTCATCAGATGTAGCGAATTGCGACTCACTGTCGGCGGTAGAAGGCCGAACCAATAAAGCACAACGTCGGAGACGTGGAAACTGCCGAGCACGGGAATGTTGGCGAGTTTGAGGGTGTTGAGCAGTGTGCCCACGATGGGCAGGCCGTCGAGACCTGCACTCGGAACGACGGTCTCGAGCAGATAGTTGTAGACCTTATTCTTGGCGTGTGGGAGCAATTGCCGGCGCTCAGACTGGAAGGTGTAGTCGCCGATGAGTGCGGCGATGCGTTTGTATTGAGGGCTAATGGCATTCAAAGGACCGGTGTCAAAGGGAGAGCCGGCAGATGGGTCGTTGGGGTATTGAGCGACGAGTTGTTCGATCTTCTCCACTGGTGCGTTTGGGAAGAAGATTGTTTGGAGGTAGTCGATGAGATCGTCAGTGGTAGTGATATTGAGGTTGTTGACGAGAGAGAAGAGGGTGCCTTCGTCTTTCATGTCGCCGATTAGGATTGGCACATCTGCGACCTGCCCCTTGGCAATGAGCCGGTCAGGCGAGTCGGATAGATAGTGGTTATCTGCGCGCAGATTCCAGGCAACGTTCGTGGAATGGTAGCCAAGGAACTGCGGGCTCTGGTTGATGTACTCGAAAAAGGACTCTGTAGGCTTGCTGCGGAGACAGGCGAGTTTATCAGTTGCGTCGCGGCAGCCTACAGATTCGAGCATGTAGTTGAATGTGCCTTGCTGGCGCGTGTAGTCGTCGACTTTGAGGCCGGCGCCCGAGGCCATAATGACGCCCCGGTAGAGACCCTCGGTATCGCCGCCATTGGCTGTGAGATGGCCGGCGATAGACATGGAGCCTGCACTTTCGCCGAACAATGTGACCCGGTTTGGGTCTCCGCCAAACTGAGAGATGTATTTCTTGACCCAGTGCATTGCGACTCGTTGGTCACCAAAACCGAGTGATAGAGCGTCTTGGTCAGCAAGTTCCTTGGACTGCGAAAAGCCGAATGCGTTGAGACGGTAGTTGATGGATGCAAACACCACGGGCTGATTCATGTTGATGGAATGCTGGACGATATTGGCGCCTTGGTAGATGACGCCCTGTATGGCCTCAGTTTCTGTGAAGCCTAATGCAGCAGACGAGCCGACTGCAAAGCCGCCTCCGTGAATCCACAAGACCTGAACGAGCAAAATTAACGATAGTAGGTACAGCTGCATGCTTGATCACTTACCACGGGCAGTTTACTATCCTTGGTCGCATTGAGCGGAGCCTGCACATTGATTGAGAGGCAGTCCTCCGCTGTTCCCAATACCGGTCTCAATAGGGGACCCTCCAGTAAAGTGGCGAGTCCACCAAGTAGGTCCCCAATCGGACTGGGAGAAAGAATGGAAAGGACGGACTGCTGAATACATGCCGGGCCATAATCAGAAGCGTCTTGAACGCCCTCGAGTTTGGTGGTGAGAAGCTTAGAGCGGCGAAACCTTTCAGGACGAGCATAGGGCATTCCGAGGTAGTTCTTGGTGCCCGTTCTCAGATCTTTCGCACCCCGAAAACTGGCATAGTCAAGGTTGACAGCATCGGCAGGACCGCCGATGAAGAGTTTCGCAGCGCTGATGATGGCCGAGTTGGCAGCGCCGGCCAACAACAGGAGGCTCACAAAGGCCTTTGTTGATATCAGCATCTTTGAGTCAAGCGGGCGCTCCCGAGCAGCAGGAATCGACGGCGGATGTCATTCTTGGTCATGGGTAGTCTGATGGAATAAATAGCTGGAGGTCGCGGTTGAGATGTTGTTGAGAAGGGCCGAGTTGGACTAGCACTAGCACAGTTGCGCGATCAAGGCGCCGATTAGTAGGGGCCGGCTATGGTCTGGACAGCTATCCGATGGTTGTTGTCTCGCGTGGCGCAGAACACGAGGTGAGAATTAGATATACGTGTACAATAGACTGCATGCGTCTTTCTTCTTAGGTCGATTATGAGATGGCAGATAAGACGAGACGAGAGGTCACTGTCACCATCACGACGCTTCTTGTTGGTCAGCCCTGTCAGCCTTCAACGCCATGTCGGCCGTGCCAAGAGGGTGCTATAGGAAGATGAGCTATGATACGACCGGATAAGGGACGAAGTGGACTATAGTACATACATGGCCGTATACACGTATTGCTAAGTGCGTGTTGGTGGCTGGAGGATGGTGGAGGATGGCGGAGGATGTATGATGTATGAGAATAAGAAAGGACGAGAGTTGATGGAGAAGAGGCAGGTGAGGAACAAGGAATTGGCGGCGGGGGAAATGAGAGTGAGTGACCAGATACTGAGGTCAGTATAGCGATACACTTGACCGTGGCGGTCACGTCATGGCATAATCGTGCAGAAGGAGGCATATTTGGGCCTTGCGATTCAGGCAAGTATACCTATGACCTCGGCAGTATTATTAGTCGCACGCCTAAAGCTGCCCGGCTGTCCGAGAATGGAAGGGTCGATGGGAGACCTTCAGCCACTAATCGTAACCAACTGAGCCACATGCGCACGCTTGTTGCTACCTTGCTTCATAGGGCTTAAGGCTTACATGTGTCTTGCCTCATAAGGCATAAGGCTCATAGATATCCTGCCTTATAAGGCATAAGGCATATAAGGGATCCACCCATCCTTCTTCCCATCCAACTTATCGCTACTGTACGTTGGGATCTGGGTAGTATCTATACCGTCAGTCTTGAAAATACGCAGCAGACCTGTCCTTCCGCCCGGGACATGATTACCTAATAATGCCCAAGTGGCCCCATGCACCGATTGCCCTAATAAGTGTGTGAATGCCCTGAGTCGTGCGCGATGGTCACCTGGTCATGTCGGCAGTTTCCAGTCCGTAATCAGTACTTCACAGTCTGCAGCCCATAAGTCAGACTTCAGTCACCTGCCCTGCATCTAAGCACCTCCAGCCCCTGTTGGCACCTGAGGTTTGCACCACCCCTCCTCGCCTGGCTGGTCGTCGTTGTCATCGTCGTCACCTTGTTATTACCCTACTTGTCTGTCTATATTCCAGTCCATAGTACTCACAACCACAACACATAGCCACAGAGCACTCTCAATCACTGTTCAATAGTAGCAGGACTACTATTTCGCCAGCTTGACCGTCTGGCAACGGTAGCTGTCCCGCCTTGCTCTTCCAACCCCACCAAACACCACTGCCCCAGCTCTTGATCCGCCCGAGGCGTCCAGTTACAGCAACAAAGAGCTGGACACAGACGCGTCTGTCAAAGCTACTGGTCTCCTCGGTATTCACTCTCAGAAGCTGTCTCCTTCACTCTAGGACCTTGACGTGTTAGTAGCTTCGTCTCGAGACCACGAGCTTGAGTCAGAAGGCTGATTCTGTCATCAGTGTCTGAGACCACAATCCACCTCTACTAAGCATCTCACCCCAACTCGAACAAACTCTCACCAAGCACGCCTCTCTCCTGCGACCACGCTTTAGTCTACTCCCTTCATACGCTTTATTACAGCTCGTCCTTACGCGATCGATCCCTTTACGGTTCCTACAAGCTTTTTGAATGACACCTTCGCCAGACAGCCCTCCCGTTACAACTACACAACCCTCTTCCTTTACACGAAAACAAGTCCTTCAACAAAAGAAAAAGAAAAACTTGGATGCCACAAAGGCCAACGTCAAAGAAGTTCCAAACAATGAGCTGGGACAAAAGGATAGGTATGGCGAGCGTATCACAACAATATACCCAAAGGAGGTGTAAGTCGATTCGTTTCCTTTTTCTCTTACTCTTTTCCTCTTTCTCTCTCTCTCATCTTGTCCCTTATTGCCGCTTTTTAGTGCAAGCGAATACGATACCACATCATTCGCTATTGTGCTAGCTCTGTATCCTTGCTGCTTAGACGGGGAGTGTTTATCTGCGTGCTATAGACATAATATGAAACCAGTCTAATATGTTCAACAGAGCTGCCTTTCCTGTTGACGATCATGGCGCATCTTTACCACCAGACAACGTGCCGTCGAGCATTGCCACGTCTCCTCTACTGTCAGCTTTTGGATCTGCAAACGCTGCATCGGCGCAGTACACGAGTGAATGGACCAAATCACTCCCATATCCCGCGAAGCAGCATCCCATAGGCAACGGGATCAATATCGGTGGTCCTCCGCCAACCCCCAATTCTCACCCGCACATGTTCAAAGATGACTATAATGGTGCTGTGCCTACCTCTGTATCTCCGCCGGCCTCCATAGGTTCAAGACCTCTCAGCCACCCAACACAATTCTCAAGTTTTGGAGGCCGACTCCAACCTTCACCTCAGCCGTCAGTCGGACGTGACAGACGGTCGTCTATGTATGCGCGCACTGGTGCGCGTTCTCCCTTCTTGGCACATCCTCCATTGCCACACCAGCCACAGCCGCATTTTTATGGCCTGCAAAATCTGGATATGGCATTGGGGACGCAGAAGACTGGTAACATCCGTCCAGGAAGTGATGGCTATTATTGTGGGTTTGATACACTGAGACTGCCGGGTGAAAGTGCTTCTCGGGCCACAAAGAACGTCTTACTCGTTGGCTATGAAGGAGGTTTTGACGTCCTGAAGGTTGAACGCACCAAGATGGACGTTATAGGACGCCTGGAAGGACTCCGAGGCGCCGTCATAGGAGCAAAGCTCCTTTCATCCACAGGCCCTGGTGACATGTATGCGTCCTTGCGTCCACTCGTAGCGCTTACCGTTCATGGCCCGGTAGTAGATCTGGCAAACGTCCCAGAGCCTGATAATGATACTGCCTCCGTAACATATGCGGACACTAGACCTGCAACACCAAAGTCTGCAAGCGATATCAAGGAATACCAAACTACAGTGGAAGTTTACTCTCTTCTGAAGCAAGAACATATCGCCACGTTATTCGTATGCCCGCCAGTTCCTATTTCAAGTCCAATCGACAGCCCGCTCTTCCGACCTCCGTTACCAACTGGTGATTTGCGAATTGATGCTAGTGGCCGATTTGTCACAATAAGCTCTGGCAGCAGTGGCGAAGTCTATGTATTTTCCTCGCAACTGAAGAAAGCAGCAACGTCAGAGTCCTCCCATTTTAGATGCATAGGTAAGCTGTGGACATCTGTGCAGTCACGGAGTCTCGGCTCGGCCTCGAGTTCTTCAAGCTCTAACGATGCAAGAAATATGGACGGGGATGAGCATAGGCCACATGGAGTTCCGGTGGTATCAGTAAGTGGACGATGGATTGCTGTGGCACCACCTGCGTCGGCGACAAGCCTCTCCATCAATGGTTCGGCTATGCTGTCTGTATCAAACCAGAGCCCTGCAGGTCTCGGACATCATACAGCTCCTCCTCAACCGAATGAGAATTGTGCTGTCGACGCTCCTCAGAGCGACGGGCTAGCAGGGCGATTCGCAAGAGAAGGAGCACAAGCTGCCGTGCGCGGCGCAAAATGGGCTGCTGGCCGGGGCTTTCAGGCTTATCAATACTATTTTGGAAAGCCTGGACAGCCTCAGGATCCGATTGGGGCGCCTATTGATCACATGAACCAGCAGTCCTACCCTCAAGCCTACGGACATTTCGGCAGTTCTCCCACTCGTCACGACTCCACGATGGTATCTGTGTACGACCTCAATCGCTTCTTGGACAACGAAGAGTCTAAGCGGAAAGGGGTCTTAGAACCAATTGCATCATTCATACCTCCGCACGGTATCAGTCATTTGTCACTCTCCCCTTCCGGTGTCATGCTTTTGACCGTTGGAAAGAAGGGTGACGTGCAAGAGGTGTGGAATTTGATGAAGATCACGAACCGCAAGAACCGCAAGTCAAATCGAAGCACTCTAGACGGCCCGCATGTTCGGCAAGTCGCGAGATTCACTCGGATGACTGTTGCTAATGTGGTTGATGTCGCTTGGACCTCTCCTATTGGACGCGGAGTGGCTATTCTTACTGAGAACGGAACTGCACATTTGTATCCAATGCCATCAGCAGCATTCCAGTGGCCTCCGGCTAGAAGTATGGCAGCAAAACCGCGCAATGCCTTGAAGGAAGAAGCACCGGTGCTACAAGACTCCGGTCGGACTGGTGCTGTAGGAGCTATGAGCTCTGCTTTCAGTGCCCTCAATGGGACGGCACGTAGCTTCACAAACGCCTATCGATCTCAGAAGGGCAGTGAAAGCACTAAAAGCCCTGGATCAACCTTTGCCCTACCGAGCATGACAACTGCAGTCGGTGCACGAAGTAGCAAAGCCGTTGCTAAAAATCTATCGAAATCTTTAGGGACCGCCGCCAAAAGCTTTGCCCAAGCTGGAGACAACAGAATTCACCTAGGCTCGACTAGCTCAATACCTGTGTCAAACTTGATATGCTGGCTGACAAGCAGAAGCGGCAAACCCTCCTTAGCAATCGTTTCAGCAGGTCACATCGACATCTATCGCGTCTTCATGCAGCCAGCACGAGGCAAGCAACATCCAGCCCGTGTGAAGAAGAAACGTATGGTACAATACCAAGTCCCTGATGTTCGCGGCGGTCCGTTCCCACCGTCCCTCATCGCAAAAATTGGCCCACATACACCTGGGGACCTTAACGGCACCAAAGATCTCCCTCTCGAAGGGATCTGGGCCCTGCGCACTCTTAAGCGCGAACACACCTCTACGAAACCCAAGGAACGCACTCCCCACCCTCTCAGCTTCGCTGAGCTCGAGACAAGCGCGCCGTTCCTGCCGTTTCACACCGATCGCCGCGCCAACATGTTCTTCACTGCCGAAGACGCGCTCAATCCATCTACTCAACCGCGCACCATCAACGATGGTAAAGATGGTGTCTCTCTCACCGACCACGTGCCGCAGCCCTCATTCGGCGGCCGCCTAGCTGGCCATCGCGTCTTCATAACGCATCCGTCACGTCATCTCTCTGGCGAGGACGATACAGACCTAGACTTGCATGACCAGCTCGATGGAGTGACGGCTGAGAATCGGATGGTAAAGAAGGGCGGCGATTACGAGGAAGTGCAGATCATTGTCACTACTCGACGGCGTAGAAGGCTTGAGGATGGGTATGGCGACCAAGAAGGGTTTTTTGAAGATGATTGTGAGGTGCTGGACTTTGCTGACGATCGTGTTTGACATTGGGCGATGAACCTGATATGGCGTTTCGCGCGCATTGTTTGTTTGAACTTTTGAGCATTCGAATGCCACATACGAATCAGAATACCTTATAGAGCTCTTCGCATTCAAATGTATCGTTTGGAACTGGAGTAATTCGAATCTTGCGGGTATCAAATATCGGGACGACTGTCTTGCACTATCTATCTATCAACTTGCCTCAAAGTCATGATGTTATTTGCATTCTCACCGGGTCGTGGAGTTCTACAGATGGGCGGGCACATGGCATGCTTTTAGTATATAAACAAATCATGACAGATCAATGCACATACATTCAATATCGGCACAGTCCGTCCGCGGTCCGTCCGCAGTCCTCAGTGCGACGAGTCGCATGAAGTGCCAGGCAGTGTATACTAGCACTCACAGCTCAACCAGCTTCTGGATGCTGCCAATGACGTGCTGCACGATGCTGGATCGCGCATGCAAGATGCATATCACGGCTGTATTCGTCGTCGTTTGCATATCACGCCACGTCTCCCCACCTAAACTTCTATGACATCAGTGTGTTATGCAAGTTAGCAAGAATAGTAAGAGTAGACTTACTTCGGAGTAAAGAAAAATCACTTTACTCCGGGGTAACTAATTAGTAGGAGATGATAGTAATTCATTTTTTTTAGATATATATTTCTGAGCTTATAAAGGAGCTATTGTTTTTTTTTTTCTTTTCTTTCTAGCCTTGGAAACTTGGGCTACGTGCTACTAATTACCCTTTTTATATGGGAATTGAGGTTTTCCTTCTTCGCTTTTTCTTAATACTATTATTTTTTTTTCTAGGGATTTTCCAACGTGGACTTTTTTTAGACTCTACTCTCTGGTTCTAGAAGAACTAGTACTTAATTAAAGTTAACTACTTCTTTATTTCTATCTTCATCTACTGGTAGTAGTAGATTTAATATTCTTCTTATTAGCTTTGGCTTCGTTATACTAGTATATAATTCTTATATATTAGTTCTCTTATATTCTATGGATATAGACTCTCTTCTAATCTTTCTAATAACTAGACTAGCTCTTAGAGATAGAGTAGTCTAAATAAGTAATAGAAGGATTAAAGAGAGTAGAGATAGATATAGTATTTAGGTATCGACCGTTACGGTAACTAACGTAATATAGTAGACAATAGTATAAAGATACTTATAGAAGTAACTACTAGCTTACTATACTCCTTGAGAGAAGATAGAGGAGATAGAAATGGCTTTATTTAATTAATAATACTTACTATAAACTAATATATACTATCTATAATATCTACTTTTATATTAAGAATAATGTCTAAAGAGTAGAAAGTAGACGATATAGTTTACTTCTATATTAGACTTACTTAATCTAGCTAATCTAATATATATTAATAATGTTATAGTAGTATAATATAAAATTAGTTCTAGCTACTATAAAGATTACTATAGAAACTATCTAGTTCTAGATACTCTTTATAAGAAGAGTTTAGCTAGATAGATAGAATAGTAAATTAATCTTACTATAACTTAGTAATCTCTATCTATAATATATAGGAAAGAGACTATATATATATATATCTAGTTATATCTAATCTTATCTTAAACTATAATAGTCTATTAGTATCTCTTATAGTATATAGTCTAATAATAGATCTAATTAGATATTAGAGAGACTTTTAATAAAGATAATATCTAATAGCTACTTATAGATAGCCAAGTAGTACTTATACTTATAGAATTTAGTATATTACTACTAGATTAAACTATATATAAGTTACTACTAAATGGATTAGAGAACTCTTTTAAGATAGCTATTTAATAATTAGATGTATTTTAACTTTAAATCCTGTCTTAGAATGACTAAAGATCCAAAATAATTTTCTCTTTTCATTTTCTTCATTAATTTCTTTTCTTAATACTCTTACTACTACCATATATAGTATGGTGAAGCATGAGGAAGTGTGGTAGAAGGGCTTCTACTTTCTGAAAGGATCAGCGTCTGGGACGTTAAATAGCTCACGTTTGTAGCTCTTAATCTCTCTCTTCTTTACATACAAATTCACTTCAACTCAATTGACGAATCTCTCAATAACCTCATACTTTATTAACGATGGCGGCAGGTGACTCAACCGTTGGGGTACCCGTTATGGATACGTCTCACGTTCTTAATGTTATGAAATACAAGAAGTCACTGTCGAAAGCAGAGACTATGGCTTGTGTCTCTCTCTCTGGTACGGAGACCAAGGCACTCTTCGGGGAAAATGATGACAGCACTGAATCTCTGGCCTCTCTACGCCAAAAACTGTTTGACAAGAAAGTCTTGAGTGCAAAGAGGTCAGCTTAAGTAAACACAAGATTAAGCACTGATGAGATGCTTACTTACTTACAGAGCCGGATACCCTTTCTGCACAGAGAGTGGTGGTTCAGTCGGTGACAGCACAATGATCAAAGATTACCTCCTCATGCTCGATCGTTCGCTCGAGGTATGTTGACTACTTCTCTGGATAGTAGGTATATGACTCACTCTGGCCAGTCGAAGAATAAGGCGCGGACTATATACATCCTGTCAGAGCGTTCCACAATAGACGAGACGACCACGGCATTTCTCGCCCAAAATCATGACCTTGATCTGAAGGTATGACGACAAACGCTATACTATTGAGATGCTGATATGTGCTAGGCAAATCGGCCGGACCTACTCAAGTCTGGTACCACTGATCTTAGTAGTGCATATTCGAAAGATGCTTTCACAGCTCAGGCTGGGACTGGCGGGAACACGTAAGTTTTGCTTCATTTCTTCTTCGCGATAGCCTTAGGCTGATTTCTCTAGACACCCAGCCGATATGACAGAGACTCACTGGGATATCGTCACACGGACCAACGCTCTTTGCAGTGGATACAAGATTCTGTACACCACGGAGAAGAAGACTGACGAAATAGTCAAGATCACACCAAACGATTTAGAAAAGACAATGTACACTGCCTTTCAGGTCACCGAAAGATCTTTCTCCCCTCATGAGATCTCCTTTGCTCGACCTGACAAGGAGAAGGATATAAAGCTTCCACCCGTATGTGCGCCTGCTAATGGTTTGGTATATACACTCATGTCAGGATACAGAGCAAATACAGAATTCCAAGATTCCGTGTCGAAGACGACTCAAACGTGGACGTGTATGAGACAAAGACCCATTTAGAGTCATCTATGGCAGAAAGCTCTTTCTCGAAGTCCTCAATCGAAGCATCAGCGTGAGCTCTGTTTTGTGATCAGTGTGACGCGTACTGACAAACTCGCAGTGGTGGTGGTGCCTTTGGCTTTTCACTTGGAGCCAGTATGGGGTTTGCCAAAAGCGATGAGGACAAGAATGCACAGACAAGCACGAAAGATGTTGCGACCATGCATATTCGCTATTACGTATATATTCAGCTCTTTCACCATTATGATGTGGCTGATTGTCATACAGTTTCCGCGTGTGGTCATTCAGCTTGATGAGCTCTCACTTGAGTTATCACAGGAATGCAAAGACGAACTCGATGTGGTGCTGACTACCGCCAAGTTTGAGAACCTGCAGCGCTTCTCTGAGAAGTTTGGTCAGTAAAAATGGCCTGCATGAACGATTTACTCTCGAACTGACCAACGCTCAGGGCACTTCTTCGCGACCCGTGTCCAGCTTGGCGGCACCCTGTTTTCCTCGGAGGCATCAGCGGCATTTGGTGACTCCTCTGATTCGGAAAAAGCTAGCGCTATGAAGGCCTCTGCGGCGCTGTCCTTCTCGTCACCGTACGCCCAAGCCTCCATAAGCGCTAGTCGAGAGGAAATCAATGCATCTGCCACGAGCAATAAGGAGAGTATGTTCGCAAAGTCCATCATTTGGCAAGCTAAGGGTGGTGACACTCTTCTTTGTAACAAGTACGTCTCTCCATCCTGCTGCAATCTCTCAGCTACTGATTATATCAAGTCCTCCGGCATGGGCGCCCACCGTAGCCTCGTTTTATAATTGGCGCATCATCAAGGTATTTCACGACGATTGGTTTGAGTATCTATCTAATGTTCCTTCAGCAAGATAAAATAGTTCCCTTGGTGGATCTGATCGGCAAGCTACCTGGTTATTCCGATGTACCCGTGGCATTCGAGAAAATTGCAAGCGGCGAACATCCTGCAATGACAACCATACCACTTAAATTCACCCTTCAGAAGGAAGGAAAGAGCGATGAGTACCTGACCTTGGAAAAGACAGGATGGTCGTGTGAGTCAAATCCATAACCCTCTTGCTATGATCTCTTTTCCACTTACACAGCATCATATTCTAAGCTTTGGAGCCCATGATCCTGGCTGGGCATGTGAGCGACCTGCCTCATTCGTCGATCGATTGGCTATGCACAAACTATATGAAGAGAGAAGAAGATCGCCCAGATATCAGAGTCGGCAAAAATCCATCTCCAGCATCCCGCATCTTCCAAGCCTCAGTTGCCGTGCCTGAGAATGACAAGGATAGCGTCAAAGAGGTACGTGACCACACCTGCCTGCCCTTCCTTTTTCTAAAACTGCAATACCCATTACTGATCACCTCCACACCCCTCCAGCTCCAATACAACACAAAATACAAACTCTCCCACCACGCCACCGCCACCACGCTCGGCTCCCACCCTCCCCTGCCCCGCACATTCATCTTCGGCTCCGACATGCTCGTCGACTTCGTCTTCCAGACACCCGGCGACGTCAAGAAGACCGGGTCTATCAAGGACGGCGACACTGTCGAGCTTGCTGTGCACACCTTGATTCCGTGTGGTCTGCTGATGACGTCGCTGTCGACATCTCCTGCGGCGCCCAAGGGGACGGAGATCTTGGAGGCGAAGCCGTGGCAGTCAGACCAGAGGGACAGGTATTTGAAGTTCGTGTTTCAGTATGTGGCTTGAGGTGGCGACGTGTGTCTGATGTGAGATGGGGTAGGGGACAGGAAGCTGGCTTCGAGTTATTATATCGCGATCTTGCAAGTCTAATGTTTTATTGTATTCTGTTCTTTGGAGTGAATCTTCTTCCTCCTCGTCTTCCTCCTAATCTGTGCCCTGCTCCCCGCAGGCTGTGAGCCTGTGATGTGCTCCTTACCTCGTATAGATGAGGTTTTACGGGACACGTAATCCGTCCCTGTTATACCGTACCCGTAGAGTCTTCCCTTTGCGTCTGTACGGGGTGAATATGTATATACTTTACGTAAAGATATGCAGATGAAATCCATCTACTAAGATGTCATACAATCTAACCACGTGACTATACGATTGAAAATCACACAACGTGATACTGTCCCGAGGCAGAATTGTGTAATCTGGGTGCTAGCCTTTTATAAAACACCTCCGAGCCTAATCTCACGATTACGAGTATAGTTGAAAATGTTTGGTATTATATACGTACCATATCCCCGGTCCACAACGGCAATCCGTAAGTGCTCTACGGATACAGACTTACGAAGTATATACACCACCCACTGGCCACAGCCTCTACGTCAGAACGGGCGCCACCCAATCCATCCAATCCGCCACATTCACAACCGCCGAACTCCTCTCCACCCCCGCCGTACTCGCATTCCCCTCCAGCAAATACTTCGACATAAACGCCATCAACTCGCCCCTCTGCGCCTCCGGAAACTGACAATGCGCATGGCCCCCAACAAGACTAAACCCCATCGCATCCGCCGCGCCGACAGCCGCATACACCCTCCGGCCAACAATACCACACCCCGTCGTCGCCACAGGCCCCAACCACTCAATATCATTCTCCATCACATACAGGCCCCTCGGCGCCACAAGCGCCGCAAGCTCATGGTGATCAACGGGTAGACGCGCGGTGCCCAGCGCCGCAACGCCATCGAACCGCGCACTGAACCAGGCATTCTCGCGGACGATCTGCGCCGCAGTCTGGATGTTCTTGCCTCGCGCTGCCTCGCTGTCGGCAATGCGCCAGCAGCTTGCGCCGCCGGCGCCGCTCTCCTGCGGCAGGGTGAGGGCGATGCGCTCGTCGAATGCGCCGGCGACGAAGGCGCCTTTGGCGTTGCGCGAGCAGCCTGTGACGCCGATGCGGAGGGGGTCGATTGCGGAGGTGGGTGCGACGAGGGCGAGAGCGTCGAGGATGCGGCTGACGGCCCAGGACCAGGCGATGAGGGCGCCGGCGGAGTGGGAGGGGCCGTATAGGGAGTAGAATAGGCCGTGGCCGCGCGAGGAGAGGTCGGATTGGGCGGCGATCGCGTCGTTGTCAAGGATGATTGTGGCGATTGAGGATGGGGGGATGGGGATGGAGGGTTGGCCGAGGGTGATGATGGCGGGGAAGGGGCCTGGGCCGGGGGGCTTTTGGATGGTGACGGTGAAGGAGATGGAGGTGCTTGCTTCGCGGGCGGTGATTGTGAGGATGTTGTTGGAGAGGGAGGCGGATAGGGAGGATGGCTTGGCGGGTTTGTCGCCGAGCTCGGATTTCTGGAAGAGTTGGCTGAGTTCTTGTTGGCGACAGGCCCAGTCGGCTTTAGTAGTGACGGAGCGGCCGGAGGCGAATATGAAGGGGTTGGGGAGTTTGGATGTGCTTGGGGGCGTGAAGTTGCTAGGGAGGGTACATGTTGTTTGGCGGGAGGAGAGGCTCGCTGGGTGAGCGAGAGCGCAGACGACATGAAGGAGCAGTAGGGCGGCTGTGTACAGAATCATTTTGTGATCTAGGATCGGTTTTTGGGCTGATTCGTGTCCTGTAAGCAGACAAGTGTGAGGTTTTATATGCTCATGCCAAGCCAGACGTGCGATGTCCAGACTCGAGACTTTGTTCACAATTTCCGTAACCTGGATGACTTACTATAAACATTTGGTTGATACCCGACTAGAAATTGAGTTTATATGTTACCTTGGACATATTAGCCATATATAGGCTCGATCACAGGTCAATTGATGCCTGTCGACGGTAAAGAGTCTTAAGTACTTCATATGGCTCAACGGATGCGTTTGCAGAATGCCAGAGTGAAAAATACAAAGTGATCCTCTCTGATGTGTACCATTGATTGCTGGGTCGCCAAGTCAGGGAAAGCGGTGTTTACCCTGGCTGGCTAAAGTGGAAGCATTTAGATTCCCCACGCGCCAAGCCGGGCAATACGACAACAAAGCATGGCATCCATCTCGCGTGCGTGGCTGAATTCCACCTGCAGAAACGAGAGAATATGTCCCTTGCAGACTCTAAGTCTTCGAGTGTTGCTCTATCGGTCTCAGTCCATTAGAAAACTTTGGAATACCACATCACGCGAAGTGCCCATTGACATGATGCGTCACGGCCGTCTCATCGCCCTCGAAGTCGTTACATATCGGACACGTCGCAAGAGTAAGTGCAGCATCGTTATTCTGGGGGTCAGTAGAGGTTCTGGTAGCACTTTGTCCACTGAGCGCGGCATGACGTCTCTCAGCGGCATCCAGATAGTCCGCTAGACTACGTCCTTGGTCTCTTCCCTCCATATAGGTGTACCCGTCGTCCTCTTCTCGAACGTCTCTATACCGTGATCCAATGCCGTAGCCGCGACCACCTCCCCTACATCCACCTCTTCCTCTCGCTATAGTTGTCGCATTCGACGTCTCTGTGCCTTCTTGCGCAGGCAAGATTTCCATCTCAGATGCCATCCTCTGCACTCGACCTACTCTGCCATCGACCAATCGTACTTTGATCCCGCGCGGGTGGTCACCTCGGGTCAGTAAGTCTTGCACGATGCCCTGCACCTCACGACCGGTGGGTTGATCGGCTTTCAATACGATGGACACAGCTGCGCCGGAGACTACTTGCGATGTTCTGGGAACGTTTGTTGGGTTTGTACTGGTGCGAGCCCGTCGATCTTGCTGGTTGTTGCGGTGGAGTGTACGATTACCTCGAGTGGCGCGATGGTTTTGAGACATTTTGTGGTCTATGACCGCGGATTGTCTGACGAAGGGTGTGGAGAGTAGTCACTTTGTCTGAAGCGGCAATAACCTGGAAGATGGAGGTGCACAGAGCTAGTCTGAAGATGGCATAGCGTAAAATGCTACTATGTATTAGAGTCAACGTTAATGCGCCGTAATAATTAGCGGATTAGGCGCCGACTAAGCATTCGGTTGATTTCTAAGCGCCTACACTGATGATCAAGAATGTCCTGTCACCGTTTGAGTAGACCTCGTTGAAGAAGACTCCTTCAGAACGTTTGCACTGATCGCGTAATAAATACCATAATAGTCAAAATGGCATCCTTCGACAGAATACCCGCCCAAGCAAAAGTTCAACCTACACAATTCACTGTCGCGATCCCAGATGAGAAGCTAGATGAAATGAGACAGCTATTGAAACTTGCAAAGGTTGCTCCAGAGACCTTTGAGGCCTCGCAAGGGCCAGAGACGTACGGCGTCACACGCGAATGGCTACTGAATGCAAAGTCAGAGCTTGAGAAATATGACTGGTACCATCGACCTGTCTACTAACTGAGATCGAGTACTGATACATGAAAGGAAACAAACAGAACAGCACATCAACTCATTTCCCAACTTCAAGCATTCGATCAAGCATGGCTCTGACACTCTTGACATCCACTTTGCGGCTCTATTCTCTCAGAAGGCAGATGCCATCCCAGTCACATTCCTCCATGGATGGCCTGGAAGCTTTATGGAGTTCCTCCCAATCCTGGACAAACTGAGGACCAAATACACAGCAGACACTCTACCCTATCATGTCATAGTGCCTTCACATCCAGGGTATGCATTCTCCTCGACTGTGCCTCTCGAACGCGAGTACGGAATCACTCACACTGCGGACATCTTCCACCAGCTCATGCTTGATCTAGGTTTCGCCAATGGTTATGTCGTGCAGGGCGGTGACATTGGCAGCAGAGTAGCCAGAATCATGGGAAAACGCTACCCAGATATCGTCAAAGGGGTGCATCTCAACTTCTGTTTCATGCTGGAACCCGAGCAGTGTAAAGGAATGGAGCTTAATCAGCGTGAGCAGGATGGTCTTGTGCGCTGGAATGCCTTCCGTGAGAGAGGAAGTGCATATGCCTTTGAACACTCCTCTCGGCCATCAACTATCGGATTCGTTCTCCAAGCCAGCCCGCTCTCGCTTCTAGCTTGGGTCGGTGAAAAGTTTTTGACCTGGGTCGACAAGCCACTCCCGTTGAGCACTATCCTTGACGATATCGCTCTGTATTGGCTGACTGAAACCATTGCCAAGTCATTATACGCGTATCGTACCGATTATGCATTCAAGCAGATTGGTGGGCATGGCAATCCCGACTATAAGCTTCCAAACTTTGGGTATTCATCTTTTCCAAAGGAGTTGGCAAACATACCCAAAGCGTGGGTAGAGACATCGGGGAACTTGACCTTCTACAAGGAGCATGACCAGGTACGTGGCGCTTCCAGCAGGTCACAGTCATGTACTGACAACAGCAGGGCGGACATTTCGCTGCTTTGGAGCAACCCGAACTTCTCCTGCAAGACTTTACAGAATACGTGCATCAAGTGTGGGAGCTTTAAAAAGACGCATGTCAAGCCTTCGTCGGGTATTCATACGCATACGGCGGCTAGCTACTCAAGATAATAGTACAGAACTCCATCAACGGCCACAAAGAGATTCCAGACTCCAATGCATGATGACTCGTGTGAGACAGATATAGCTGCGTGTGCAACACTTACAGCACAGCAGCTACACCCAACAAAACAACCGCCCCCAATCCCGCCATCTGCACCCTCAACACATCCGCCGCACCAGTCTGTGTCGGACTACTGCCACTCTCACCCGCACTTGTCGCAGTGGGACTACCTCCTGTCGGCGTAGTCGCTCCGCCATCCGGGCTAAAGCTCGCCTCCCCAAACGAGCAATTCCTCCTCATCACATTCACTGGGTTGTCTTCGCCATGGTCATTTCTATCCGAGTCGTCTCCGTACCCATGGTCATGGTAGTAGTCGATGCATGCACCACAAGCGGGGAGTTCGTTGTTGGCATTGGTGTATGTACAGACGCAGTCGCGCCAGTCTTGGCTGTTGCCGTCAGAGTGTTGTGCATCGCAGGATCTTATCAGGCCGAGCGTGCCGCCGCAGGCGCCGAGACATGGGTCCGGGAGGTCTGACTGAGCGATGTGTTGCGCGGTGGCCGAGGCGCCGAAGAGGGCCATCGTGAAGAATGTGAGGTGCTGGTAACGCATAGTCGGTTTTTGGGGAGAGTGGAGGATGGATGGTAGGTCTGGATTCTGGTGCAATAACGTCTAGTGTATGGTATGACCATTGAGCACTGGATAGTTGAAAAGTGGTCTCGATATTTATACACTTCTTTGGTGGTACACGAGATTCAAAATGACGTCTTCACGCGCAAAACTAGCCTTGAGATGGATATCAACCGTGTCTTGAATCCCGAAAGATTCCCCGGTGAGTATTTCGAAGTAGCAGCATGTGCGTACCAGAATTACCATACAGTCAGACAAGACTAGGCAGAACACCATACACAATACATACGGATCTAAATAATGTGGGGCTTACCGTAAAAGAGCGGAGGCTTCGACATTCCCGATTGGGAATAGACCGATATGGCGGCTGAGACGTCAACATTGAACTTTCTCCGCGCGATATCATCTTTGCCAAAAGCCGAAAAGTTGAAGCTGATCATCGGAGCTGTTCCACATGGTAGGAGCTGATCAATTGTGAGGTGAGAAGAGCCTTGCTACAAGATGTCACAAGATATTACAAGAGTGAGCTGCGCCACAAGTGGTTTTGATGAGACGGAGTGGTTGCGCGAGGCTGCACCATTGCCTGCTGCCTGCTGCCTGCCTGCTGCCAGCTGTCTGTTGCCAGCTGTCCTCTTTTGCCTCTGAAAGCAACACTACAGAGAATCTTACTCACCAGTCCACACCACTTTCTACTCGCCTGCCGGACCGTCTTTTCGTCTTAAATTTGTCTCTAGACACCAAACGTCAAGACCACACGCATGCAAGCGGACCCACTGAAGTAGCCTTGTCGCTCACTGATAGCTCGATACGCCCAAGTGAGATCATCGGTTCTTCTCAGAAAGAGCGTGGCAGAAAGAAAGTTATTCACAATAGCTGGATAGGGGAGGACTATCCGAAGTCGAGATACAAATGCGTCTCATCAACACTAAGACGCTGAAGCTAGAAGAATTCTTCGATCATGCTATACCAAAATACGCCATCCTGTCTCACACTTGGGACAAGGACGAGGTCCTTCTCACAGACGTAACGGGGTCGCTTTGGGACGCGAAAGACAAAGCAGGCTTCACGAAGATCGAGAATTGCTGTAGGCAGGCTGTCAGAGATGGATGGGAATACGCATGGGTCGACACTTGCTGTATCGATAAGCGGAGCAGTGCTGAGCTGAGTGAGAGCATAAACTCAATGTTCCGATATTACAAGGAGGCACAGGTGTGCTACGCCTATCTTTCCGATGTTCCACCAGAAGATTTCACGAATTGCGACACTACCGCTGTGGATGACTCGGTGGAACGATCGGGTAAAGTCGGAGACACCTCTGTGAAGGTGGAAAACATATATGTGGCTGACATGACGGACTGCGGTACGATTAAGACCAATATTTCTGGCACAGCCAGAACGACCGAATCCTCCGCGTTTTCTCGAAGTCGCTGGTTTACGAGAGGATGGACGTTACAGGAGCTTCTTGCTCCCGACCGAGTTGTCTTTTACAATAGCAACTGGGAAAGTTTCGGAACGAAATCAACTCTTCGGGACGAGATCTCGTCCATCACCAGTATTGATGATCAGACTCTTAATGGTCGCTCGTTCGATCAATGCAGCGTCGCTCGCCGAATGTCTTGGGCAGCAAGACGGAAGACTACCAGAGTTGAGGATACTGCATATTGTCTCATGGGAATCTTTGATGTCAATATGCCTCTACTGTATGGCGAGGGGAATAAAGCGTTTGAACGACTACAACGTGAGATCATGATGAAGTCTACAGATCGATCCCTTCTCGCGTGGCGTCTTGAAGCAGATGATGTAAACGCTTATCATGCGGTGCTAGCAAGGTCTCCTGCGGCATTCGCGACCTGTCACTCATTACGACCATGTCGTCCTCTGAAATACGATGATGCCATCATGGAAATGACAAATCTCGGTTTGCGTATCAGCCTACCTCTATGGCCCTGGTCCGACGGTGATGACCGCATATTCTTCGCACTTTTGGATTGCGCTAGCCTATACGAAGATATCACGACAGGTATCGTTCAAAGACAAGCAACAGGAATATTCCTGACCCTAAAAAGAGGCGTATTTCACCGGGTCTGGGCCCACTTGAGTCATGTTTTATATCGAAACCGAGCTAACGACTTTCTGAGAAGCGACACGTCTTTCGCAATGCTTCGAGGATGCCAGCGTATAACAATCTTAAACACTATCCAACCTGTGAAGCTCGCTTCTAACACGCCTGTCGGAATTCAGGATTTATATTTATATGTCAATAAGACACAACTCAAGGCTGCTCTTCAGTCTTACGGATGGGATGCTGAGGTCTCCGTAATGACTAACAAGCTTTTTCCTTTTGAACCGGATGGTAGTCGTTTTGAGTCATGTCATTTTGACCTTTTGCATTTCCGTCGTTTTGGTCCGCAAGACAGGTGGAGCGGACCAAAACTTGCGATTCAGATTTCGTCGGAGCAACAGCTTCGGGTGACTATAATCATCCGCTGCGACAAGGATGACGGTATGTGGTGTAATACCTATATTCCGTCACTCTCTCGCTGGAGGACGAGATTGGTCCCTGCAGCCACCATGCTTGGCAACAACAGGTTTTGGGTTGATCCCTGGGTATGGGCTGCGGACGAAGGCCTGAAGTCGAAGATCAGATCGCCTTGGCCTGGTCTTAACAAGGCTATAACCAGCATTCAGTCTATTATGCGACTCACGAAAAGTTCAAGGCGCCTGACGTCTTCCGAAGCGCTGGTCCGTCCTGCGATCGTTAGATTGAGTGGTAACCGGGTCGCATGTACGGAATTGGTGATTACGTTCGAGGAGACGGCGTTTGATGACAAGAACGCATACGTGCTGCGATTCGACATTATGAAAAGAATGTTTCACACAAGAGACGCAATGACAACAGTAGGGCTCCGCGCCGATGTGACACGTAAGGTAATATGGTAAAAAGTCGTCAGACGCAGTTGATACTATGTTATCTTTGATCCACGTAGTAAAGGCTTGAGCAATTAAAGTTAAGCAGAAGATTGGGGACTTGCTATTATGCAGGCCAATTCACTATCGACCCTCGTACACCATACCGTCAGACATATCAGCGGCAAATACATTCATTGATCGTCGAAAGAGTGAAGGAAAAGGACGATCGAACACACAATGTATTTCTGGAGGTGCATTCAGCATGACTCCTCTAGCTACGGATGTCGTCAACGTTCGTGTCTATAATTCTATAATTATGACCGAAAGCCCACAATGCGTCTAATTCGTCTATCAATCGACCTTGACGACAATGGCCGTCAGACTCGTTGCACCACCGTAATACCTCGTCGCCACGACTGGCGTGACCAGGCTCAGAACCTCCGTATCATCCACCTCGTATCGCGGATACAAGACTGTCCTCAAAGAATCCGTACTCCGCAACAGAATCAATGCTCCCGGCCTCATGCACTTTGCCACGCCCACCAAAAGGTCCTTCTTCGCATCCGCATCGGCGCCAACCATGGCAGCGAAATGTACAACATCAAACTCGCGCAAATCCGTCAGACTGTCGGCATCGATCTGCTCAAAGGACACGTTCTTGAAGCCGCATGAGGTCACCAAGGAGCTGGAGAGCGCAATGGCGTCCGGGTTGCGGTCGATATTGTGGTAGCTCACATCGTCAGAATACCTCTCTGCATAGCACAAGGACGTGAAGGGTGTGGGACCAGAGCCGATGAAGGCAATGCGGCGGATCGGGGGTAGAGAGAGCTCGCCCAGGGCAGTATCGAGAGTGTTGACTTCCATACGGGCAAGTTGCCTGTACTGATCGAGATAGGGGAAGGAATTGAATGTCTTGAGGGCGGTGGTTTTGGCAGGGGCATTGATGACTTTGCGGGCGAAGTCGGCTTCGAGGAGGTATTCGGCGTCGCCCCAGAGGGTCCAGAGGCGCGGGATGAGGGGGACGATGCGAGGGTCGGAGAGGATCTGTGGAAGATGAGTGAGCAACGCTGGAGCAGAACAGGCCGGATTGACAGCCACATACCTTGCTGTCTTGCTCGACGGTGGTCTTTGTGGTGGTGACGAGGTCGAAGAGCTGGTTGAAGAGCTTGCTGTTCTGCGGATTGGGCTCCAGACTTTCGAGACGCTCGAGACGGGCAAACAGGGCAAGAATGCCGAGGGCGAGACGTTCGGTGTCGTCTGGGTGGTAGGGCAGGTCGAAGGCATACCTACCGACGGTGTGCTTCAGGCCGTTTGCGCCGGCAGCCACAAGAGGATTCGCACCATTCACACCGTTCGCAGCGGCAGCGTGCAGTGGCGTGCCGGGCATTTTTTATTTTGTTTCCTTTTTTTGATGTCTTCGCAATGATATTGGATGGTGATGTTATTATATCTACCGACGCGACGCGGCGGCGCAAGAGGACTTTTGTACGCACGACGTGACGTGCACGTGGACAGCAGTGTGCTCAGACGTGCGTCTGTGCACGGCGACGACGTGGGCGTGCATTAGGTTTGCGAGGTGATGCGGCTACAATGGTGTAGCTGCAGCAGACGAGTGCGTTGTGGTGAGGGTTGAGGAATTAGCGACATGGATTTTGTGGCAGTAAACAATGAGGTGTGTTTGGTGGTGTGTTGGGTGTTTAGGGTGTTTAGGGTTGAGGCGAGGGAGATCACGCCGCCTTGGCTGGTTAAGGGCCTTGGAAAACGCTGTAGATGCCTGACAAGGGGAGAAAGGGGGGGGAGGGGGGGTCAGGCAGTCTGGAGCCGAGGGTATGTCACAGCACTCGTGGGACTGGGGCGCGGCACATGTCATCCCGGCGCTCTGTGCGACTTGGGCAGCATTGGGATGAATGGATGTTGCCTGACTATCTAGGCATCATTCGGCTTTGGACGAGTCATGACAATACCGTACCATTACGAAAGAATACAGCACAGCGTAACAAACATATGTATTATATCAATACCCAAATATCACATTACATCACTTCCCTCTGATAGTGGTACCAATATAGTATACGCCGGAGTCTAGTCCTGAAGTGGCATAGCCAGAGCGTTAGTGAGCGGGAGTCAATGAACGGTATCTGCATCAGGCCTAGCGTTCCAGAATATTCCATGCCGGTCCATAGCACCCGGTATAGTCAACTAGTATATTGTACCTATAGGATATTACGCACGTAAGCAAGCAAGTATGAGTTGTGTATTAGCATGTCTAGCAGAGTGTGACACTGTCTGGTCTCACCAGACTGGACAAGTCAAGACTCATCAGGACATGACACGACGGTTCTCAGGCTGCTCCGGTCTGCTTAGATTCCAGGACCTCGGACAACTGCTTTGAATCTAGTGCAGCCCCTTACTTGGGAGGTCCAGGCGCGTATCTGCAAGGGATCCGTCAACTAGGTTCAGTCTGCCGTAATCAGCTAGCGTGACATCTATCCGAGGACCGAACTCGAGGTACCTGACCTAACCTCCTCCTCCCACCACTTCACCCAATCCACTATCAAAACACACAAGCTGCTCGCCATCACGGTGCCAAACTCTGTTTGTACCTGGAAACCGTCCACTTGCAACTCGGCCTCGCCCTCTCTCAGCCTTGCCCACCCAGCCGCGCAGTCCTAATTCAGCCATGAGCACTTGAACCCACTCTAGCTGTGTGAAAGTGGATGCTTCACACTCCATTAATCCGACAACTCCACGCTTTCTTCACAAACCAGGCAATCCACACGCAAGGATGTCCGATAAGGTTGCATATGGCACTCGGAACCTTATTTAGACCCAACGGTGCGCACGCGGTGTGCTGCTTTTTTTTCAGGCCTATGGCAAAGCAGGCTGCTTTGTGGCCTGGCTGGCCTGCCTGCCTGTCTGTCTGTGTGAGGCACACGACACACAAGTTGTTCCAACACGGAACCGGGAATCGGGAACCGGGAAGACACGCGATCCAGCCCTCGACTCTTTTCTTTCTCCTTATTTCTCCAACTTCCAGGGGGGGGCATTTGTATCATGCCATGCCATGCCTGTGCCATGTGACGTGCACAGGCGCGTTTTGAGTTGGTCTTTTTTTTGCTCGCCGAACTCGGGGAGGGACGGGGCTCGCTCACGCTCAAGACTGCTTTCTCGCCGGTTGGTCATACGACGCCAGCAGCGACACAAGGCAACTGGCCCTGCGCGAATTCGCTGGTATCTGATGCCGGGAATAACTTGTTGCTCTTTTGAGCGAGAGAAGGGCGGTGTATTTTGCATACCGTGATGGTCGAGGCGGCGCAGTGCAGCGCTGTGCTGCTGTGCTGGCTGTCGACGTGAGGCAGTTGGCACACTGATTGACTGGATGGTAACTGCGCATCGTTTGACGTGTTCAATTGTTGTGCCGTCCTCGGATTGCATGTTACTGCTGTCGCTTCACTACTACTGACAGACTAATTACTACTGCGCCTATTATTGACATATCCACTATCCACAGGTTCACTCTGAAACCGGGGCGCTTGGCGTTCTGGCCGATGTCGTCCGGAGCAACTAAGGAAAGAACGACCAGCCGGCCCTCAACCTTAAAAAAACTTGTGGGAACAAAGTGGGAAGGAATGATGTAAGCCCTCGGAATTAATGAAGAAAGGGCGGTCAACGGTTTGGTTTGCGTACCCTGATGGACGTTTCTGCGCCTTCCCTCTTCTCCTGCTAATCTCATCTGATTAGATTGCCTCCTCTTCACTTCTTCAAAACTCCACCATCCCTTGCGCCCCCCCTTCAACAACCGTTTCTTCGATCTCAACATCGAGAATCTGTTTCCTTTTCTTTTTTCTTTTCCACCTACAGTCTTCGCCGCTATGCTTTCTTCTGCTCATATCGACGTTTGCTGCGTTATCAAGCTCATTTCGCCGACGTCCCGCGAGGATGCGTGTGCCACTCGGCTCTTACACGTCCTCGTGGGCCACAATTCCGACTTCGATCCACTCGAGATGCTTGGAGAGGGTGTGACGCTACTGAGTTACGAGCAAGTTCCGCGCAGAAGAGAAGGCTGCTCTGCTGCCGTGCAGTATCTGTTCGACCAGATGGAATCGCTGCCGGACTGTCGATATCCGAAGTTGTTGACCTTTATCCTGCCATACACCGATGGATACGTCGTCCGATCCGACTTCATCAACGTTCGCCTGGGCGCTCTTGCTGGACAACGTGAACTGCAGCAGTTTCTCAAGCCATTGCAGTACTGCAGAGGGCCAAAGGCCGACCTGAACAGCAACAGCCTCGACGACGGCACATTGATGTCGCTGATTAGCTCTGCTGCTGGTGTTATAACCAGTCCATTCGACTACGAGTTCAACTTGAAGGATCTAGAAGACGGCATCGCGGGACGCATCTCCTACCCCTGGCTATCATCAACGCCCATCACGCCACGACGTGTCGCCCTATTCCGCGGCCGTCCGAATCATAAGACCGGCTTTCCTGTCTACGCTGCCGCAAAAAACCTGGGCCTCTCTCTCGTTGTCATTGATGAACCAGGTCATTGGCTTCAGCCTGACAGCGATGAGAACAGAGACCTACGCGAAGCTTTCATCCCCATCGATATCACCGAGGACGACGGCCTCCCTGCTCGCATCGCCACTGCTGTTGCAGAGTCCCATTATCACATCGATGGCATCTTCACCCTCTCCGACAATTACCTCGTCTCCGTCGCTCGCGCAGCTGAGCTCATGCGTTTGCCTACGTGTCCTTCTTCCGCATACGAAGTCGCCTACGACAAACATCAAACACGTCGTCTCCAAGCCGCGCCGCATGAGTTTGCCAGTGTCAACAGCTCTGCGGACCTCCTCTCTATCATCGACTCTCAAGCATTCCTGCCCACCTATCCACTCATTGTCAAACCTCGCACCCGTGGTTGGTCGTCTGAGTACGTCACAAAAGTCCGTGACCAGGCAGAGCTCGAAGCAATCATGGCCAAGATATGCAAAAAGTATCCTGGTGGCGCGCTCATCGAGCCATACTACGATGGCCCAGAGCTCGATGTCAACATCATCGTATCTTCCGGGAAAGTCCTCTACACTGAGATCGTCGACGAACTGCCTAGCAATGGTGACACCTCCGATGGCAGCAGCGCCGATTTCCTCGAGAGCGGAGTGCTCATTCCATCCAAGCTGCCACGCTACGAGCAGGACGCCATATGCAAGCAAATTGCCGACATAATCATCCCACTCGGCTTTACAGATGGCGTCTTCCACACTGAGGTCCGCCTTACGCGATCAAGCATGGCGTTCCAGGCAGATCCTACAACTGGTCTAGTCGACCTCGCGCCTGCATCCTCCGAGAAAGCAGACGACGAGAAAGAGCCTGCCGTGCGCGCGCATATCGTCGAAATCAACGCTCGTCCTCCCGGCATCTTCAGTCAAAAGCTCTCGGCACACACCTTTGGCGTCGACTACTTCGCCGCACGCATGCTCGCCGCCATTGCCGACCCTGCACGTCTCGCCCTCACCAGCATCCCCTTTTCCGTCTCCACTATGCCGCCCGGCGCCCAGTGCCACTCCTTCATGCTCTTCCTACCCGTACTCCGACCGGGCGTGACGGACGGCGAGGACGTCCTGAACAGAGTGATGGAGCGCGTGCCGCACATTGCCGAGCGTGTTGTGGACAGCCACTGCTTCTTCACCAAGGGCGACACGCTGCCTGACCCAAGCGAGACAGTCGCATGCTTCGCGCGCGTAATTCTGGCCAGCACAGAGGGCAGGGAGCACGTTATGGGCATGGCGGACAGGGTTAAGAGGGAATACTTTAAGGACGATGAGTACGAGCAAAGCGTGAAGATTCAGGACGGCCTTGTGGGTAAGGCTAGCGACGACAGAGTGGATTCCTGTCGCGAATAAACCAGGTCGCCGTCCGTCCCGTGCACACACTTTTTCTCTTTGTATTTCTAGGCCTCATCTTTTATTTCTTTGCTTTCAATCCTTTCGGTCTTTTTTTCGGTCCGTTTTTTTTCCCTTATATTCCCGGTGGGGTTTTTTGGCGATGCGTATAGATGGGTGGTGTTGCTGCTGCTGCTGGTAGGGTGGTGATAGTGGAGTTTGGTCGTTGGCCTTTTGAAAACGGTATAGATTTGTTGCTGTAGTTGTAGTCGTAGTCGGTAGAGCTGTATATTATTCGTGAAGTGGAAGTAAATGGCCTTTGTGTCTGTGTCGGTGTCTGTGAGTCTGTGTCGGTGTCTGTGTGTCTGTATCTGTAAATGTCCGCGTCTGTGCCCCTGGATCTATATATATCTCTAAATATAACATCTACGGCACGTGTCTATTTGTCTGTGCACACACACACACACACACACACACACACACACACACACACACACACACACACACACACACACACACACACACACACATATCTACCGTAACATTTCGTCTCGTCCACGTGTCTGCATCTGTGCATCCATGCGTATATATGTATATACTGTAGGTACGTGCGTGCGGCGTACGCGGACCGTCTAATTATCTCTGTGGTGTCCGCATGTGCGTCCGTGCATGCAGCCTATGTACACAACACCGCCACACACATTACGCACGCACCATCGCTGTCTGTAGCACACATACGCACACTAATTAACTACCAGCATCTTTTAGCCCTCCGCCCCCGATTCTAGCTTCGTGGGTTGCTAGGTCGTGCGTAGATGGGGGTATATGGGAATGTGGATATTATTCTACCTTGTTATTAGCTAATTTGTGTTTCAACTATGGAATGTCTTTTCTTCTATATATGTCTGTGTTGTACAATTATGCACGGTGTATGTGTAGGATTGGAAGGAATGGATGCCGTGGGATTAGGTGAGGGCTTTGGACTGCTTTGTGCGTGCTGGACTGGGAGTCAGTAGTTTGTCACTGTCTTGCACTGTTTGGCGGATGGGGTTATAGGTGAGTATATCGATATAGTCTGGCGGGTAACGGATGATTGGCTCGGTTAGAAACACTGTACAAGAGACTAAATATCATAGGGAAGAATGAGCCAGGTAGTAGAGAAAAAACACTTAATTCCCTCGTACTCCATAAGTACTATGACTCTTTAGCTTTCCTCTATAAATAATAAATCCACTTTATTCTCAAACGGCTTTCTTTGTCTGTTTGCGTGATTTTTTGAGGACATTGCTAGGTATCATGGTGCGTAGGTATCATGTTAATTAAACTAGATGGTGACTTTTTCTCCAAGAGTAACATTCTATCTAGGTATATCTAAACTTTACAGTCTAAACTCCTTCAATTCTATAGTTTCTTCCGGTATTACGCTTGTGAACTACGACCATGTTCTTGTCCCGGTATACTACCCTCTCTTTTATGCTTCTTATAGCGCTTGTCACTCCCTCCTTTGCATAGAGAACTTATACGATTAATAAAGCGTCATGTAGGGGCTTTCCCTTGGACAACTTTATACAGGAGGCCCGGTATATATAGTGATATACTCCGTACCCTGTACGGATAAGGTTTTATAGGATAAGTAATCCGTCCCCGTTATACCGTACCCATAGAGTCTTATCTATATATCTATACGGGGTAAATATATATATATCTAAGGTAGAATATATAGCTAATGACGCCTATAATATTTATTAGTAAATCACTATATAAACTCTAAAAACTATATAGAATCACGCGTTTTTAGTGCTTATTCTTCTCTATAATATTATAGATATATATATTATTTATAGAGTTATATTCTTACTATATAACTTACGCTATTTACTAGGTCATTCCTTATATAAATACTAAAAATAATATTTTATCTATATTATAGATAACGATAAATATAGATAAAGTAAGGGAGACTATATCCTATTATAAACGGCGTATTATAGCGATATCCCTTTATTAGTTTATTACTAAATCCGTATAGTAATCTATTAGGGTGTTATAGTATATATATCTTAAACTTACCTCCTTATCTCCTTATCTTCTTATCTCCTTATCTTCTTATCTTCTTATCTCTTTATAATAGTCTATAACTTACTCTTTATAAGTAGTAATAGTAACGTTAGCGAATAGTAATCCTTATCTTCTCTACCTTCTCTTAATAGTAAGTATAAGCGTAAGTATACCTATCTAGTATAGGATTATTACCGTAAGGCTATCTAGAATAAGCCTATTATAAGAGGTAAAAATAAGATCTAGTACTATAATATTAAAGGCTATTAGAAAGGTATTATAAGTACTAGTACTATTAGGACTTAGCCTTAGGTAGGACCCGACCTACATGTACCTTAGCTAATAGGGTTAGAAGGTGACGTGAAGGGCGGTAAACAGTTACGTGCTAGATAGATCGGCGTCCCTTTATATATATACTCTTAGATTCCTACCGAAAGGGTTCGGTAGTAATTCGTTCTATAATAGAATATACTCTATTATTCTATCTAACTATACTACTATCTAATAACCCTATTCTTATATTCGAATTACTCCCTATATAGTACTATAGTTAAGATAGTCTAACTAGAACCAAGAAGGTCAACACGATCTACTATAGGGATAAGTAATACTATATTAAATAATAGAGATCCTCTATAATCGGTATTAATCCTAGCCGTTTCTAACTAAGAAGTAGAAATATTAGACTAAATCACGGAGCTTTTAGACGAAGAAATGGTAGATACGCTAAGTAACTTCTAATAATATAAAGCCGGATAACGAGTTATGGCGGAGCTATACGAGGTATTATAATAAACCATCGCTAAACTTTAGAAATACGTTACGAATTAGGCTCGAGAGATTTAAACCCTTAAAGAATAGATAGAACGCGCGAAACTCCTCGTAAAGAGACGAGAACTTAAGGAGTCTCTTAAAGAACTACGCCGAACGATAGTAGGTAGACGACTTCCTATACTAATTTAGGCGGAATTAGTTCACCTACTATTAGAGTTATAATAATCTACTATATACCCGGCCGCTTCGTTACCGATTTACTCTACTTCTTCCCTAGGTATACCGAAACCTAAAGACCCGACTATATTTATAGGGAAGAACTAAAAGGAGTAGAAAGACTAGAAGAGAGACTACGAAAAGTACTTCCTTAATAACCCTCTACTCTTTTCTACTAAAGTATAACGCATTTCGTTCGGAGAATAATACCTAGACTTATAATCCCGCGATTAATAGGATAGATAGAAGGAAGTACAGCTACTATCTATGATAACCTAGGAATATTTAGCTATATTTATACTAAACACCCTCGGAACGGATAGAGAACGTGAAAGAAAGGCACTATCTAAGTTAAGAAGCGTGGTATAACGACCGAACTAGACACCTACTTAACTACTATAATACCTCTAAAACCTATAGAATAATATCCCTATACTATAGAAAAATATTCGTATATTCTAGTTTCGCGAAGTACTACTTCCGTTAATCCATAAAAGACTAGAAATAGTATTATTAAGTTTTAACTATCTATACGAATTAGAGAAGAAAGCTAATAAATACTACCGCATCCTTAAGAAACGCGGCTCTCTAGGTAAAACCGACGAACCCTATACGGGTTAGAAATAAGGTTAATCGAATACGTTCGATTAAGAGTAACCTTACCGTAATTAGCGCTAGAAGAGCGTAAATCGGGGTAGAAACGCGTTAAGAGGACACTAAAATAATTAAGGTAGTGCTTCTTAACGCGGAAAAGGATAAGGCATAGGCTTAAATATAACGCCTATTATAAAATAGTAGGATTATAGCGCACTTCGTTACTATAAGTATAGAGAAATAGAATATATTTCACCTAACTATAAGAATCCAAAAAAAGAATAGACTAGGACACGAGACCTAACCGCGTTCTTAGCTAAATTATATATACTTAGGAGGAGCCGTAGCGCCTTCCGGCGAGTAAAGACCTAATATTACTAAAAGTATCGTTACCTATAGTAAATAGTAATAAAACTATATAGGCCCTTATAGATACTAGTATAGAAGATAACTATATTTCGTCGATTCTTATAAAGGAGTATAGATTATCGTACGATCTTAGTAAAGTTAGCCGAACTATTATAGTTAATAGATATAAAGTTAGAACTTTAGGTAAAGCTATAATGAATTACGAAGTTCATAACTTAAAGATAATA